GCCCAAACTCCAGCTCGATTCGGCGAGTGGCTTTGGAATACTTGTAGTGGAAGAGACTATAGTCCCACACATCGCGCACCATTTCGTCACCTGCCTGGGTCGCTGCTTCAGGGTCGATGCGCGCCCCCACGACGTGCTGGAACCGACGAAAGCCCTTGTACTTGGAAAGAACAAAACAGTAGGTGATGAATCGGACCATCGTCCATGCGTCTAGTGGATTCCATTCAATCCCATCCACTCCGTCGTTGGACGATGCTGTGGATGCACATGACGGTGGGACCCTTTCCGCTGTTGGTCTGACGTCGGTATCATCCACAATCACTATGTCCATGTCTTCGTGGTGAGCAATAGAGCTGTTCAGTACTGCTGGATCATTGCAAATTTGCCACAAGGCATTCTCCTGGCACTTAGTGACCAGCTGCTCCTGCTGCCCCTCCTCGATCAAATCCCAGCCGTTTAGACAGCCTTTGTGAGTCCGTGGCTTTTTTACCTGGGATATTGGATAGATAGCCGTAATGGAACTCAAGATTTCCTGTTCATCCCATCCCAAGTGGCGGAGTAACCCGTCTGGACTATCCTTCTTGGGACCAATGCCCAGTTTCTCCGGGTGAATGCGCTCGATCGTGAGCTTGGCCAGCATCTCCCGTGCTCCATCACGCACGTCGGTGAGCCGTTCGATGTATTTATCGAGCCAGGACGCTTCTTTGTCACTGCTGCTCAAGGCCCAGTACCTATGCTTCTTGGTCAAGTCGAGGAGCATTCCAGCTCGCAGCTGGCAGGAGGTGTCACCGACATGAGCGTCAAACGCGGTGAACCCAGCGTTATCAACATATGCATCCTCGGCAAATATTAGACGGCGATAAAGCGTCAAGGCGTCGATGGCGTCGGAGGATGCGCGAACTATGTCCGTGTACATTGTCCCATAACAATTTCGCGGGCGAAGGCCTTTGGGTGCCGCTGTTGCAGGAAAGAGAAAACATGCCATTTTCTTTTAATAGAGAAGTTGTGCTTCGAAGAATTTTCGTAATAAATTTACTTTGAGCGGATTGCTTCAGATGAGTTGCTTTGACTGATTCTATATGGAACCTAGTGCTGGACCTCCTGCCTCGATATATAGACAGAAGCATCAACCGGACTCCCTTCATTTTATTCCTTTTTCACCAGATCTATTGGAGTAATCGGATACTACATCTGGAGATAATTGTGCCTGTACTGGGTCAGCGACGGACCGACCCATCATCCCCGCCATTGCCACCAACTGATCCCCACTAAACAAGGCACGGACGGTGTAACTATCAAGACCGACAAGATCACCGAGGTCAACCGAGTATACCAGTTTAGTGGATAACAACTGCGCGCGGAATTCTTCGGAATTTTTCGGTGGTGTGTGCACACTCCGAATTCACTCGCGGTGAGGGAGCCATCAAAATCTACCCCAACGTGTAGAATTCCATATGAAACTCGGAAAACATTGTTCTCGAGTGGAGTCATGTAGAGATGTGATACTCAGCTCTAAGGTCTTTACGCGCGTCTTCTTGATGGCGAATTCCCATAGTATCGTACTGCTGTATATGCGGGAAAACTCGGAGATTAGGGCAGCGTGAGTATGCTCCGATGGGGAGTATGAAAATATTCTTTGAGAAAATCTCTCTCTCTCTCTTTGGTAGTAAAATCAGCCCAATAAAAGAGACCCGGAATTCCGCGGTATATATCGAGTCTTTGAACTCACTTGGGTTATACACGCTTACAGCGCCCCCCTTCGTGAAAAAACTTTTCCTTGCAGAAATTTCCTTCATTAGCTCCAGACAATGGGTTCTATGTTCAGCGCGACGGTTTTTGTTGTATTGCTCGCTATTTACACAAGATATTGTAGAAATGCAAGTGGTTCGAACTGCTCCTCAAGAAAGCGGGCACTGACTCGCGCCAATACAGATCAGCAATGACTTCAAAGACAGTCAAGGTCTCAAAATCAAGCAACTGAAGAAGGATACTCGGTATCGACGGTTCTCGCATGGGTAGGTAATTAAACGCAGAAAAGACGATTTGAGATTCGACATTAAGGAAGAACCTCATGCAGTCATCAACTGTCCCAGGAAGGCCGCAAACTCGCGGGCGAAGAGCCATACTTAATCCAGAATGGATGGTGGACTCGCGAGCTGGTAATTACACACCCGGATCACTTGCGAGAGTTCTATCGAAAGGATGCCAAAGGTATTTCTTGCTTCCCACTCGAACAATCCTCTTGTATGTAAATATCCATCCTAATCTGCTATTTTTCCCAGATCACAAGAAGCCAATCAACATGAATCTCGGCGATTATTTTGGACGGTGAATATAGCCACCCCCAGTCTTGAAAACCTCTTTATTTGTGGGCAATGGCAGCTGACAACTATCCATCTTCAAAAGACTTCTTGGTCAATGCCTGGGTCTTCAAGGAGGGCAACAATGGGCCGTGATGCGCGCTCACTTCGAGCCCGAATTCTCCCATCTGGCAAGCGTGAACATGGCAGATATATTCGCGATGGAGATCGAGAGGTGGGCCCTTGGGCTGTCAAAGGGCCGTGATCTTCATCAACAAGAGGCCACCCTGGGATCATTTCATCGGAATCCCACTGACGCTTGTCGGTATCTGCCTTTTCGCTTGACGGGGTTGACAGTATATGGAGACGCGCTCGACGCGGAGGTGGGTATATTCCCTACCTAGGATAGAACCAAAAGGATGGACGTTGTTGCAGCTGACTGACTCGCACTACTAGACATACCAAGATCTTGTGCATTTGAATGATCTCCATGAACAGGTGATGCTTGATGCTTTCTTCGGCAGACTCACCGTCTCGAAAATCTTTAATATCCTTCCCACGCAGTCGAGACGTCGTCTGGACACATTCAAAGCGACGTGGGAAAAGCTGAATCTCGATATTATTGCGAAAGCAAGAACGGTATGGGAGAGACGGAGCCCTGGTAGTTGTTGTCATGAAGAGAGAGAGAGAATGTGTAGCTCACATCGAGCATATAGAAGAAGCTTCACTGCCCGGCTGAGCGTATTTACAAAGGTGTTGAGTCTGGAAAGATGTCAAAATTTGAGGTTCGTTTTTCTAGCAACACCCCCACCTTTTCTTTCGGGTATGTGTGGCTGAACCAAAAATGAATACACCGCAGTTCCTAGAAACGATGAACGAGTTGTTATTTACAAACATCGATGTGACCTCGACTGTTATTGCATGTCTCCTCATCAACATCGCGGCCAATCAATCGTTCCAGTCATCCCTGAGAGAGGAAATCACCGCAAAGCAAAGCCAACCATCCTATAATCTAAGCGATTATGTGTTGGAGAAGGATACCCTTCTTCATTATGCCGCAATGGAATCTGTTCGCATGAGTCCGGCGCTATGTAAGTTCAACGCCCCTAAATCGCTTTTATTCGTGGCAAGCAATTCCTTTCCACTAACAAACAAACCTCTGGGACGAAAGGGTTTTCCCTGCCCGAAAAGACAGCAGCCGAAAAGATCATTGGAGGCTATCGAATCCCCGCCCAGACGCCCGCGGTCATCGACTGGAAACGCCTCAACACCACGCCGGCCATCTGGGGCTCCGATGGGGAACGCTTTCGCCCCGAGCGTTTCGCCGACGTCTCGCCCATGGCATATCGATACGGCTTGCTGCGCTTCGGGATCGGCCGCGGGCGGTGTCTCGGGAAGAACATTGCTGACATGATGCTCAAGATGGTGACCGTGGCCATCGTGCAGCGGTATTTCATGACTCCTGCTGGTAAAGAGAAAGGCACCAGACAGGACCGGTTCACGGTGACATCGGAGGGGGAGATTGAGTTTACTCCGATTCGCTCTCCAACTGCGTGTGCATGATTGATGTTCTAGTTGCTTTGTTGAGCAGAATAGATTTCATGGATGTAAATCATCAGTAATTCCGGGATGTCCTTGATGTCTAGAAGATACAGCTACTCCCTGCATGGGAAGTTCGGTGGCTAGGAATCTAGTATATGCTGATTTCGTGGCTGGTCACCGAAGAAGTGGATAGAGACTGGCATATCTACCTAGCTGGACTCAAAGTTTGCCATGAGTTCTTCAGCTCACGTAGCTTTTGTTGACACGAAAGGAGTGGTAGCTACAGGAGAAAGTATGAGGCTAAAGTATTGCTTGAATTATTACTATCTAGGCTATGTGGTTGGAGGTGACTAAGGGGAAGTAAACGTTGTGTATAGTAACTTAATGTGGTCTGCTCATGTAGGCATGCCTACTAGGAGTAGGTGCTCTAACAGTTTTCTATGCCGGTATTTTAAATACCTATCCCGATAGCTCCATATCACTCCATGACAATACTATTACAAGCTTGCTGCCTGTTGCTTCCTTTGTGTCTCTAATGGTCAAAACATAGTCTATAATCGGATATGGGAGAACACGGAAAAACACGGAAGAACGGGCCACAGCAGGCCGGCCCGATATTGATCTTCTCAGATCAAACAGGAAGACTAACCTCATACAACTGGGAGGGGGGGGGGTGGCGATATTTAGTATGACGTGATATAATTGACCTCATTCCGCTTCAGACAAACCTTCCAATATCGATACTGCTTGGTATACCAGTCCAAGATGATGCTGGGAGATACATAATTAGTGGGTTCAGGTTACTTTGATATCATTCTAACATACTAACCTGAGCCCCACATTAAGTTTACGCCCGGTCATTTTCAAGACAACCAAGTACACATGATTAAGCATGAAACGGAAAACTGGAGCCATTGATTTACTGGATCTGGTTGTGATCGTCTCCTTGAATATTCTATACGTTTAAGGGAAGAAAGAAAAACAAGATGAGAAAACAAAAGGAAGAATGGGAGAGAAAGAGAGGGGGCCGGCTGAACAGTCTCTTTCCAGGGTCATTAGACTTTTTGGCCCTAAAGAAAAGGCGGCAGAAAGGCAACTAAAACAGTTTGGAAGCATTTGAGTTCTGAGCTGGACTGGTGTGAGGGGAGCGAAGAAAAATCATTGCCGTGCAAATACTCTCCTCTCCATCTTGAACCGTGCCACAAAGATGAGAATGCCGCCCACAACAAGGGATGCCCCGGCATACATTGACAAGGCAAGATATCCGTAAGATTCGACCAGCTGGCCACTAATGGGGGTACCAAACAAAGCTCTGTGATTTTAGAAATGGGTGTAATTTAGCAATAGGACTGTTGAAAGAAGGAATTACAGGTAGAAGAGGAGAAGCAGCGAAACTCACGTCAAAGCAACTGATCCCATGAGAAGTCCTACTGCTGTACCATGGAGCTCGTGTGGTGCCAGGTGAGCTGCACAAGCGGATTGCAGACTCATAATAGCCTGCGAGTTAGGATTAGCAAAATTCGAAGCGTTGTGGTTTGGGGGAGAGGGGATGCGTACACCGGACGTAAGTCCATATGCTAGACACCATACAACAAGCCCCCCGGAGCTCTTTGCTGCGGTCCAGCAAAGCGCAGTGGCTCCAGATAGCAGAGCTGCTGTACCACAGAGATTGAAATGCCCATAGCGATCTGCCAAAATCCCCGGGAGAATTCTGCCAAAGAGGGATGCCGCATTGACAATAGAAACTAAGTAAAACGCGAAACTGGTGGAATGGCCCAGGCTCTGCGCGTAGGAGGTTGCATAGAAGAATGGACTGAACATACCCAGGTAGGAAATGGAAAGCCCCGAGCAGAGCACCATGAAGGTGGTGTTTTTAAGAAGCGAAACGAGACCCTGTTTGTGTGCATTGGCTTCCTCTTGTAGGACCTCGTGAGTTCCATCTACCTCGTGTCTTTTATTCCTTTCCTCTTCGTCAGTCAACATATGATGATGGTGATCATCATCGGCTTTCTTCGCTGGTGGGGTGACGGTCAAGACCGCGAGAACGAGGAGTGGGAGCATAATAAACCCGACGATGCGAATCGTCCAGCCAAAGGTCACACCATCCTTATTAAGGAGCTCATTCAGCACAATCGGCCAGACCACACCCCCGGCGGACGATCCTCCTACTGTCACCCCCATGGCTAGCCCTTTGTTCTTGTGAAAATACCGAGAGACCGTCGCGATCGCCGGACAGAAGAGACAAGACATACTGGTGCCCAGAAGCACGGCCTGCGCAAGAAAGAATTGATAATACTGCTGACAAAGTGAAGTCATGAAGACGGCCACAAGCATTGCCAGGCCGCCGAATATGAGAAGTACCTAGAGTCCATCTCCTTTAGCCGTCGTCTGTTTTATCTGTTTTCGGAGGATAAATGCGTAGGTGGTTTTACATACTGTCGGTCCAACACGATCAACCAAAACACCAGCGATAGGAGCACCAGAAAAGAGCGCAAAAGTAGAGAAGGAACCGATCCATGAGATGTCGAAGCTAGAGTGGCTACTCAGTTGATGTGATTCATAGTAGTCCTGGAAAACACCAAAGGCATTGATAAATCCAACACTGCAAAAGAAAGTGAAGAAGGCGCCTATTACCGTCAGCCATGCTCGGAATCTATTGTTTTGTCAGTACGCATCTTTGTGGGAATAATAACTAGAAGAAACGGTATGCGACTGACGTGTGTTCAGAGCCGCTGGAAGCCGTAGGAGTTTGAATTTGGCCCATATTCAGAGGGTTTATCGATTACTTTACACTCTGCATGACAATGATCAGAAAAGCATGAGCCGATAAGCCTTTTTAATAAATGACCTTCTCACTGTATATGAACAAATCTTTCGGTTATGGGTATGGTATCAATTACAAGGTCCATGGAGGTCACCCGGAGATTTTATGGAAAGTCCGCGGAGCATAGTGGGAACTTACTACGTGTGCCCCGAGAATCCATGGAGCTTCGAATACGAAGATCATCAAGTCTCCACATGTGCAGATTCTTTCCAACCTGGTAAAGTTTCCATAGTACTCCGTACATAGGGCAGCTGGCAGCTTGATTACGCGCTGCACTAAGGTCATTGGAACCATAGAGAGGTCGGAAAAGCGTGCTTCAATCATGCCATCGACCAAAGCGATTTCGAGTATCATTGTAAGACAAGTACCTCATAAACAACAATGCTGCTATTTTACTACTAAAGTAGAGGCCTGCAGTTTATCTGGTAGGATATCTCTTCTATAAGCCCATCCTTTCACGAAGCAATACCTTAAGATAATGGCCATACTGTAGTACGCTCCTCAACTCTCTCTGGCTGCCAATCCTCAATGTGCGAGATATATCTTCCTTCAAACCTGCCCTGACCATTTCTATTTGTCGAGTCAGCCCGCCTAGATGGGATTTCAGATCCGCTCCGAGCGGCTGCTGCTGCTGTGCCTCTTCTAATGAATTGTTTTCTTTCTCAAAAGGTGAGGTCTCAGGGTCATGCAGATTAGCGAATGAAACGATATCCTCCACGGCCTGAAACTCGTCCAGAAGCATTTGCACGGTTATATAAACTCTACTGCAAGCTTCAAAAGTACTAGTCGGTGCTAAGAGCTCCCCTGGTTGTAGTAGCTCTGCTTCCCCTAGGTCGTGAGATGGTGCATGGCGAGAGGAGGCGACAGATTCCGGTAATCGTTTGAGGACATTGTGGATCTGGCTGAATACGATTGTGTATAGTTTCGCGAGAGACGCGTAACCGGTCAACATTAGCAGATTGGTTGCCAAGTCCGGCATCTTTGTGAAAATTGACTTGGAATCGAGAACTTCTGACGGTGCTTGTTGACCTCGAGGTACGCTAAAGAGATCCATGCTTTCCGGACACACGGGGTATGTCGACGTGGAGAAAGAAGAGGTGGGTCGGAGTTGTTGTTGTCTGTCTTGGACCGACAACTTTGGCTGCCACAAGTGTCGTAGTTCAGCTGCAAGTCTTCGCGTCAACCCCAAAACTGGGCCAACGGGATACTTGTCGGAGGCTTCTTCGGCACCACCGAGGCTCGGAAGGCGTGAGTCGCCTTTAAGTAAAACGGTTTGCTCATGAATTTCAGTCACGAGCACAGAGGCATCCAGGAATTGAGAAGAGTTACTCCCTTCATCGGTGGAGGAGTCTTGAGGCTCGGAGGATCCTCGCACCCAAAGTGGTGACCTGTAGGTGCTCTCGGCTGTTAAAGGCAAGGCGGACATGTCAAATTGATTTGCGAGCAGATGCTGTTGAAAGAATTTCTCCTCGTCCTTGGAGAAAGAGCTGATATGAGTATGGAGAATATGATCGTCCACGGGCGGTAACTCCACCCCATATATGTGTTCTCCAGAGGGGCTCAAGGTTGTGAGGTCCATGGAGGAGCCGGGGAGTAGTTCGGATGGTATCAAAGCACGTCCAGTCCCCGCCGGTTGCTGCGGGTCACCTGGTATCTCGAACCTCTGCGATGGTGTGTTGTTCCTGGTACATTCTTTGTTTGATCGCCGTGTGCTACTGTTACCCTTGCGCGTTTGCGCGCGGCGACTAAACACGCATTCTAATCTCGCCCGAATACATCGCTCACATTGCTGGCCCGCGGTCCGTGATTGTTCTGGTGTGGAGATGACGCAGGCTAATTTTTTCGCCCGGCAACGATCGCAAGAGGCTCTGAATGACTCTTGTGTGTGAGGAAGTTGGCATGCCATGATTGTGGGCAGGATCTGCTAATCTCTGGGCCGTCCTACACTGCTCGCCAGCCATGGTGGGCTTATGTATCGATTCCCTTGAGGCTCTTCAGTACCATCGGACAGGGATCTGATAACCCTAAGTGCCGCCAAGCCCAATCAGTTTGTCGCTCCCAGACAGGGTCCACGAGGCTCCAATTGGCTATGTGCCAGCGGCGTGGTCACCTTTTGGAGTGGGACACCGGGATATGTCATTGGGCAGTCTTCTTAAGCGTGCCTCTGTTGTTGGATCTTTTATCTCTTTGGCTGCTCTGAAATCCTCGGTCGTGCTGGCGGAGACCATTTGCATCGGTTTAGCCGACCGCGCGATACTTCAATCTGTCGTAGGTGGGTTACATTCACTGAGCATAAGAAGGCCAAACGTATCGATTTTACTGTAAACTAACAGGAAGGCTACGGGATGGCAACAACACATTATGATATTACTGAGTCAACCGTATGCCATTTGTCCAGCTATATACGGTATATATGCTAATGACTGTCTAGGTCGTTACTTGATTGTTTCGTGACAACGAGGATATTATCAACTGCTCGGAACCAATGAGCCCACCTAAATCACCCCCCCCCCCCCCCCCCCCGCAAGCTCAACGCTTCACACAAATACGACAAACCGCGGTTCCCCTCAAGTCCTAAATGCCAGGCACCTGGTGAAGGGGTACGTGGGCGAGTGAGCGTGGGCCGTGGCCGGAATCAGTGGGCCGGCGACACATTTCCAGCGTCATCAGGAAGCTCGGGTCTAAAACTAGAAATTCACAGTAGGAACTGCCGGAATATCCTGGGTCGCCCAAGACATCAGATGCCCCTTACCCCTCTCCTCCGTGTTATTGCAGGGTTGTGTAGTTTGGCTGAGCTAAGCGCTGCGCTACCTAATAAGGAACTGGAATTAGTGTACAAATTAGTACTTTTGTTCTACCAATCATTCATTAAGACGACTATTGACTGCTCGCCCTTCTCGTCCACCTTTCCATTCTGTCCAAATGATCCATCCCATCGCCACTGTGGATAATTCACGCTTGCCCGGAAGCAATGCCATAAACCTGCTGCTGCTGTATCAAGCGGGGAGACGAGCCAGAATAATAGATCGGGAACGGACACCAGCTCTAGAGCCGACTCCGACACTGAACCTGGCGTCGATTCGGACAACGATACTTCGTCGGGCCGTGAGAACGACAATTATACAGATGACACCAGAACCTGATGATGCGAGTAGACGAGAGAGGTGGAAGCGGTGGTGGACCAACGCTCCCAGAAATCTCTATGGACGAGCTAATAAACGACCATATACTGCTGTAAGGGAAATGAACTATGGGTCCTCATTGGACTTGTAATAGACGGGCCCCATGGCGGCGCTGTGTGCTGCCAGGAAACAAGATTTGATTCTGTTTATCGGTAGTGCCTCTGATTGCGGTACGGGAAGAATGGCCGGAGACTGAAGGGTGTCAAGAAAGCCAGCTCATTGGAATCCCAGATATGCGAAAGGTCTTTTCTGTTTAATTTTAGGTCTAATGTTTCGGAAACGAGCACCGTGGCTGAAAATCCCTTCGATACGTAGAGGCTACCACGAATACAATAGGCTACATTTCAAAGTTATACAATTGAACACGAAACTGGTGGCAACACCCCTCTTTTTGTTTCCTAAACTCTACAGTGGAGATAGTACAGACCTAAGGAGATGGCCATCAAAGCAGAAAGTGGGCAGTCATGCGTTAGGAAGGCTGCAACCTCAGGACAAGCCTCACTTATCTGATATTGATTGGTATTCTAACTTGCTAATTCCAGCCTCCGAAGTCCCAAGAGAGAGATTGAGGAAGATTAATAGTGGACCAATAGCAGAACTGCGATGCCAGACACTTGTGTTAGGTGTTACATAGAAAGAGGCAGTGAATAGGAGCGAGCGGTAGCGTTGAGGAATAGCACTGTTATCAACATAATATATTGAGAACCGCTAGATAAAATAAGCCGCCAGTATAGAAAATATACAGTATCTGTCGGATTGTAGTTTTAAGTCTGTAACCATATTATAACAGTAACAACTATTATTAGATAAGCAATAGATCAATACTTGTTCATTGACCGCAGACTGTACCGTGGATGTCCAAGCCTCCGTAACGGGCTACGGGAGCGTCGGGGCTCTGATGGAGACCGTCCGGAACGCTGCTGGGGTAGAGAAATCGAGGGGTGCAGCTTCTTCGGCGTTGTGTAGTAGGTAGCTGGAAGCGTGCCTTTCCTTCTGCCTGGAAACTTGGCCGCGATCTCATTCTATGTATAACCTTTCTTCCTTAACTGCAGAAGGTATTACTTCTGTTCAGATAAAAGGGGACCAGCGGTCGCGGCAGAACGGTCCAGTTTCTGCTTATTTGTGCTAGTATTTGCACCAGGAATGGGTTTTGGAGGTGACGCTTTGATGGGTCCGTGGACGAGCGTAAGAAGTTGAATAACTTGACTATCGAACACACGAAAGGTGGACTTGCCGAAGCGGGTGGGAAAGTCTGTATGCCAAAGGTCGATGGAAAGAACCGTTCCATTCAAATTCCACGGGCCTCCAGTGACTGGGGGATGGTGACAACTCGAAACTGGGGTGGAGACAATATTTCTCTCAGTCTCAACAGAAGGGCTGGCTATCTTGGAAGGACGAGGGTTCCGGGTCTCTATATGAGAGCATACATAGTTCTTTCGTGGACCTTGAACGCTGCCTAAGGGCAGTTCCGTGGGATTGGTGGGAAAATCGCTACTGGCATCATGAGTAAAACTTGGCTGTTGGCTTGACTGTGGTAGAGGATTACAAGTCACACCGGCTGCCACCCAAGAAAAGGCAACATCCGACACGTGGAGAGTTTCTGCACAGATTGGCGTAATCTTATACAATCCGGATGAGCCAGTACCTGGGTATCGGGTTCGCAAGGGTTTTCTGACGCGGCCACACTTAACGCCTTCTCAACATCGTTCGGTGCCTCTCCAGGGCTAGGTGGCAGGGTCTATTGAGGCAACCCTCTCACAGTGGATCCGTTAAGGGCGTACGGACACACCTATACCATACGCTACGTCTTTATTGAGGACTACTACACAACCGCCAGGACAATGCCATGTACGATTAAGACATATACTCTTTTGCACATCTTCTTACCTCTAAACAAGTGACCATATCCCTAGGTTCATTGGGTTGTACTCTTGAATCTGTTCTTCCACAATGTCAATTTCCATTCATCCCCACCGGGATCATCCCTTCCCAACTTAACAAATACTCTGTCTCAGATTGACTGTCACTCCAACACCTCCTGCTAAGCCCAATTACACTATTCTACTGTGCGTACATGGCATATGTTTCCTACCCAGTGGCCATGTATATACAACGGCAGGAACAGCCACAATAGCTGTCAGGAACGCAAGAAATACACTGCTATCCGGTAACAAGTGCCCTGGCGTGGCTCTCGGAATGTGCACTGTATGCATCTGTCCCACTCGTCTATATGATGTAACCCACAAGTTACCGACACAGATGACTACAACAGCATGTGCAAGTTGCCCTTTTGGTAGGAGCTGTAGGAATACTCGACAAGATTATTCCACGAAGCCGTGGCAAGTAATGAGTTTGTTGTTGGTGTCCGGAAAGAGACTTGTCAATCTGCCCTTATTTCACGTATAAGTTGTCGTGACGGAGGGATACCAATCCTCTCCATAAGTAGAGTTAAGGTTGACTTTGCCAGAGACGGACCCATCTTCCAACCGAACCCATGTCAAGATCTGTTTTTCCAGAGTCGTCTCGTCCAACAGGATCTGTCGTGATCCCCGAGTCCACGACCCGTATCCTCCATACCCACTATGACGCCCGAAACACAGGTTCAACCCGTTACCAGTCAGATTCATACCGGGAAGCTTCGAGTCCCATTTAAAGCACCTTTTCATTTTCTTTTAGCATGGACGAACGGAGAAGGCAGAAAGCAGGCCGCCACTTACCAGTCATCACCATGATCATGGCCACTGAACGTCGCCAGGAGACCCTCCGTGTTCAGCATTGCCTCCATGAATGGAATGTCTTGACCGGCGTAGCTGAACACAGTTCCCGAAACCTCTCCCTGCCCGCTTGCCTCACCCTGTTGGTCTAAAGGATTATCGTCGTTGATGCCCGGCTCATAGTTCGCGTTGACCCCTTGCTTCTGAAAGGCAAGCATTGCGTTGACGGGAATGTGGTAAAATGCAATTGAAGGAATCACTCTGCCATACTTCTTTCTAAGCTCTGTGTTGGTTTGTATGAACCATTCAACCACCTAAGACTACCTAGTTAAAGGATATTAAGCCACAAGAGAATAAGGCGTATGACTAACCGACTCATCAACCCAACAAGGCTGCGGAACTTGACTCCCATTCTTTAGCTGCTGGTAATAGTTCCCACCACGGCTATCGAAGAACCACAGGATAAGGGCTGGGGTGTCTTTAGATGAGTCCGACGGGTAAACGGGCAGGTAATAGTTGGATACACCAGCAAGCGCTCCCGAGACCATACTTTTTGTCAGGCTATTGGAGTAGGTCTTCTCTCGCTCCAGGATAGCACTGCGGGACAGGTTATAATCGCTGTCATGGTTACCGTAGGTAGAAGCCCAGAGGAGCTGGCGATCCACGAGAGGCGCTACAAGCTCATCGATATAGTTGGTCGCATTGGACAAAAAAGTGTTCTCTCCGGTGATGAGATCGCCATTGAGAATGACCAACTGTGGGCTTTCGTTGTCGAGGACGGTGTTGATCACAACCTTGGTCTCAGCGTCTTGCGTTGGTCCCCAGGCGGTGGCCTCCGCTAAACCTAGTTAGCGGTGCTGTCGTATTGAAACCGAAGAATTAGCTCACCTTCGCCGTAGTGTAAGTCCTCAAAGATAGATAGCTGGAAAGTTCCATTCTTTGTGAACTGAAGGCGTTTCTCCGTGGCTGTTCTCCGGTTTGCCTGGGGGAGCGCAGAGGCACCTAGGGCTAAGCTCAGGGCTACCAGAACAATGCAACGAACCATGATTATTACTATAACATTTGCGCTTCGGATGTGAACCTCAGGGCTTGACCAGGAAACGTGGTAGTATTATATAGCTCAACTATCAGTTGCGTGGTTTGCAAACCGTCCGGTAAACATTCGCCTATGAAGCCCGCACACTGCCTGTGTTGGGGGAAATTGTATTGATACTGATTAAGCGAGTCCGCATTTGCGTCTCTGCGTTGAACACGTTGTGGCATTCCTTTCCATGACAGGCTATAGCAGACAAGCTGCAGTGGGGCCCTTAATTCCCGCCGTTCCTGCAGCGGAGATTCCAAGCGCCGCCACACAACCACATCATTGCCGATTGGGGCTATAGAAATATTCATCAAGAGACCAAACATTTCTAATGGCGATTTGATTGGCATATGAAAAGTTGAACTCCTAAGTGCTTCCGAATGTCTTCTATACGACGCAGCAGTCAAGGCAGGAAAGGTTAAGACCCACCGGAAGTCTCCATATAAAACGCGTCACCTCCGACCAAGCCTTTTTCTTTCTCTATCTACTATCTATTTCTTCATCAAATATCTCCTAGAATGCCTCTAATGGTGATAAGCCCAGATCGGATAAAAAATCCTGAATTAAACCCCTACCCTAGGGATATTCTATGTGGTCTATGCCATCCAGGGGTCTCTATAGCGAACATTGGGGAAATGCATTTAACATCTACATCAACTGTTTAGGTAGAATACAGCCGAGCAAAAAACGCCCCGAAATAAGTAGAACTAAAGTGTTGAGCAGTGACAGCCGATCATCTGTCTAGACAAGTGCTCGTTTTAATTAAAAAACGGAAAATTTCAGACGTAGTGCTGTAGACTGAATCAACTGGGCAGGAAGTGGAAAAAAGAAGCATACTAATACTACTCTAACCAGCAAGTCCAAAGGTGTATCTATTATGATCTGAGTAGTGTAACTGCTAGTGCTTTGAAGTAGCTTTTGCTCTGATATTAATATTGTAGTGCGTGGTTTTGACTCCCAACAACATAGCTGCTCTAGAAAAGCTGTCTCAAGATCCTGGAAGATCCTAGCTATTCGATCCGGGAACCTGACTTAGAATTTATGCATCGGAGCACAGCCAGTAGAAAGCAGACGAGGTAATTGAAAGGTATCCACTATATCCGATCCGGGATTCATGGGATTGATCGCTGTCTTCGGAGCCTTAATATACATACCTAAATGGAAACTCAGGAAAGCGCTGAAACAATTCAGTGTTGAATAATAGCAATGGCGAAGCTCTATCCGAGGGTCAGTTAGCAGACCTAACTTCCGGTCCATTAATTCTGCTACTTGTTTCCAGCCAGAACTCTATGCATTTCTCAATGTTCCTGACCGTGAGATTAGCTCTTCTCAATCTGCATCACAATTATCATCGTACCCACCACGTTTAGTTACTGCTGGTTCTTCGATCATATCATTTACCCCCCGCAAAGTCTTTCGCCAACACCAATGAAGCATGGTTCTGGGGTTATTCTAGCAAGAATGAGGTTTGCTCAGAGTGGTAGACAAGAAAGCAGAAGTTGAAGGATATTCCATGCCTTTTTTGTGCGGCGAATGGAGGTTACTCAAGTAGATTGAAGATAAAGGTCGAAAATGTTCCACGTGCTCGTGAGGACTTTCAGATATCTAGGCACCTGGCCATCCAGTTCGGGGATATCACCCGTCCCTGAGAGGAGTGGGGCTTCGGGGACGAAATGGGCTTTGGTGGGAGGAAATGGGCTTTGGTGGGAGGAAAGATCCCCAGCCTCCTCTGATCTGGGGCTTGGGGACAGGACGAGTTAACTCCAACTAGGCACGGGCTTTTGCAGGTTGCGGTGCGGCCGGATCCAGACCCTTGTTCGTATCGCGCAACACTAGCGAGTCAGAACCAGCGCTATGATGAGAGAGGTCACCATTAGCGTGCGAGACAAGGCTGTATTGTGGAGACAGTGCCTGACAGGGATTTGTTTCCTTCTCGCCGAGTTTTCCTTCTTGGTCTTAGACTGACGAGGTCTGCTGATCACAGCTCTCGCTGCCATTATGCTGCGTTTAGATGCATAAAAGTTATACACAAGCGGAAGTCTAAAGTGGTGGAATAATGAGCATCTACGCTCATTGCAACCAATTACACCCTCGCCAAAGCTTCATAACTACACTCATCTATGTCGGCTTCGCACACCAGGCTCGCCAGCTTTGACAAGATTGATTGCATCCGCATTACATACTCCCCCTGCAAGATGCCATGCCGTAACTGAACTACGCGTTATTCGTCCCCGGAACCAGAATAGGTTCTTCAGCGTTATACTATAGATGGGGCCCTGTTAGATAAAACCGGAACTTGAGCAGAAAAGGATTCCATTCATATACCACAGTCAGGCTTTAACGTGCAACAAAAATCAACAATGCATAAATCGAAGCAAGCAGCAAAGTTATAAACGATGCCAAATAGCCTAAAGATAGCGAGAGGGTGTCATCAGAGTCAAAGCAAAAGAAATCAACGAAGTGTCATGTTCTCAAGAATATCCGCCAATCCATTCTCATCCTCAATAGTTTTCTTCGGCGTGACCTTCACCGGCGAGGCAGGATATGCGCCGGGGACGTGAGGAAAGAGGACGCGGCCTTTGTGTGTCGACATACTCTCGACGGGGGTCCAGTATTCCTCCGGGTAAACGGAGGGCGATCCAGCCGGTATGATTAAACGCTCTCCCAAGACGGGCTTTCCGTTTCGTGAGCGTGCAATTGGGGTTGGGGTGGGAGGATCGATGTAATCATCATCGGGCATTCCAGATGCAGAGCTTGAAGGAGAAAGTCCAGGCACCGATTCTATATCGTCCTCGAGGTTGAGTTCCTCCAAAGCCACGATAGCATTGTTGACAACGGGCTTGCCTGGCGTATTTGGCATGGAATGTAATACTGGGTTCTCCCAGAATTGAACCCATTCTTGAGCCCATTTGTACCATCTGTCTGGATCTGAAGAGAAGCCAGGAGATGGAATACGCACATTAACTCGCTTCTCGGGGTCCTGGAAGCCCAATGAAAACCGGCACCAAACTTTAACACGTTGGTAAAGCTCATCGAGGTCAGCTTTGAACCATTCTGTGTGAGTGGTGTTGCACTGGCCACATTTATGTTTGTACCGATCCTGAGTCAGCTCGCACTGTATCACCCTTTCGAATAGGTCCGCGTTTGGACAATAGATGGACCGACGTTCCGTAACATTAGGATAGCACTTCTCATGTTCACGAGCCCTTCGTGAGAGATTGGAAGAGTACCCAAGCTTGCACATGCCTTTCGCATCTTCGCACTCAAAGATATATAGATGGTCTCTCTTCTCCTTGTTACTGTCCGTGGTGGATTTTGTACTTATCTTGCGGTCAGCCATCTGATCGAGTTTGTCCGCGACGTATTTGTCCATATTGGCAGATTTATATGGCGTGAATACCAACTTGGAACTCCCCTCGTCCTCCTTCGACTGTGCATTGAAATTTCTCGCCGGTGTTGCTGGACTAACAGCCGGACTATTTTGCATCTTAAGCTCAGAGTTCCACTGGCGAATGGCATCTTCTATGGCTCCAGCTATTCTTTTTTTTTGAATCCCGCAGATAGTAAGCTCAGCCAATTTCTTTAGCTTAGTTTCTCTCTCGTCATCATCAATCCCGGTTCTGTAGCTGTCTTGAAGCTCCTTGTGAAGTTTCTTAATCGCAGTGATCGAGGGTCTCGGGTTCGACCTGCAGCGATCTTTTCCATTTATCTTGTATGCGGCACACTGGCCAGTATATTCGCCGGGCAATAAATGATCAAATGGAATGAAATAGGTCTGTTTTGTCGCCATATCGACCTACCTTGGCTGAACATATGGAACTTTGTCCTGTAGACGATGGGGGCCTGGAGTCCACATTGCTTATTATATGGCGCTCAGTCCCTAAATTAGAAGCAGTCCCGGGGATCCGAGAGCAAGAACAAATTGCGCCCTGCAACCCCTGCGCCACCGTCTCTAACGAACCCCTCTCAATTTTGCGAAAGGATTGCTACCCCAGCTTGGGTGGAGCCTACGAGTCAGGTCTAGTTCCAAGAAAAATGACTAGCCCGGGGAACGAGCGAGCTGATCGGCGGCCCGTCCCAGCAGCGTAATGCGTACGAGTTCCTCCGTACTTTTGCTCTCAGGGGCTGGGATTCCCGGTCGAACCCATATTCAATTGGATGAGCAACATTTCGCGTGCGTCGGTTCCTGCAGCTCTGCTCTCAATGGTAACTACTACTAGTAGCGGACTATTTAAAACATGAGGCAGGTGCGCCAGCAGTGAGAATCTTACCTGTCTAACTACAGTGAGCCATATCCCCGCCACTCTCCTACTGCGCAGTACGGAGTTTGCCCAAAGTCTTTCCTGCTTCGCGCTGTCTCTCCTGTATCCCTGTCTCTGGAAGATGGAGTGTTTCTAGCCTCTCTCTTTACCTTGGCCTTTACTAGAATGGTACGGGTTCCCCGCCGGACCCGCCCCGAACCCGCCCCGAACCCGCGGATTTCCGGACTCGATCTCTGATCCTGGACACTCTTTCCGTGGCAGAATGGAGTTTTATATCATTTATTGTGTCGTGCTACTACTTCGCTTTGGACTTTACACAATTTGAGACAATCCAGCGATAAATTCTATATCTGCTATTCCAGGAGTTAGGGCAACTGTTAAGTAATAGCTAGGTGAAGAGCTAGACGAAAACTCCGTCTCCCGGTATTTCAACCTAGACCTAGCGCTAGTCCCACTCATATTTCACCAACAAGGCTATGAGAACCTGGAAAAATACACCCTGGTTTAAACACTCGGTCGTTTATCACGCAACTCTTCAAGCCACACCATGCTCTTTGCTTTCCCTGGGGCTATATTATCTACTGCACTGTCTATACTGCTGGGTCTGTCAAGTTATAGCCTCTTGCAATAGTTCAGCTGAACCGCTCTATACGGTATGAAATTGAGCAGAGTCTCTGTCAGAATTTGGAATAATATAATTTGCCGCCGATCTAACTAGCTGCAAACAATCCCTGCAAGTCGGCCTGTGCAGTGTTCAGCTCTTTCTCCAGCCTGGTTACTGCCCTAGCGCCTACCATCGTTACTGTAGTGAGAGTTGAATAGAACCTGCGAGGCAGAACACCATTCTTTTAGCAGGCGGTCTATCGATCGGCCACTAAAGCGTAGCTTTGAGATGCCACTTAAACCAATCAATTTTCCTGACTGCCTCCAGGAGCAGTAACTACTATCTGATACTGCTCGCTCCACTTCCAACTTGTGCACTGCTAGACTCCCCTGTTCCTTGATCACGACAATGTCAGTAACTATTTACTCCAAGGTGGTTGAGCTGGGCGGTTTGATCCCCAGAGTTGTGGACCCTGAACGCGAAGGTATATACTATGTACCCTGTTCCACTGATGTCTTCTGGTGACATGTCATCTAAGATGAGGATGTAGAGAGACTCATTCCCTGGGTTTTTGAACATTCGGATATTGTAGATGAGGATCGCATACTTAGTGGGCCAGACGAAAACTACAAATTCTACCAATTCTTTTATCACCTATATTCCTACCGATGCGAGCTACAAGAAAACGCCTTTGATAATATAAGGATCTCGAATATCTTCGTACCCAGCCAAACAATCACCTTGCCCACAAAGAGCTGGCGTATATCTGGCAGAGAGCAATCGAAATATCTTGTACATGACCGGTGCATAATATCCAGCTTGCTAATAGAGACTATCTATTGCAATCTCGATACTGTCAAGAAGCAGGATTCCCAGAATTGGGTACGTCCCTTATCTTCTTTTACACCTAGCGTTCCTAATCTCCCTAGGTTTACTACCCATGGACGCGACTTGAGATATACGATTGGCGGTAAACGATTGGCCACCAGAGCAGAGGGTGCCGCTATTGTTGGACCAAGAACTCAATATCTACCAATACTCTCTTTTACTGGGGTACTTATACAATAATATGTTTGAGTAGGAGTCTGCTGATACTACTTGGTGGTTTACAGGGCAGACTTGGAGAGACCTTTTGATAGAAACTTTCAGTGCGATGTTGGGACAGCTTACTAAAGATCTTAGTATCCTGGATACCGATTTCCAAGACCAGGAGGCTTTTATACCTGGCTTCTAAGGTCCTTATCTCCATATTGCTCGCGGGTTCTTTACGAAAGATCTCATCTCCAGAGTCTATGCACAAGGATATTTCGATCAGGAACCTATTAGTCTAAAGTTTACGCGGAGTTATAACTTATTCCTCAAAGAGGACTGGCTTGAAGCGACACGTGCACTAACCAGGTTGCTTCGATATCTGCTCAGTGGAACGGCGAGAGTTGGGGCTATACAAAATTATGTCAAGTAAAGACGCAGCCCCAATGTTCAAACTTTCGTTCGCACCAAGACCATTCTATCGATAGTCTGCACTCTTTTATTTTATCCAAGTTTAACTTAATTCACTAGGTCACTAAAAGAAGTCAGACCAAGTTGGTAATTTAAGCTCAGCGGATCTGAGCTTAGACTCGCGCTACGTATTCTCCATGAAATGTGCCTGATCTAGACGAAGTTATAGTCTTTGTAATGTCATGGCATGAATGGAACGGTCAACCATTCCACGGATATACGCAATACCTCATCTTGAGTAAATCTTCGTGATCGTTTGGTAGTGTGAACTCCGCTTATTACACGGATGTCATTGACAACCCCGAAGTAGATAATCGATACTTACGGAATACTTCAAATTGGATATCTCGGTGTCTTCCGGGTGATATACGGCCCGGCACCATGTGGACCATACCCGTACATATCGAAGTCTCTAATGCAGTGGCCAATCCAATGGCCTCGGTACTCATTTCGGCAGACGTTTTTCGGTGCCAAGATCGACTTGGCTTCAGTTGGTGCCTCCACGCCGACCCACATCAGCAAGGGGAGGCCACTATTTAATTGCCAATGGGCTTCCAAGAGCTAAACCGTGCCTGAGCACGGTTGGTAGCAGGTCAGGGGGTTCATATAGCCGTGACGTGACGGAATTGTGCCCAAAATGGTCTCGGGATCATCCGACGCTCAAGCAGCGACTTTCAAGAGTAGCACCGAGGTTAGAACCACCATTGCTGACTCGGAAAACCCAAAGAAATGGCCGAAAGAGAAAAAATGGACTATCACCGTTGTTGCCTCACTCATGACATTCTCCGTCACGTTTGCGAGTAGTATCTTCAGCACCGCGGAAAAGCAAACGGCGGCAGAGTTCCAGGTGTCGCACGAAGTGACGATATTAGGTCTTAGCTTGTTTATGTTGGTGAGTGATCTGACTCTGAAAACGACAAGGATAATTCACTTCGGATGATTGGCTAATGAATCGACGTAGGGATATTGTTTTGGACCGCTGCTATGGGGCCCACTATCCGAAAGCCATGGACGTAGATTACCCTTGATGCTGGGTGTGATCGTCTTCTGTATCTTTCAAGTACCCGTAGCTGTGGCCCAGAACGTGCAAACCATTATAATCTGCCGCTTCATTGGTGGTCTGTTTGCCTGCTCGCCTCTGTCAATTGTCGGAGCCACTCTTGCGGATATCTGGGATCCGGTGGAACGTGGAATTGCTGCGTGTATATACTCTGGGGCGACATTCTCTGGACCCGTTCTGGGCCCGATTGTGGGCGGCTTCGTCGTGAACAGCTATCTCGGCTGGCGATGGACAGCTTGGCTGACTCTGATCCAAGGGGTCTTTTTCTGGGTCCTTGGCATGATTTTTGTGCCTGAAACTCACGCTCCGACATTGTTGCGTCGGTTCCAGGCTCGTGAGTGCGGTTCTGGCGCAAGAGAAGAACTAGGGCAATCAAGTACCACATCGCCCGTAAGCCACATGAACTGGAGGGAATTTATGACAAAATACTTGGCGCGACCACTTGGTAAGGTCATTGTGATTGAGTGCCACCATTTCACTAATAAATGAGTAGTTATGTTGGCCTCCGAGCCCATCCTGCTGTTAACAACCCTGTATATGTCCCTCGTCTACGGGACGTTGTATCTCTTTTTTGAAGCGTATCCCATCTCGTTTCAGGACCAGCGCGGATGGAATGCCGGTGTAGGAGCACTGCCTTTCCTGAGCATTAGCGCAGGTGTCGTCTGCGGCAATCTGACCATCGCAGCAACAACTATCCTCCGTCTTAAACGCAAATACAATGAAGGCGGCGGTAAAGTCGCACCGGAGGAGCGCCTGATCCCCATGATGGCCGGTGCCGTCGTTTTACCACCAGGACTATTCTGGTTTGCATGGACCAGCAGCCCTCACATCACTTGGATACCTCAGGTCCTGGCTGGGATTCCGATTGGCATGGGTATTCAGGTCATATATACGATGGGCCTCAACTACATTCTGGACGTGTACACCCCCTACGCTGCCAGCGCTGTCTCGGCAAACACCTTTGTGCGATCCATGGCTGCGGCAGGTTCCCACTGTTCGCCACCCCAATGTATAACCGTCTGGGAATTGATTGGGCGACCTCGCTGTTGGGCTTCGTGTCGGTGCTCATGATGCCAGTACCAATATTGTTCTATGTCTATGGGGAACGACTAAGGAAGCTAGGCCGGTATAGTGTCACGTAAATGAGTCGCGCATGGTTTCCATATATAACCAAATCGGACGTTCCCTGTAACTTTGCAATTTCGACTTTCTAGCTCCAGCAACTGAGAAGATTCTTTTCTGCGGTCACCCCTAGAGGCCACCGCAATCTAACGCCTATATACAACATGCTACTCCACAAAACACAGCGGCACACAGCAACCAACGCTATATCTCCACCACGGGCCCGGAGTACACCCTCCTAGCACGAACGAAATAGTATAAAAGGCTGAGGATAATCGTCCCTCCCGTACCGACCACGCTGTAGTTCATCGACTGCACATCTGCGTGGTTGTTTGGAGGCCAGAAGCTGAAGAAAGTGGCAATGAACATGTAGATTAACGAGAAGGCATTCAGCACGATCCCCCATATACCCTGAACATGGAATGGGCCCCAGACCAGCTGCGCTCCTGCCGTGTTGATCTTGATCTCTGAGCCCCGGCTCCCGTTGTTTCTGGTCATGATTCCGCCAGTGCAACGCCGGTAGAGGAGTAGACCGGCAACAGCCATGTAGGATAAGTACAGGCCGGATGTCGACATCGATACCAAACTATTGAATGCCACGTCGGAGCCAATGTTGATGAGATTGAGAAGGAGCGAGATGGTCGTGGTGAAAACGACGGTGTATGTTGGTATTGCGGTGCGCGTTGTGACCTGGACTAATTAGTGCTGTCGTGTGGATTGGTCTCTAGCCACCTACTTGACTCCATATTTGCCAGCCAGGGATTCCTCGGTCACGCGAAAAGGACCAGAATTGGCGCGAAGCGGACGCAAGCATGCCCACTGAGGTACAGAAGCATAACACAATGATTATAGAAGCCATAACGACTGTCCCTGGGATGGACTCCGTTGCTTGCAGGAAAATGCCGACAAAGGGTAATCCCGTGGGATCATTCAGTGCTTTATCGATGTCGCCGAGGCAAAAGAGCAAGGCGAGAAGCATGGCAAAACCAAGGGTTCCGTTGATCATGACAGTGAGCATCAACGACCAGGGCACATAGGTAGGGGCGTTGGAGATCTCTTCTGCCATCTAATAGCGAATAAATTAGCCGTTTTCTTTATATCTGCGAAGCTCAGAGGTCTCGAGTACTCTGACAGGGATATCCAACTCCGGAATAGGTGACGTACATGAACAGCGGCATCGCCACCGGCAAAGGCAAACACAGGACCTATTAATCCAATGAAGAACGAGAGGCCCTGGGTTGGCCATTGTCCTTCATTTATAAAATGAGTAAAGACCTCCTTGGCGCTTTTATGGTCGGCCATATAGGTTAGGGGAATCAAGATCGCAAAGAACCCAAGAATGTGGAGAATTAGAATCGTCCCTTCGAACCGTGGTAGAAGCTTGCCTCCCACACAGTTGATGGCCAGACCGATCAATGCGGTTGCATAAGAGTATAAAGTCATATGCCATGCTTGCGGGACGTAGTTAGAATGCGTCAGGGAGATCATTGCTGCGATATAAGTTCCATTAAGGTAAATAGCCGTTGCATAAGTAGCCTGCCATCCGATCACAGTGAGCCAACCTACCATGCTTTGTCAGTATCTCCACCCTCTCGCCTTAGGTCTAGGCCTCGCAGGGAATAGGACTCACCCGTGATATAACTGGAGAGTTTCATGGCCGACGGAGGTGCCAACATCGAACACCAGTGGTACTGTCCACCGGCTGTTGGAGCCCTATCAAGTGGTCAACAAGGGTTTGAGATCTGGATCGATGTCTTACATTGAAACGAGCTCTGATAGTACAACGAAGGTTGCTGTGACACCAACCCACACAAAAAGGAAGGCATAAACCGACCCAGCCGGGCCGCCACTACAATTATGTCAGTATCACGCCGATCCTCTGGCTTGTAATATGGATTACCACATACTTTTGGAAGGCTTGTATGAATAACCTATAATGGATCCTGATATTAGCCACAACAGACCACAAAAGATTGATTGTGGATGCAGACAGTAACATACGCTGTTATACCCTCCCAGGTGATGAGAATCGTACAACTGAACCCCAGGATTGACATCAAACCAAAGTTTCTCTAGACCAAGCCATGAAATATCAGATGAACTGCGACCGATTTTGGTTCGGGAGAAGATGGGCAAGACTTACCCTTAGGACAGCGCGCTTGCCAATGCGTGCCAGGTTGATATCATCCAAGTTCTCCTGGGATGAGCCATCTATTTCGTGTAGTGCTGCAGGCGGAGCCTGTTTCAGCTCCTGGTGAGCCATGGTGGAGATAACCCGGAGGTTGGGGTTTAGTAAAGTAGAACAGAAGTTATTGAAAAGTGAAAGGTTATAGCATGACCAAGATAGGACTGCAATAGGAAGAGATATTTGAGCTTCCACTGTCAAATTCCCGGTGCCGACAGAGAGAAGACTATGTACATACAGGGGTGGAAATTTCTTCGGCGCCCTTTCTCTCAAATAGAACTGCCCGCAGCACAGAGAGGACTAGACTCCATGCTTCGGTTACAAGCGATGATACGCCAAGTAAACTGTTTGATTGACTTTGATACCCTGGAGGAGGGGAATCTATACATATGGACTGATTTGTTACGACATCGCAGGGGTTCGAGTCAAGGGCGTCTTTAGCTGCATATCCGTTCCCTGGGTCAGCCCAATCACATCACTACTCCCTAATAGCGGTACAACATGGAACTTGCCTAGATTGCCCAGGCGGCCTCGGATAATCTTGTAAAGGTCTTAGATCCTTGTGTTTCTAGGGCGCTCATCAATTAACGTTCTGACTAGACAAGGTGCTGTTGCCGTCCCGCGCCGACAACCCCTGGTAAAAAAATATAGTGGCCTCCCATGGGCCGGCCTACTGCCGTCTTCGATCGTTTGTCCCTGATCCAGGTAATTTCCACCTTCATTAAAGCTGTTCACCATGGCAGTGGTACGGTGTCGCTGGTGGGATGGTTAACGAGGTTACGAGGCGTGGTTACCTCTGCTCCGAGGGCGTCGTAATAAGTCCCTTGTCAACGTCTCGCATTTCGTTGATGTGCTGCCTTTCTCCCCTTTGCATGCGCAATGGGTCGGCTTGCGAAAGACAACTGGAAGCCCACGGTCAATGTCGTGACCTGGTTTCTCATGACTACGGCCATCCTCTGCGTTCTCACCCGGCTGGGCACTAAGTACTGGATCTTCCGACGGTGGACGACAGACGACTACCTCAGTATCGTCTCAGTAGTCCTCTGCGCGGCGCAGTCTCTGGCTATGTCAATGGCCACAGCCCATGGATATGGCGAGCATTATGACGGATTATCAGGGGCAGCCATGGACAACATCATGAAGGTGAGTTGTACTTGCTCCTCGATTTCGAGGCATCACTCATATCTTATAAGTCACAATACACTGCAGCTATTCTCTTTATCACGACTATGTGTGTTTCGAAATTAGCCCTTATCCACTTCATCTGGAGCGTGACACCAGCTACATCCGACCGTCGCATTGCCATCGGGCTAGAAATTTTCACGATCCTGTGGGCTGCAACAAGTGTTATCGCTTCTATCTTCCAGTGCACGCCGCCTCAAACATGGGACTATCTGAGTGGGCAATGCTTCAACCTTGTATACTATGATCTTCTCCACGAAGCTCCAAGAATACTGCTAACAATGGGAGGCGTAGCGCGCGTGGTGGAACTATCTTGGAGCGGCGAACATCCTGTCCGAGTCGGGAATCATCATCCAGGCCCTTCTGATTATTGTTGGGATCCAGGCAAACTGGACGAAAAAAGGAACTTTGGCTACCATCTTTGGGCTTCGTATATTGTGAGTATCACCGAGCAATATATACTACCTCTACTACTATGGGCCGCTGATGGAACACTCGAGTGTGATCGCCGCCATCATCGCTCAGCTTATCTATGTCAACAAAACAATTAATTCCAAGGATCCTACGTTCGATACCTGGTCGGCTACTGTATCGACGCAAATAGTTCAGTGTTTGAGTGTGGTAACTGCCTGCTCTCCACAATTCAAACCGTTCATGGATAGCTTGCGCTCCACGGGCATGCGCATTGACGGATTGACCAGTTACAATATGGCATCGACGAAGCGACATGGATTATCCTCATTGCGTTATCAATCGACATTTCACGACAGTGAGGTTCACGAGCTTACTTCCGTACGCCCTGTCAAGGACACATATGAGACAACCGTTACCGCGTCCGGAGCGATCTCCGACGGCGACGCAGAGAGTCAGTCCAGCGAAACTCATATCATTCGGGAGGTCAGGGCCTTCACAGTGACCGAATCCGTGCGCGATCGTCATGATTAGCTGTGCTGCGTGCGAAGGCAGTCCACAAATGGATCCCATCATTTTAGCTATCGTTCTGTGGGCCACTACGTGTTAGTGCTCCCTCGGTCGGTTTTCCGGCCACCAAGAATAAATTAATACTTCATCTGGGTGATTATCGTAGCCAGGGTATTATATTCATTATTAGCCAAAGATGAACGCCGCCTTCTTGGCGTTTCACGTAGCATTCATTCATATTCTTCCTTCCACCCGCCGTACTTGGCGTACTTTCGTACTTGATCTCGACGGGACTCTAGGTTGGATCCATTACGGGCTGTGCACGCAGTATGGCTTCAGTGCACCGCATGTTTTGTGAACAATATACTCTAATCGAGGTTGGGCGATGACTCTAAGAAAAGGCAAGGCTTAAGACATCATACGGTTCGCAGAGCGAGGGACATCCACGTCCTCTGGTTTGGTAGAGCAGGGGTCAACGTGGCACGGCTTCTATGGTAGCGGTTCAACATAGGTTACAACAACAAATATTTATCGTCGGCACGGCCCGACAGTCTCAATCGACCGTAGGCCGCTCAATGTTACATAGACCACGGTCAGATCTTTACGCCAAGTACCGTGTGTCCCCGATCCCTGTCCCTGGAAGAGCAGGGGGTGCGTTAGACACGGGCCAGGGAGCCGATGCGTCTGGATGGTAACGTGGCGAGAAATAACATGTAGTGAGGTTCGTAGTTCACTCATGGGATGAAGGTACACTTTTCTCGGTATTCCCAGTGATATACATGCAACTGAAGCTAAGTAGTCAGTCAAAATAAACGCGCGCTGTTGTTCAGCCTTCTGCGGATCTATAGACCTAGAGCGCAGCCTATGTCAAATTGCGTGGATTACCAGGGAGGGAAATAGAAATATGACAGGATGGAGGCTAGTATAGGAGTTGCCAATAAGAAAAGGAATTCAATATAGAATTGAACGCAAAGATAGAACTTCGTCGACTGGTAGGGCAGCATCCTCTCAACTTGGCACCCCTTTGGGAGGTGCTCTCAATTGATCGCTCTGTATTATGATTTCAAATAAGCACGTGCCATTCATCAATCGGCCGGATGGTGTAGTTGGTTATCACGTATCGTTAACACCGATAAGGTCCTGGGATCGAGCCCCAGTCTGGTCATTGTTTTTTGTCCGATCTCTCTTCGCCTCTGGCCTTTCTTTTTTCCTTCCTTTTATTTTTATGTCTGTTCATCCTGATTCTAGTTCGAATTAAGCCATGGGGTTGCTTCTCTACATTGATCGTTGCCGTGGTTGTGAGGTCTATCCTAGATACGCTACTCGGTTGGTGTCGCGGATATATATCTTGAACGCTTAGCGCCCTGTTGTAGGGCTATTACTGTAGTATTTCCCCGGTTATATATGTACATACTATCTTATTTATTAGCTAATTTACTATATTCACAATATAACTCCTTTTCAATAAGGCCTATTTCTGCATTCTTCCAAGCGTAGAACCTCTTCTTCCAGCACGACGAGTCTCTCTTAATACATTTCCAACTTTGGTCATATTCAAGTCATGTATTTCGTAACCGACTCACTTGGCCGATTACGTGGCTGATCGAAATCAGTAATACAAAGCTAGGTAGCATACTGTATACATTAAATGACCTTCGTCCTGCCAGCACTACGTACATGCCAAGCCTAAGTGCCTGGACCAACGTAGCTTTGGTACTTTGACTACAAGTGCTGCCGCTGTGCATTCATATTGCTACTCTACGGCGAGTGCTACCCTAGTGTTACATAGCTTAATTCGGATGTTCAAAGAGTCAATAGCGCCATGAGGTGGCTCTAGTCCAGCCTGCACAGCATAGCCCTGATAGATTCATGGGAAAAGTGTAACTTTTGTCTGATGGTCGGTGGACCGCTAGATACATTTTATGCCCCAAAATTGAATCCCGCCTTCTGTGCGCTAAAGGTTGCGATCAGGTCCATCAGCGCTGGTGACAAAACGTCGTACGTCTCCAACCCAAGTCCTTTGAACCGTGCCCGGACATCATCCATACCCTTGGGGTTGAAGCCCTGCTCAATGATAGATGACACGAAGCCGGCAAACTGCGGCTCTTGCCATCCTTCCTCGTTGGAGAGCTCCACATGCACAAAGTCCAGCCCTTTGAAGGGATGGTCCTTTTCGATCCGGCCGTACAGGTGCACACCGCAGTCCTTACAGGCGTGGCGCTGGATCGCAGCCGATTCGTCGACAATCGTGAGCTTGGATTCGTTGGCGGTGACCGAGAGGTTTTCGCGTGGTATCACGCCAACAATGGAGAAGAGCGCTCCAGACGGTTTCCAGCACTTGGAGCAGCCGCAGGCATGGTTGTGGGCGACATTGCTCTTCAGGGAGACTGCGACTCGGTTCGAAGAGCAGCGACAGTACAGCGTTCCGCCGCCAAAGTTCTGGCGTCCTTTGACGATTCCATTGTCGATGAGCGGGTGGAGAGACATGGCCGTGGTAATTGTGATAACGGTAGTGGTTGAAACGAGAATTGCACTGCTCGAGCTTGGTGTGTGAGAATATGCTTCCGAGCTCGAGATCTCGATGCTCTTATATGCCTGCCAGGTCGCAAACTCTGAGGTGTCGATTCTCCGCGTGAGGGGTGGTAGACTGCCACAAGAAGCCATGATTCCGTCATCGACTGCGCGAGTCCCTCTCCCAGAGACGAGGCCTCCCTCTGTTCTCCCTCTTCCGTTCCCCTTCTTTTCCTCTCTTTTTTTTTGTTGGCGATAGACTGATGGCCTCATGCCCCCTCATCCCCCTCACCAGCCCCTCACCATCTCCTTGTCACCCATAGTCCATGGCCTAGATTTGTAATGTAGTGGCACTCGAGGCGCTCCAGCGTTGGCACTGTGGTGACTCACTTGAGGGCAATGTAACTTGCATGAGGGTTGAAAGAGAGTTCTGACTCGAAAAATCCCTCCCCGACACCCAAATTGGGCAATTCGTCTTTTAATGGGGGAGTTGAGCTCAGCCAGATTGTCGTTTCAGCGGATTGCATCTGCACCGAACGCGGGAAGGGCTATCCATGGTGGTCCTGCCTGCTGATTGGTCAGGTAGTACTGCCATTTTGGTCGAGGACGATTGGCCCCACCGGAGAATCAATGGTGGGTTACATTTACACCGTACAGCGTACGTCTGAAAAGTGCTATCACTCCACCTGTTCTACTAGTAGAGACATTCGAATTGACACAGGGCCTGGCCAATTATGCTTGCCGGCCCATGTGTTATGGATTCTAGCGGCTTATGTTGAACCCATCGAGGCGCCTTGGAATAACAACTTTATTTGCTCTATTTATGGAAACCATGCTGAAGAGGGTCCATTGAATAACTCTATACACTTATAGAGATATAATCTACGGGAAATTATTAAGAAATGCCATAGTTACTTCTACCAGGATTCGTATTGTGTAGCCTTTGGGACAGCTAGGAACAGGGTGTTTGCTGTTGATTTCCCTTCGTTGCCTGGATACCTTACTTTTGGTGGCTTAGACAGAAAGAAACAAGGGAAAGAAACATGGGAGATGAAAGGACAAGCGAGGCCACCAGGTAGAGCACGTTAAAATCAAGGACCACTCTCGGTTGTATTCTATACAAGGTATTGTGCCGCATGCGCAATGTGGTCATCCGAGAATGACGCCATGGTGTAGTAGCTATGGTCGTAGTCTGGTTGATAGCGTATCTGTAGACCTTTAACGCCAGCTTCGGTGACGGCTTGCTCGAAGTTTTCGGGGAGAAGTTGGCCTTGCTTGTAGAAATTGTCGCCAGTACCCTTGACGGACATGAGTCTCTGAATGTAGGACGTAGGGGATACGGGAGGGGGAGGGCACAAACCACGTCGATCAGCATCTTCAAGGGACCTTTCCATCCTTTCACCAACTCGGTAGAATCATATTCTTTCCATAAGTCCGGGTGATTCTCTCCGAGATAGCCTGAGAAGGCCTTTTGGCCCCAAGGGCAGTTGATGGGGTTACAAATCGGTGCAAAGGCCGAGACTGATCGGTATTTTCCGGGGTTGCGAAGGTACTTTCTACTGTTAGGGCAACTTCTCCAAAAAATCAAGAAAAAGGAAAGAAGAAGTGCGCCTGCGATATCAACACCGCGAAGCACACGAATTCGAGACATACCAGCATTAAAGCTCCGTGGCCGCCCATACTGTGACCCGTGATACTGACCCTCTCGGGATCCAGCTGGGGAAATTGTTGGAAAACTACATTGGGTAGCTCCTCTTTCACGTACGTGTACATCTTGTACGCTTCATGGTAAGGCTTCTGGGTCGCGTCTACGTAGAACCCGGCACCTGTCCCGAAGTCCCAGCTATCGTTCTCTCCTGGGATGTTCAGGCCCCCTATAAAGTGTCAGTTATTTCATGACTCTCACCCTGAGGCTCAATTTCAAATGACGGCTCGAGCATCAGGAAGGGCATCGAGAAATAGCAGCGCGGGAAGGACAGAGGAGTCGTACGAGGACTGGTATCGGGATATAGCACAGCGATTCCATTCTTGCTGGCCCCGTGCTGGAAGAACCCTTTCTCAGAGCAGTTATCGGCGGTACATGTCAGGCCAGAGAGATAGATCAGGACAGGAATTCTCCTCGGCGGATCCTCGAAAGCCTGCGGTGGAAGATAGAGATTGAAAGCCATCTCACACCTGGTTGAAGTGGCCTTGTGACTAAGCTTCAGAAGCTTGCCGCCAAAGGAGGCGATGACTGCGTTTGTGGTAACGGCCATTGTCTACTGCGAAGAGGTTGTTTTGTATTCCTGATACCTTGCAGGGGTGTAGGACCGACGAGTGCGTATCCGTGTCTTGAACGAAGTAACGAGGGGAGGGGTTGTTTTAAGACAATCCAAAGTAATTGTGGTCGTAGGATGGGATCTACCCTAGTGACTCAAAAGGATGTTATTTACTGGATATGACTGGCCCAGATCACACCCACTACGTACTTCTAAAGTGAATGCGACCACCTAGCCCTACGATATGGTATGAATGTAGTTGCCAAGCTAAGATTACCTGATGTTGCCTCGGACCCTGGGTAGATCCCTATCGATGTTACTGCCAGTAAGCTAACCAAAGTCTTCCTCTCTAGGAAACCCTTGGCCGCTTGGCAATCATTTAGGATGCTGTGTAATTTCCACATTGATGAGCCGTCAATGTCAGTAGCCATTGGCCAATTACTCTTTCCTCAATCAGCCTGGGATACTTCTCACTGAGACAGCAGTCGAGACCCTTGACCCACGTCAGAGACGATTGATCAGCGGCCAGATCGGCAGGAATGATCCACAGGTGTCGTATCTGGCGTGCCGCATCATAAAGTTCTATTTTGTGGGGCTGCCAGACCCTACTTGGTTGGTTCCACTGGGGGGCAGAAGTTTCTTGCTCACGCCAGTTTCGTAAGCAAAGTCTGATTCTTCTCGGGAGCAGTGGTTGGTATAATCAACCCATGGATCTTGAGCGGAAGCACTGCGGGGAAACGTCATTTTGCTCCTAGCTTTGACCGCTGCATCATAGGTAATGTACTAGTAATTTTCTCCCGCCAGACAACAGCTATGACAACACCGTCATCAAGTCTCAGTCCGGTGCCAAAAGAAGTGCAGAGTCAGATGTAGTCGACCTTCCCGGCGGAACCGAGAACCCGACAAAAAGACCACACTTATCGATCGATGCACCTTCGGAAAGACAGCCTTTCCAGTTCGGTGATCGCGGGTTGTGTCGGTGTGCCCTATTGATGTTCTAGGCCATTAGACCAAGTGAATAGGATACCCAGGATGGTTCGTATATTCGAGAGCGGTGGTGTTTCTTATTAGTATAACCTCCCATAGGCTCTGAGCCCCATCCCGGTACATCATACATGAGAAGACCGTGATGACAACGATATAAACGTTTATTATATAGCTATTCCTTAATACATAGAGAAAGGTGGTGAATCATGCTGTACCCAAATAGGTTCAACCTGATAAGTACTAGCAAAGACAAATCTGTATAAATGGGTTCTAGTTGGCTGAGACATAGTCTGTCCACCAGAAGAAGGATACTTTGTCCGGCCATCATGATGTAGACATTCTGTCATATCGACCTACATCGAGCAAAGTAAATAGTAATAAGAACGTCTTCGAAGATCAACGAACGCATCACAGTGACGTCTGACGCGCGTGGTACTAGTGCTATGTGAGTGGCGCTTATCTATAAAATCTACCCTCTATCACAGATGAGGGAAGAGATCCTCAAACCAATACCATTCTCATTCTCTTCACATCTGGGTTACTACATCCACCGCAACAATGTCTAGCGCAAAGCCCGCTCTCACCACGGACATCAGCAACTATGGTGATACTGGCCACGGAGACCCCAGCCAGACAATGAAAGCCTTGACGTGGCAAGGAAAGAATCAAGTGAAGCTCGGTAAGTGAATTATCAAACAACTTATTGGTCGTTTTAAGTGAAAAGATACTGACCATCTTCATCTGACTCCAGTGGAAACGGCTCGGCCAACCATCGTGGATGACGACGATGTGATTCTGAGGGTAACGGGAAGTACCATTTGTGGAAGCGACCTTCATCTCCTTCATTGTACGTGATTTGCTATCAGGCTTAGCGGCAGTGCTGATCTCTTCCATAGCGGCCATACCGGAAATGCACAAAGGCGACATTCTGGGGCATGAGTTCTGTGGGATTGTGGAGAAAGTCGGTCCCAAAGTCAAGAAGCGAAAGATTGGCGAGCGAGCGGTTGCTTCCTTCCAGATTGCCTGTGGGTCATGTTACTACTGCGAAAAGAAACTGTCCTCGTTGTGCGAAAGAACCAATGGCAGTGAGAGCGAAAAGGCACTTTATGGCCGCCGAACGGCCGGGATGTTTGGATATTCACACTTCACCGGAGGCTTTGCAGGGGGACAGGCGGAGTTTGTACGGGTTCCCTTTGGGGACGTGAATCTGCTGCCGTTGCCAGATGATGTCCCGGATGAGCAAGGACTCTATCTCTCCGACGTATTGGCCACGTCCTGGAATGCGGTCGTTGATACCGGGGTTAAACAAGGAGACACCGTTGCCATCTGGGGAGCAGGTCCTATTGGGCAGATGGCAGCGGAGTTTGCGGTTGTGAACGGGGCCAGCCGAATCATCATGATTGACGGCGGAGAGGGAAGATGGCGGCTCGATTTTATGAAGACGAAGGTTCCGAATTTGGAGACGATTGACTTCACCCGACTTCCGCGCGGAGAAACAGTGGTATCCATGTTGAAACAAATGTGCGAGGGGCGCGGTCCAGACATTGCCATTGAGTGTGCCGCTGGCGAGTATGCCAAAGGGTTAGGCCACGCCATCCAGCGGACATTAGGCATGGAGAACGACACGTCGGAGCTCTTGAACGAGATGATTGAATCAGTGAGAGGCTTCGGGTGTTGTGGGGTCACTGGTATATATACCGGCTATGTATGTGATGACCTTTGATCTCATTGTCAATCACTAACCTTTGGCCTAGTGCAATCACTTCAATATTGGGTCCTTGATGGAGACGGGGATTCACCTCAATGGAAACGGTCAAGCGCCCGTGCATAAGTACTGGAATGAACTGCTCGCCTTGATCCAAAAAGGGACAATCTGTCCATTGGATATGGTCACTCATCGCTTTGATCTCAACGATATGGAGAAGGTCTATGACTTATTCAACCGTCGTGCAGACGGTATGCAGAAGGTTTTTATTCAAACCCAGTTTTCAGCTCCCAGGGATCCCGCTTCACCCGCTTTGACGGTATTTTGATGGTCTCCCTACAGGGAACAAAATGATGTTGATTGCCGTAGAGTGCTGTATCTGAAAAGAAATATGCAACTGCTATTTCACAGGAATAGATACCGAGGAATTCGCTGTCAATACTTCTGTGGTATGATGTGATGTATCTTTATATACGTTTTGGAGCGAGCGTACAGAGTCATGGATAATTTATATAGGCATTCTTCATCATGAGACTGGATTCGGTCAAATACATATCATGCAAATATCTCGAGTTTAGATGCGATGGAGTAGGAATAAGAGTCATAATGACTAAGCTGTATAAGCCAAAAGATGCATAAATACTAGTCAGTTGAGGTTGGGCGTAGCTGAAGCCAAGCATTAACGTCTCCACCTTAGATGAGAAGATTTGGAACTCCAATAAAATGACTGTATAGAGTATGCTAAAGCCCAAATCCAAGACAAGCGCCGAATGTAATTAACTAGTGGTGATCTCCAACACCAATCAAAGATATGCGATAGGGCTACCATGTTCTCTGTACACTCCACCTTGAGCAGGCAGCCACAGTTTGTGGCGACATAAGTAAAACGATTCTCACCGGTGGGGCTGAGCGCTTGATTTCTCCCCTGGCACGAGAACGCTGTCATGTCGCGTCGTTATTCCAGCTACTGAGATGGTAACTGTGTCAGGTCGTGTTCAACCTCATACGGGATGACGATTCGTTGCAAAGGTACCATTTCGGGCAGAAAAACGGCAAATGAGCTTGCAATGGGGCATAACAACGCTGGCATGGAAGAGACGGTCAGGTACGAATCCCATAACAAGTTCAATACATTCAGCATGGACTAGAATATGCGTAGGATGGCCCTTCCGATCGGCAACAGCCGATAGAACAGAACCGGTATGGGATCCACGAGATGCGTGGAGGCCTGTACCTTTACGAGCACCATACCTTCTCACACTGGCAGGTTTCTTGCTGCTGATAGCAATCGCTCTGGAGGTTTGTCGTCGGTACAATGATGGAATTGGCTGGCTCGTGCGCTACAAGGATGCCAGCGACCTCCCCACGACGGTGTCAGTTGCCTACATCATTGTTCCAACAGTCATAGCGCTGATCGCCGTGAACCTATGGGAATTCAGTTCCTGTGATGTACTGCGACTGGAGCCTTACTTTCAGCTGGCCAAGCCGCGGGGTGCCTCAGCTAGAGTACTTTTCACAAACTACAGCTTTTGCTACGGTATCACTGCGCCCATAACCGCTGCCCGCAACCGCCACTGGATTGTTCTTTGCGTGTCGCTCATGTCATTGGTCCTCCGGATGCTCCTACCCTCCTTATTTGCTGGGCTAATAGTGATGAGCGAGCTGAACCTAACTGAGCCCAAGATAATAGAAACATGGCCGGCCCTTGTCGATTTGCAAACGCAAGAGGCATTGATAGCAGCGGAAGGATCTGGCCGTAGCGAGTTCACGCAAGAGGCCGATCTTCTGCTTCTTCGATCACCCCACTACGCAGCGGCACCGATTTCAATGCCTGTGGACGACGAGAATGATACATCTATGTTACGCTTGAACCAAACGATATATTGGGCAAATCTGACTTGTGTGGTCACGCCTCTACAGGGGACCCTCTCCACGACGCACCCTAGAAACTATACGAGTCTAGATGGCGAACAGACAATTTCATGGAATATGCGCGGTATATCTATTCAAACTCCGAGCGACAGTGACAGCGCTTCAGGTTGCTCGATTAACTTCGCACTCGACAGTGTTGCTCCCACCGACACGGATCGTTTTCAGCTTCGCTATTGGGAGCCGGGTCAATCTATCCGGAATTTGAATGCTACTTCTGCATTCGCTGGCAGTGGCTGCGGTTCGCCCACCTTGTATGGCATAATAAGCGAAGGGAGTGTTTTGAAAAATGGGTCCATAACGACTTCAAGTGCCACAGCGTTTGCTTGTGTGGCCACTTATCATTATGCAGAAGCGGAGGTCCTCATCGCCACAAACACGTCAATCGTTGCAGCCCAGATCCAACCGGGCACAGTCAACAGTCTCCGTCCGTCTGAGTTCAGTATCGACAGATTTGAGGATCAAGTCCGCGTCGGGCCTCGCGCGGCGAGTATCGAAAGGACTGCCCGCACTATCAGCTCGTCCAGCGTCTTGGAGACAGGGTCCCCATCCAACTTCATAGAACTCGAACAGTATCAGCAACAGCTGCGGAACACATGGAATCATCGCTTCCTCATCACAATGAACAAAATGTTCAATCCCACAAGTCCTACAACGATCCATGCAGAACAGCAGAGTGTCTCAGTGATCCTCCAAATGTTGCGCGACCCGGCTATTCATGCGGAAACCATGCTCTGTGCCGCGTCTATCTTGCTCTCCTTGCTCGCCTTTGTCTACATGTGGCGCCCTAACTTTCTTCAAAGCGACCCGGGGTCAATTGCTGCGCAGTGCGCCATCGTTGCGGATCTGTTCAGTCCAACGATTGCACTAGCTCGGCCTGATACAGATTTCCATCGAGCCACCACCCGGCAGCTTCTCCAATGGGCTAAGGGGCTATGGTGCCGATGGAGCGGAGGGCCTAAAGAACGCAGGTTGGAAATTGTGTCGCTTGATGGAAATCCAGTGCCTCTTTCCACCCGCGAGTTTCGGAGAAAGAAGGATCTTATGCCACATTTTCTCAGACTACCGTGGTTTTTCATTGAGTGTTTATCGCTGGCATTTGTGCTCGCTTTATTTGCGTTATCTCTTCGCTACCTTCGTCTGGACGACCCTAACTACATGACCTGGCCCCTGCTAGTGTTGTATACTTCGATGCTCTTTGTCCCCACCATAGTTGCCTCCATGATCAGTGGGCTTCTAGCATCCGTGCTTCGCCACCTCAGCGTCCTAGAGCCGTGGACTCAGCTACAGAAGGGACCGGTGACAGCAAAGCAATCGCTCTTGATGAACTATGGTTGTCAAACTGCGTTTGCGGTGCTTTGGAAATGCGCGCGCCGAGGCCCTCGCCTCCTGGTGATCGTCGCCCTGGCATGCATTCTGGACCTGCTCTTGACTGTTATCAGCGGTGGTCTGTTTGAGCCACAATTGAGGCAACATTTGACTGCTGCTCCTGGTTTATATGCGACCTATAACTTGTCCACGCTTTCAAGACAATCACATAGCCCCGTCATGGATAGCTACACTGTTATTCCCAGCAGTAGCACGATAGATGCCCCTTTCCTACCATGGACTACCTCAAACCACTCATTTGTGCCAATTTTTATTGCTGAGCCGGAAAGCGATCGTACTTCTTATACAGCTTTGACTCCTGGTATCGGTGTCGATCTGATATGTGAAGGCCTTCCCCGTAGCGATTCATGGATCGATCGTAATTCTGGGAAGTCGTACTGGGAATTTAGACCGTTCAATGGTAGCACGGAATCTACCTGCTCGGTAGAGGCTCCATGGGCAGCCTCTGATTACCCCGAGAGGTTTATTCATTATCTGGCGCCGACGGGGTCATCCGCGTCGACGGAATGCGAGACGTCCACACTCGTAGTTCTTACGCGCTGGAATACAACGACAGGAGCATCGCCACACACCGACAACACAGTCGCATTGCACTGCCAGCCGACAATTGAGGTTCAAAACTTCATAGTCCAGTTCGACCACTCTGGTCACATAGAGTCTTACGAGGCGGTGCCCGGAAGCTCGATCACTGACTATGCATTTTATCAGAATGCGTCTGATATTCTGGGCCAATTCAACCGGGAATTTACGGAGTCACTTCAAACACTGCCTGCTCATCCAAACTCGTCATTCTACCAATACGACTGGCCAGGGGTTTTGACGGCACGCACAATTGATAAGCTGAAGCCCAACTCGGGCTCTGTGGACCCTGCACTTCTGATCAATGCTGTCCAGCTTACCTACTGCACAGTCTTCAGTACCTACTTTACTCTCTGGCGAGATTTGTATCTGCAGCGGTTGCCCCAGTCTCATTCCGTCGCCATCGATGGGACAGTTACTCAAGGCATGTGGGGTCTACTGCCATCAACTCCGTCAATTCTCACTGTTATCATCCTTGTATCGCTGGATGTTCTGCTGATGGTTGGGGTATTCGTCGCCTACCGTGGGCAATTCAGTGGACCGCGCATTCCCAAATCCATTGGGTCGCTCATCCCGTGGATTGCACATAGCCAGATGATGCGTGATTTCGAGGGCGCCCATGTGTGGTCTGAAGTACAGCAGCGGGAACACTTGGAGCAAATCGGTCGGACGTATAGCTTGGGAACCTTTCTGCGCCCGGATGGTGTGAGCAGGATGGCGGTTGATTACAAGGATGACGAGCAAGCATACGAGTTGCATGATATGCCGTCCTCGGCGATGGTAGCAGTGGAATCAACTGCCCTAGAGCTACCACCGGGTCGACAGCCACATCGTACGCCGCAGAGTGGACCTGTGGACCACGCATAATAGGGTGTAGGATGTCGAATTTTATTTCTGTACAGCAGCCACGGCCCCGCCATCTCCTCCCCGGCTGGTTGCTCTTCGATTAATTTATCTATGTTTATCAATAGTGGTGTCTGGATTGTCTATACGTTCTCTTCATACTAGTGTAATAAAAGATACCCCATTCATAACCATGCTCATTTGACTACTAAAATACGATGACGTAACCACAGTGCAATCGCCTTGCATGCAAGAGTTCTAGAAAGAGGATACACTTGCGTACACGATGTGAACTGCCAGGATCGGTGACTGACGTTGGGGTTTGAAGCCCTGAATAGGATAAGCTTGACAATTCCGCCTGATACAGCAGTAGTGATTGGCTGGAAAGACAGCCGACTGGTTCCAGAGGTAGCGATCGTCAGTGGATCCTTAGGGCTAAATAGGATATTTTTACGTCGTGATTTCCAAACTTATTCAAGCTCAAGGGAGGGTTATCTATGGGAAGAGTCGATGCCATGGAACCCTTACGAAGATGCGTGACGTTCACCGTTCATCAACAGGGGTTAACGGGTTCTAGAGGTCAGGATTGCGTGTCCTATGGTCGGGTTCCTTGGAAACCCTGGTGTACCTTCTGGATTCTACTGCCAATCCAGATGAGAACCCGAGATATCATTGATGAACATTCTAGAGCCTAGATACTGTCCAGGAGAGCTGCTCGATATGTTAGAAATGGCTATGGAAGAGTAGAGGTCACGGTTTGCTGGTTGCCAAGAAGAAAATGAAGTTTTTCTTTTGTAAGGGTTTGGGGCAGCTCGTGACATCATGGATCCGCCGGCGGTTGTTTGCCACGCGACTCTCTGATGATAACCAGGGAACATCAATCACGATTAGATCACTCAATGGAATCGGAGGCATACTATGTCAGAAGGGTTGCTCTTGGATATCATGACCCACCACTGCCAGTTCATAGAAAAGGAAGGAGGGGGAGCCAAGTTCAACTTGGCCAACGGTACTCCGTATCAACGTTGATGTTATGATATAATCCTTTTTATACACCGAGCTAGCCTTTCATTCTATTCCCTGTTTATATATTGTAGTTCTATCTTTTCTACTTCATTCCTTCCATCCCCCCTCTTGTCCCTAGCTTTCTAATCTCGACGCTCTGAAGATCCGAGATGCCGGAGGAGCAGGATCTGGCTGATGCCCGCCAGGTTAGAAGTAATGACCTGAATACCACTCAGAAACATGGAACCCAGCCATCGAGGGCCAATGAACAACCAAACAACATGAGACAAGACAAACAGCGACCACCACTGCAGTATCGGAGCACCGGATCACAGCGACCGTCCCGATACTCTCAACTGAGACGACGACAAACAAACCAGACCAGTCGCACGAACCAAACGATCCCTTCTCTTGCAGGCCCACGAGAAACCGACCCCAACTCAACTTACGTTCACCCAGAGTATCATGACATGAATCCCAACTACGGGAAGGCCAATGAAGAGCCGGTTTGGGGTTTAGCAAAACCCCTTCCGCGTGTTGTCCGACCAGGCATGCGTCGCCATGATGGCGGTGGGACATCGTCCGCCTACCCAACAGGACAAAAGGGAGAGTCAGAACCAGTGCCCGAGTTGGAGGTGACTCCCGATCAGGCAGACGAGCAAGGAAATGCTGACCAAGCGGTCTCGAGTCCTCGGTCGGGGGCCCAGGATGACACAATGCTGCACCAGGAGATGTCCAATGTGGACCCCCCCGACCGTGTGCCACGTCCAGTAGAAGACGAGGTGACAGAGGATGGGAGCAAGCCGTACGGGGGCCAGTCAGAGCATTTCAACAAGTGGTCTATGGTGCGGCATAAACTGCGGGAGCCTTTTGCTGAATGGCTAGGGGTAAGAAGACATCCTACCGATTCCGAACATTTCTTCACAAATAGTATACTGACGAAAGAGTGGGTAGACCACCGTGGCGATGCTAATCGGATTATGTGCCACTCTGGCAATTTCCACTGGGGGAAATGATGCAGGTAACAGACTCGCTCTTTACTGGGCGTGGGGCCTGGCTATTACCGTGGGGATCTACATTGCTGGTGGCGTCAGCGGTGGACATCTCAATCCGGCTATTTCTATTGCCTTATGGATTTATCGAGGGTTTCCCGGTCGGCGATGTATCTATTATGTGATTGCCCAGATTCTGGGGGCTCTCACGGCCGGTGGGCTGGCGTATTGCATATACCGCGACTCGATTTTCCACAGCGGTTCCAACAGCGGCTCCGGCATCACAATGGGAGCGACTGGTCTAGGGTTCTATACCGAGCCCTTGACGTACGTGCGCAATGTGACGGCCTTCTTCAACGAATTTGTCGCTGCCGCTATTCTAATCTGCACAATCTTTGCAATGGGGGACGACAGCAATGCTCCGCCTGGTGCGGGTATGCACTCATTCATCATTGGCCTCTTGATCTTTGTTTTAACCATCGGGTTTGGTTACAATACTGGGGGGTGTGTTTTTTCCACCTTGTCTGAAAGTTGTTTGAGAGTTGGACTCACTAATGAACTCCCAGATGTTTCAACCCTGCCAGAGACCTTGGTCCTCGCCTGGTAGCCCTGATGGCAGGATACGGTGGAAGCACGTTCACCGAAAGAGGGGGGTGGTGGTTTTGGGGTGCTTGGCTGGCTACCATATCTGGTGCCTGGTCGGGGGTGCAGTGTATGATGTTTTCATCTTCGTTGGTGGGGAGTCTCCGATAAACTATCCTCGTACTCGTCGCCGGAGATCCAAGCTGAAGAAGGAAGCGAAGTGGAGGAGAAGGCTCAACCTGGGGCGTCAACGGCTTCCCAGTATTGAAGAAGCAATCAAAGAGCTGGAGGAATGAAGCTTAGATTCATGCATATGTACATAGGAATATAGAAAGAACGTCTTCTAATCTGGCCCACTATAGTCTTAGAACCCTGGTGTGTCTGGCTTGACATGGTACTGCTCCATCGGTAGGGATTCTTTTGAAGCCCTACATGTAGAAATTCAATATACTACGTCATGCTATAATTGGGCTTCCCGGAAGATGTGACTCTGGTCATCCCTTGCCACATGGCTGTTTGCACGGTCCACTTGGCCAATATTTACACGAGGGCTATTGCCATCTTATTGATGGTATAAGATTTCCGCACAGCAATCAGCCGCCGTTGGCCACTGGCACTGTCTCGATCTTTTTTGTCCTTTCATCGCCATCTAGATAATTTAGCCCTCTCCATGACAGACTTGATGGTGTTCTGTGTCAGTGTTATATCAAGTTCTGCCACCTTGGACTTGTGAGACTGAGTCAAGCTAACCGGTGTCCGACCAAGATAGCGGATGTTCAAGATTGTGCGTGGGATTTATTGTCCGAGCAATATCTCCACAGCAACACTGCCTCCCTGATGCAAGCTCTTCTGGGTTATGGCCTGGCAAAAGAGTTATCGGGGGATTTGCTCATGCAAGCTGTCGGTATTCGACAGCCCGAGCGGAAGTTAGTAAACCCCGAGTTGGTTTACTTAAAACAGCTCGTGAACGGCTTCTTTTGCGACCCAGCACGATCACTTTGGAAACCCAAAATCAACTTTCGGTGGAGTTTCTAATAATGGACAAGACTTGGGAAGTTATTATTGCTGGTGCTGGGCCAGTAGGCCTTTTTATCGCATGTGAATTGGCCACAGCTGGCGTGTCGGTACTTGTATTGGAACGAGACACACAGCCAGAGTCGCCTTGGAAGGAGGGATTACTTGGTCATCGTGGTCTCTACATCCCATCAATTGAGGCATTTTATCGGCGTGGCATGTTACAAGAGATTTTCGGTGACGAGAAGCGCCCGATGCATTTCGCGAAGACTCAAGGCTTCCAGTTCGGGGGACATTTTGCGGGCTTGGTGCTCAATGCTAACAACATTGACTTTTCACACTGGCCGTATCACTTGCCAGGGCCGTCCTTTCTGCCTGGTCCAACCTCTATTGGACGTCTCGAGGCTGTGTTGTCGAAACGTGCAGAGACACTTGGTGTACAAATCCTTAGAGGCATGGCAGTCTCCCACCTGACCGATGAAGGCGACTCCGTGAAGGTATGGGCCGGCAACAAGTCCTTTACGGCACAATGGCTCGTCGGATGCGACGGTGGACGCAGCACAATTCGCAAAACTGCTGGGTTTGAATTTGTCGGGACAGAAGCGCAGTTCACTGGTTATATTGCGGCGTGTGGTCTCGACCAGCCAGAATTATTGCAGCCGGGATTTACGCACACAGATTCGGGGATGTATATAGTTAGCGGGCCTGAACATCTGCTTGTTATCGATTTCGATAGGGGCTTCGACCGGTCTCAACTCATTACACGGGAACACTTTCAAGAAGTACTCCGACGGGTGTCGGGTACAGATATAGTTGTCAAAGCACTTCACCTAGCCTCCTCATTCACTGATCGCTCAAAGCAAACCACAGAGTATCGCAAAGGACGCATCCTTTTGGCTGGCGATAGTGCCCACATCCACTCCCCATTGGGCGCGCAAGGATTGAGCACAGGGATTAGCGATGCAATGAATCTCGGCTGGAAGCTTGCGGCTACCGTTAAAGGGGTTGCATCTCCTGGTCTGCTCGACACTTACTACCAAGAGCGGCATCCAGAGGCCGCACGCGTGCTAGAGTGGACTCGCGCTCAAGTGGCGACATTACGCCCTGATCCTTATGGCCAGGCCATCGCGAATACCATGCAGGACATGATTAATACACAAGATGGGGCTACTTACTTCGCGGACCGCATCTGGGGACTTTCCCTGCGCTACGACCTGAGCGATGCACATCGACTGGTGGGATGTAGCGCCCCTGACTTTGAATTCGATGATGGACTGCGACTTGGAGCTAAGTTAGAGAAAGGATCCTTCTTGGTTATTGACTTTGAGAGCAACAGCCAGGTGGCAGAGTTTGTGAAGTCTTTGCAGCCCTTACAGTTCATGATCGAATACTGTGGATACAGTGCAAAGGAGACATTCGGGCTCAAGGTATTACTGTTACGACCTGATGGTGTCGTCGCATGGGTGGCGACGGATGAGATTGAGGTCAAAAGACTACAGGCTGCATTGTCTCGTTGGGTAAGTGTGGCTGTAAAGAAGGCGTGAATAAAGCATATTGTATGTTACATCTAAATAATATATCTGGAGTACTGTCCTTTGCAGACTGAGACGAAGTGCAAGGTGTAGGGTCACCGCTGATTTCATTTTATCCCAACCAATAGTAGCTAGTGATAAGGTATATCACAATGATAGAAATTGCAGAGAAACATTAGATCCCCCATTTCATTCATATTGGCAAGCTGCTTGTAGTCACATACGGGCGCCAAGTTTCGGCTCTGTCTCGGAACTGACGATGCCAGCATCATCATGTTGATCACAGGAGATGAGATTGATAATAATTGCAGCTTTTGAAGGCTACAGCGGGAAAATAATGAGAGATTACCGACATCTGGGGTCTACTGTACTATGCCTTCTCCCTAACGTGGGTTGGGGAAGGTCGTTTGCGAAAAAAGTGTTACCAGAAGCCCCCTTCCTGCTCGCATGTTGTAACCCTACTAGGATTGCTATTTCTTCAATTGAAGTGAAACTAAAAGCGTTGAACATAAATAATCTCGTAGAAATAACATGCAAACTCAAACACTCTTGGAGAGACCAGGAGGGAAACATAGACACTCTCAATTTCAAACATTTCAAGATTGGAAGAGATAGGAATGGGACACGACTAACCCTCAATACTTTTCTCTGCAAAATAATGAAGGTAGGCGCCCAACACTTTAACACCATTCTGATAGTTTTTAACCTTCATGTTCTCGTCCGGACCATGTGCACCATCGCTCGAGGTGCCTATTGGAAGCAGCATCAGGCTTTTGTCGCTACCTAGCCCTTTCTGGATATCCAATGCAACAGGAATACTGTACAACAGTTAGCGCCCTAGACGTGTGCCAGTATGAAGGAGCTGTGAAGGAGCTATCTTCTAAAGTAGCTCTTGAAGAAAAGGAGATATGTAGCGAGGACGATATGATTAGTGTGTCAAGAACAGCAGGGTTGACTGAGCATTTCTAGAGCTTGCAGGCAGAAGAGCATGACATCCTCTCAAAGTAAAGATCATGATCTACTAACCTTCCACCTTCTCGTGTCAGGTCTGGGGTCACATTGTCCCAAACCTTTTGTGTGGCTAATTCAGCGGCTTTGAAATTCTTAACCTCCGGGTCGGTGCGCCACCATTCGCCGCTATCAGTCATTTTGATGTCTAAGTGATTCTTGCTATTTAGCTGTTCGAATACCCCTTTGAGATAGTTCGTCACCAGCTCTGAGACTTGCCCTGTTGTCATACTTGGCACGGTGCGAATGGAAAACTTTCCAGTCACCCAGGGAGGGATGGAGGTCACAGTCTCAGGACCATTGGCTGAACCGTCGAAACCGTGGATAGACAGAGACGGGTACCTCCGTCGAGCCATGAGTGTTCGCTTAGGGTCGTTGTAGATGCCGTAGTCGGTGTTGGGGCCAATTGAATTGTTGAAATCCTGCATAGTGAAGTCGATAGTATCGTACGTCTTTTCCTCCTCTTCCGTTAGAGGCTCGATGTCTTCCTGGATTCCAGGGACTAGTATATTACCCTGGGAGTCAACCAGCTTCGAAAGGAGAATGACCAAATCGGTCAATGGCTCATAGACAATGCCCCCAAACAATCCACTGTGTAACTGAGTTGGTGGACCAGAAATCGTGATTTTGAAATAGTTAATTCCTCGTAGTCCATAGGTCAAGCAGGGTTTCTTAGTGCCAAGCCAATAGTTGTCTGAGATACAGCTAGCATCGACATGTTCGAAAACCTTCCTCCCATCTTCACTTGCAAGATATTCCGCGAGTCCAGTAGAACCAGACTCCTCCATCCCTTCAAAGCAAAAACGTAAGTTGACTGGAACATCGACCCCTGCGTTCTGGTGTGCCTCAATAACATTGACCCAGGCCACGACGGGACCCTTGTCATCGGTCGTACCACGTCCATAGTATCGCTCATCGTCCCCAGTCCCGGCTTGGGTAAGCTCAAATGGCTCATAGTGCCAGGTTTGTCCTGTAACAGGCTGAACATCGTAGTGACCATAAATTAAGATAGTTGGCTTTGTTTGGTCTGGAGACTTTGGATAATGGGCAATGATAACGGGTGGTAGATTGTTGGGCAGGGGCTTTGGTTCCGCCTGTGCCCCAAGGGCATTGAGCTCGTCTGCTAGAAACTTCGCCATCTAGGGTGCCAGGAAGCCTTTGTCAGTATCATACCATACATAACGACCTAGATGGATGCGGCCATTGGAGTAAACTTACCTTGGTCAGTTCATCCTTCTTATCAGCCTCTGATGAAACCGATTTGATGTGAATAGCCTTTCCCAGCCCTATAATCGCCCATGTCAATCACATCGCTATGGACATATTGCAGTCGGGGGTAAGTCAGCTCTTACTCTCTTTAAAGGATGAAGAAAGTTCGTCAGCTCTGTACTTTGCATCAGTCGGGTGATAACCGTGAATAGTTCATTGATTTGACATACGAATCGAAGAATTTGTCCAAATCGGAAGCCATTTTTCGTAGTTTTGAAATGCTTCTGCCTTAGCGTGGTCCGGGCGTGAGAAGAACGAAGATATGGCCTTCAGATGTATGTGTGGAAAACACATGAAGATACTTATTGTAGGCGTGCCCTAACGACAGCGAGTGTGGTGCTCTGTCCCTTCGACCCAGCACACCATTGCAATGCAATGCCGGAAAATACATCAAGCTTCTGACATCAGAATTCGAGGGTTATGATCGCGATGCTACAGAGCTCTGCTACCTCAGCCGTTTTCAGTCTCGGTGAACTGTTATAATTAATGACATGCTCTTATTCTACCTTCAGCTCCTCTTTCGCTGAACCATGGAAAGCAAGAACTAAATTGAAACGATTGATCAGCTCTCTGACTGAGTGACCCGCCTTTTCTCTCTCCTCATATGGACGGCCTATGTGAGCTATTGTAGTGTAGATAGTATTATATGACGTGGTGTTGACAATCATCGGTCGTAGCATCCGCATCGAATGATTCTACTCCGTCGTGATGCAACATAGAGCTATATCAACAGAGCCCTAGGTGATATGTATGGTGTTCATAACGCAATTGGGAGGTTATTAAGCATAATGCATGTCAGTACTTATTTATCAGACAGCATTGGTCCAGTAATGTGTATAGTAGAGCATGCTGATCAGGTATATACCTACATAGACGGTCTACTGGCACTCATTGGAGATCATTATACGTCTAGTGCGCTCCAGATCCTGAGCGTAAGAAAACAGCTTAACCTAGCCGAAGTGTTTGACAATCAGCTTCTGTGATATTATGTTTGTGTGTAAGAAAGACCGTATTATCTGTATCATCGTGGCAGATGTCGAGCCCAAGCAATAAAACCTGAGAATACAACAGCACACTCTTTAGCTATGTCAGTGTACTGAACCACAGAGGAAGCAGTCCGGCTCTTGGGAAGATTAATTTTGCGACTTGCCAGACATGCTCCTGTTCCTATACATACTATCTTGTGCATTGGCATATTAAGCATCAAATATAAGCGCCCCAGCAGATAACATATCCAGGGGTGAGAATATATTATATGTCGTAATATTGTCCTTCTACACAAGGTGCCTTTCGAAACTAGCACAAGCTCTTGTTGTTTACCATTCACACTCCCTCACTCCAAAGCTGGCTCATTTTAACATAAGACTAATCCATAACAGCAATTGTAGAAGGGGATAGCGTGCCAAAGTGTGTGACTTATCATGACAACCTTCAGATGGCCGACGAGATCTATAGCTGTACCATGATGTTATGAAGAATATAGCTCAAACACTTCAGCTAGAGTACGAGGCCTTGAGTGATCAAGATCGGAATAAGTAAAACCGAAGACCGAATATGTAATCTTTTCAGCCGCCTTCTTTTGAAACACAATCCAATGTGTCCCGTTCATTTCACTAAGTTGAGGATTGTCAGGGTACCGCAAAAGTAAGAAAAGAAAAATGAAATATTCATTTACCCGGATAGGTACAGACCACTGCAGCCTTGACGAAGGGGTATAATCCATGAACTCCAGGTCGTGCACCCTGAACGCAGTCGACGTCAGACCAGCGGCCATAGCGCGCCCAGTTGTTTCCTTACCTCGTTTCTCCGTGAGGTCGCCTCGCTACATGGTTCCTTGACGTGTAAAGCTGCCGCCATCGGACTAACCTCTACCTGCACAACGAGTATACGTGTCATCCAGCTTAGTACGAGATCACTTGAGACATTGAACCAAAAACTGCACCATGTTGAATCCTTAGAAGGGTAGCTTTTGACAGTAGCTCGGTGTCCGATAATTCCTTTCCGCGGCATAGACATTTGCGTACAGTTCAAGTTCGGACAACAGCGCATGCAAGTAAGCTTTACCTTACGGGGTTTGACCCAAGGCGGACATGGTCGAGTATAAAATTATTTTCGGCAGCTCAAACATCAAAGTTCCGGAGGCCGGGGAGTTTGGTAACACAGAGATCTGCACTTCAATCTATATATGTTTCCTCTGCAATGGAAAATTTCGATTGAGTCGTGCGGTGGGATAGAATGTGAACAACTTTGATCTCCAACTGTATACATCCTTGAAGGCTGAGACCAGCAAGACAAGATACTTGGTCATTTATCGATAGCAATGCAACTACATCTGCAAGGACGGTGAGCGACTGCACACCCCAACAGGAGTTATTACGCTACTCATCTCGTTTATCGGCGAACAATATAGTGCGAGTGACCCTTTTGGCAATCAATTGCTTCGAGTTGCGTACGGAAGAGCGTCACTACAATTTGCAATTCGACGAGATACAGGTGAGCGCTCTTTGATCATGGCATGAAGATGTACAGTAGATACTGGATTTGCATAGACATTCTTGGACCTCAGTTCTCTCGGCTACCGGATGAATGGAATGTACCTTCGGTGATAATCCAGATTCCAAGGGAAACAGCTTGAAAGATGAGACACAAGTCAGTATACTCGTTTCCAGAGGATGGATATATATTGCCGTTCTGCTCTGCTCCGTTTCCTGCCTCATCACTAGCAACAAACACATCTTGCCAGCACTTCGCAACCTCGAACCATTTTCGTGAAAGCACACAGATTCACCCAATCGCCACCAAAATGCGGTTCCTTCTCGCTTGTCTCGCAGCTCTTGCGTCTTCCGTCGCAGCCTATGAGGTCAGCAGTCCGATGACGGGTGATCGAATCTTCCTTCAGGCGGGAACGACAATTACATGGAGCGCTGTCAAGTAAGTCATAAGCCGTCTATTTTCTATCATCGAGAACAATGAAAGTGACCTGATATGCTGTGTGTGATCTAGCACTGATGATCTGTCCTTTGATCTCTGGCTGGTCAATATGCGACACTTCCCCAACTATGCAAGGCGTATCGACCAAGGTATCAACAGGGATGCCCAATCATACCGAGTTCAGGGTGTGAGCGGTGTTCCAGCAAAGTATGTACACGTTCTATCACTGTAACTTCAGGATCAGTTCACTAATTCCAATAGCGATGGCTATCAATTCAACTTCGTCAGACGCAACGCCGATGAGACGGAAGCCAAGGGGCGCCCACTGGCTCAGTCAAAGGACTTCATCGTTACCGGGGCAGGCATCATTTGATTCAGCTTCCGTTGATGGATCTTCGAGGCCCAGCCTCTTTTCTGGGAGCTATGCTTGGACGCTTGATCTTGTGTTGTTCGTTGATAGTACTGTTTTTCTCGTCCATTACAATTGTGTCTGGCCTGTGGTTCCGCGTCCTTGGAAGCATAGGTCGCGGTGGATAGAGAGGAGCATTTTTGTGCTGTCTAGCAGTGGTTGGGATCTTTCGGGTTTAATTTTGACGCAGATCGTATGCTAACTGAATATGATCTGGTTTTTATTGGACACGGCTGCTTTATGTAGTTTCTAAGCCACATTTACAACGTCAGCCTAGCTTTCGTTCGCGTGTGCTGGCTGAAGACTATTCCGACCACGTCGATCATTCTCCCGATTACATTTACTTTAGAAGTAATGTTAGGACAGTATTTCCCTTCGCGCACCATATATTCCGGTTAAAGGGTGAATTGAAATTGGTGGTCGCGACATCGGTAATGGTGCTCACGGTCGCACCGGCCAGAAAAACAAAGTAAAGATATTAGGTCAATACTGGCTTCTCACGTAATGTTCTTCATTGGTTCGAAGGTACATTAGCTATTAAAAGCTTATGCAAGTTATGAGCCAGGGTAGATTCGAATTCCCTGCTAGGAGTGGGAACAGTCGAGCGTGGCTGTACCGAGTTAGACTTCCTGGATGTGACTTTTATGGCGGGCGCGTGGGGGATCGACACACACGCTCACAGGGTATATGTGTCTCGCGCCATGAGTACGGCACATGGCGTAAAGCTACCCATGGCCACGCCAGGATACCCATGAGTGAGCTGTATATCTGCAGTTGACAATTAGGTTATGGCGTCTTACGCGTACGAGGTGCGATTGTTGCCGGCGCGAAGGACTTCGCGTGAACAGAGACTCGAAAGCCCTTGTACCCTAAGTTGCCGAAACCGGAGCACTAGTGGTTTAGCCCCCATCCAGAAAACCAAGCGCCAAAGTCTAAGTAAATGAATGGCATGATAGCATTGCGTTATTAGTGCTGTGTCCATCGAACCGGCCGCGTTTAGCTCTTAATCGGTTCGGGAAACAGGGACTAGAAGCCAAAAGAGCGTGATGTCAAGGAACACTAGAGGCGGTCTAGTTACTAGTAGATGCGTACCAGCGGTAGAAAAATTATTGGAATTTGAGACACTGAACGCAGGGGATTCATTAAAGGAACCGCTTTAGCTCACGGTGTCAGGGCAGGAACCCTAAAACGCGGCCTCGGGGATCGGGCCAACCCGCGCCGCCCAAGTGTTAAACCCTTTCAACCCAAAGTTCTCCATAATCGGCTCCACTTGGTGGGTGAAAAGGAAAGAGATCCGGTGGCCTCTGGCCATCCAGACCATGAATTAATTTTGTTCTGACACTGGTGGCCGGCCCCACCCGATGGATAGACATTTGGAAAGCAAATTTCAAAGGTGAGAGACATTAACTGGTCGGATAAATCGTGCCCCACGGTGAAGTGGCTCGGCCCATGTCCGGTCCAAGACTCATGGTTGATTATTATTGTCGGTTGATTACGATCATCTTTGATACCGAGTCGTTGATCTTGGTTTTAACTTTTTTTTCTTCTTTTTGGTGTGGGGTTTCCTTGCTGCCTAGCTGTCTGGCTGAGAGGTATAGAGTTATCATCCCATATGATCAGGAGAAAGAAAAGTAAAGCACTCGGAGTGCTAGACGTTATTTCATTGCATCATAGCTTTCTTCGATATTGTAGTCCACCTTACGCCAGATCTCCAATTGCCCTTCCGGTTGAGGGTCACGAACGGGCAAATTGATCGCCTCCTGACTGGTTGATGTAGAGATTACATGAGAAGAGGATTCCCCATGGCCCTTGGGTTGCCACCATCGTTTGGAATGCATGTATTTCGGATCGGGCGGAGGCTTTGTGGAGCTGGTCCCCCTGGAAAGGACACCGGAGGGATGTGATGGATGTCCCTGCTTCGTCGCGTATCGACTATGATATTGTGTCAAGACATTGCCGAAGACCTTGCGCAGGAGGGGCCACCAGCACATAAGGTTGGCCACGTAGATGGCGGTGCTGGCTTCGCGAATATACCAGATCTGATAGATCGTCGTGAGCGGCGAGTGGAAATTAAAATATTTGTTCAGGATGGCGGCGATCATCACGAAAATTCCCAGCCCGAGGACACTGATGAGGAGAATCTTCTTGCGAAGCGACATCTGCGTCCCTTTCAGTAGAGGAATCGGGATGATCAACATACACGCATCCGACGAAAGGTTGAATACCGCTTGCGTGATGGAATAATGTTGATATGTTGCGCACTGTGGGTTCTGAGGTGGAACAGCCCAATATTCGGAAAACGGTCGACAATACACGGCGAAGTAGGTAATCTCAATCACAATGAAGCCGAGCAGGACATAACCGGCGAGGAGCTTAACGAAGAGATGCCAGCTCAGCAGCTTCGTTAGCTTCCAATACATGGCAACAAGACATGTTTTAACACCCCACGTCGACAAGAGCATGCATTGTTCCAGGCCTATCACGATTTTGCTGCCATATACTCGATTCGCCACATCCTTGGGGTCTGCCAGTATCTGTGGGAGTTGTTCGGAGGGGAAAAGGTTGGTGTTGTAATGGGAAGAAATATTGATGAGGACCAGGAGTGTCGTGTAAATACCCTAACGAGTCAGCCGAGTCGCCCGAACCCTCTCTGGCTTTGTATACGAGTCGTCGAACTAGTAGAAAACGGATGAAACACGTACGAAGGTGACACTCATAATATAGTCATCCACTACGATGTTGTTAGTATTTTGGGTAAAGAGTACTCAATGGTCCGAATACTGGCGGCATCCAGTGGATTGGAGGCCTCATACGCACCTTGAAGATTTCGGATGCCTCCATTGGATATGCTTCGAGCCGTACTATTTATTCTTCTCAGCTCCTGATATGTTTGAAAAAGGGCAGACACCAATCGCCCTACAGTCTCCCGATCCAGATCACCACAGCTATACTCCAGAAGACCACTGCTTCTACCAAGAGCTGGTGAGGAGTGGGTGAAACATCTCCCATAGTAGATCGGATGCGATCTCTAGGTATGTGTCGAGGAACCAGCAGCGATCGGACACGCACGAAGTCTTGAACGGCAGCGGGTTAGTGGCGCTCCCTGGGTCTATAAGCTAAAAACCCCGTACATGTTCATATTTTCAAGTTGCTAGACCCCGACGCTTCGGTACTCCAATCAACAGGCGAGCTCATGTTCCAGAAATGGGGCCTCTCACTTGGAGATATTAATGCCGTACCGGAATCCCGGCCTGCAGATTGGTCATGTTTTCAGGATTCATATCCTTGCTCGGTCTGCTGAAGGAAAGCAAGCCCGAGACGCTAAATCTCCATGCGACCGAATGAACAGTGACAGCCAGACTGAACCACCGTGCTTAGCGTGGTGGGGGTCAAACGAGCTGCGGCGTGCGCCTAGCGTATCTGCACCAATTCGATAGAGATGCATATCGACCCGCCCTCGCACCTCCCTGCAACTATCGGAAATTTACGCAATGTTTTTCTATTCTTCCCCTGCCTCGCAGTTTGGTTCCTCAAATTCCTGGTCGGCCTCTTTTTCTTTTTCTTTTTCCTTTTTTTTGTGTTTTTGTCCGCTTACCTGCTGTAATTGGAACTTCCCATTGTTGACTCGCCATCCTTGTATTAATTCGATCTCGGTGGCCTAAAAATGGAGCAGGCTCCAGACAGCGCTAGTCGCACCAGTAAGGGAAATATCCAGGTTGATGAAGCTCGCCTTGAGGCGGCCTTGGGCCATAAACAGGAATTAGTTCGTGGGTTCGGATTGTTTAGTTTGACCAGCCTGGGAATTATTATTGCCAAGTATGTGTGTGCACTGGGTTTCCTGCCGTCCTCTGGTTATCCTGACGTCGCCGATACTAATTAAGATGACCAATTGCCAATAGCTCCTGGGCGGCTACTGGAGGGACTATTGTGACTGCACTGTATAATGGCGGCCCTATGGCCGTCTTATATGGACTTATCCTGGTCACTGTCTTTTACGCATTCATCTCCGCATCCCTCTCGGAGCTGGCCTCTGCAATTCCCTCGGCGGGTGGTGTCTATCATTGGTCATCCGTTGTGGCAGGCAGGTATGGTCGTGCTGCAGGCTTTTTCACGGGTTACCTCAATGCTTGTGCCTGGTTGCTATCTGCAGCTTCGATGAGCTCAGTCCTGGGGAATGAGGCAGTTGCCATGTATCTCCTACGACATCCGGGCGTAGAATGGCACAGCTGGCAGCCCTTCATTGTCTTCCTAATTGTACTGTGGATGTGCTGTGCGATTGTATGTTTGGGAAACCGGTACCTTCCGCTCATCAACCGGATCTCGTTGGTGCTGTCCATGGGTGGTTTGTTTATAACCATCGTCGTGCTGGCCGTGATGCCGCGTGGCCGCCGCGCCAGCAATGCCGAAGTCTGGAGAATCTACTACAACGAGACTGGCGGCTGGTCCGACGGCATTTGCTTTCTGTCTGGGCTGTTAAATGCTGCCTTTGCGGTCGGGACTCCAGACTGTATCAGCCACCTTTCCGAAGAGGGTATGTAGATATGTTCTGGTTGCTTCCTCTCCTTTATGGTTCCTTATCACGTTTGCTTCTCTGATCCCAGCTGGTCCATACTAACACGCCCGACCTTCAGTTCCCCAACCAGAGAGAAAAGTCCCACAGGGCATTATGCTGCAGCTTCTGACAGCCTTTCTCACCGCGTTCGTCTATCTCATTGCGCTGTTCTACGGGATCAATGATATTGACGCCGTTTTCAACACCAACGTCAATTATTTTCCTGTCGCCGAGATCTATCTGCAGGCAACTGGTTCTACAGCGGGGGCAGTCGGCCTTATTGCCCTGCTTTTCATAGCCACGTTTCCCACGCTGGTGGGAACCCTTACAACCGGTGGCCGGATGTGGTGGTCCCTTGCGCGCGACAATGCCACCCCCTTTCCCTCATTCTTTGGCCAAGTTCACCCCACGCTGGATTGCCCGGTCAATGCCACAGTAGCCATGGCAGTGATGGTTTCCTGTCTCGGTTGTGTCTACGTCGGTAGCACCACTGCATTCCAAGCGTTGATCTCGTCATTTATTGTTCTGAGCACCCTATCCTATGCTGGTGCTATTGTTCCGCATGTGCTATCCCGGCGCCGAAGTGTTGTCCTCGGGCCCTTTGCGATGCCACACAAGATTGGGTATGTGGTCAATATCCTCGCGGTCCTCTACATCGCCGTCACAGTGGTGTTCTTCTGCTTCCCCTTTACCTTGCCGGTGACTGTGCAGAATATGAACTACACAAGTGTTATTACCGTCGGTCTTATGACCCTTGTTGGCATCTGGTGGCTGTTCCAGGGTATGCGGACCTATAAGGGGCCTACCTATAGTCGGGAGGCGGCTGAACGGTTGGCTATTGGGAAACAAGAGTCTTTGGCTGAGATGAGAGGTATGACTTGAATGTAATGTATCATATAAACGCATAGCAATGAAGCTTTCTATTATTGAAGTCACGAAGGGCAGAACCGAATACAAGCCCTAAGCATCTATAGTTGGTTAGGATTTACAGGTATAGTGAGATATAACGCAGCCACTGATCTATCCAACACCGACATCAGGAATCCTCACATCGTGAAGTTGGTACTATACACAGACGACGGCTTGCAGTCCCTTGAAGGCGGAAGTAGAGTTACCTTTATTTGTTGAGAATCTGGGTTGCTAGTGATTCATTCGACCTGCAGTTTACTTGGGGCCGGAAATGAGATATCAATCTTTTGTAGAGCAACGTTAGATAGCCGGCCGTCGGCCTTCCTCCGTAATGGGTGTCCAGGTCTGCTGGGTGGCTTTAAGGGAACAACTATTTGTAAAAAAAATACATGTCACTTCTCATGGAATTAGGTATCAGAACCTATCGATGGTTGTATGTGGACCATGTCCAGATCCTTGCTGGTCGCAAAGGTGTAACATCTCACTACAGCAAATAGGCTATCAGTGTTGATGATTTCAACTGCCTTAATTGCATTATTGTCCTGACCTGAAGGCTATCTAGGAAAGGAAAGCAGGTGCGCACGGAAAGATGAGGAAAAGGAGAGAGAAAGATCAATGGAAGCCCTGCAGCTCAGGCTAACCAGCTGCCTCAGACCAATCCCCGCGTAATAGCGATGGTCATCTTCGTAAGGATGCTTGGTGTCCGGACCAATACTATGAATATCTGATTTTACCAATGCCTTCGTTTCATCGACCCAGAAAGTTCTCAAAACGCACTGGTTGTGCTGTTCTCGTCCACAATGTTATCGCGGAAAACCGCATCAATCGCGGCCGTGTAAAGAGCCTCGGACTTCTTGCGTGAAATGGTGCCTTTTGGAGTTCTTGCAAACCCCACAGCAGGATCTGTCAGGAGGATACGAGATCGAGAGACCTTGCCGTGGGTGGGTGCAGCGGCATTTGCTTCTTCCACCGCGGCCCATATCTTGTCGATAAATTCATCTTTACTCACACCATTCAAGGGCTGTGCGGGTTCAATTATGAGGACCACCGCTGGGCGGGCGTTTCCAACGACCAGCGTGCCCGCCACATTAGGATCTCCTTGTAGAGCCGTCTCCATGGGAACAGGAAACACCTTTGCGCTAGTGCCGAGCGCGATGAGATCGTCAGTGCGAGAATGGAATTGCCACAGCCCTGTCTTAGTCGGATGAGGAGTGAAGAGATCCTTCGTACGCCATATCTTCACATCCGGGAATGTATGCGAAAGAGTGCGCCGACCACGGAACTTCTCATGCTGACACAGCACCAGCTCATAGAGGCCGGAGCCTTCCTCCACCTCCTGCATATCGCACTCTTCGGCGGGATTGGGCTCCAGGTACTGCCATTCTCCGGGCTGGGGAACAAGCATCTGGATCTGGCCGCTCTCAATAGAGCCGTACATTTGGCAAAGGTCAGTTAATTCGCTGAGCTTCTGCCCGACACTCGGTGCTAGAGGCCCCCCTCCAAACAGCACAAAGTTGAGACCTTCTGCCTTTTTGGACGCATCTGGGTCGCATGTCCACCACTGCTCGATAGTAGATGGAGGAATATAAAGGGCTTGGACTCTCGTGTGCTTCGTAATAGCGCTCACTAAGTGACCGCTGGGTGGCATGGTTGAAGGACCGAAAACAGCAGTAGCCGTCGTGGAGAAGACGGGGATAACCATGAATGCCATTGTGCCCGCCAGCTTCTCTTCATTAGCTATTTGATAGCGAAAGGCAATCAGAACCAAGAGGAGATTTCTTACATGGAACGGGGGGAAGCAGCAATAGAATCGCCCGGGTGGGGAGAAATCAAACTGTTTTGCATTCTGTGGCCGACGCCCTTCTGGGACAGGGACATTTCGGTCGGAATCAGTACAGGAAAATGCAGCATGTGTATAGGAGACAATCTTTGGGAGTCCTGGATTTCCGACCCAAGTCAGAAACCATCTAGAAGGCTTTGCGGGCGGGTGATCATACCTGTGGACCCAGACGTGTGCATAGCAAGACATCTTTCATCCTTGACATCTGCAAACACGACATCATAGGGGTATGGATGGGATTGGCCACCCAGTACTTCCTCCAGGGATGGTACCGGCATATAGGTTATCAAAGCGGCAGAGTCAAGCTGTTGAATGCCTTTGACCACTGGCTCCATTAAATCCGCGTGGAGAAGAAGCATCACTTTCCCCTCACACAGCAAATGCAAGTTCTGATCAGGTGGGTTCCGTGGTGATATCCAAAATGTCTAGGAAGTCACGAAGTCAGCTGAATGCCAGGTATCAAGGGGAATTTCCGGATTCGTCACCGTCCATCCAGCCTTGATTGCTGCAAAGAGGAGAACAGGATATCGGATATCTGGTACTCCGAGATACGCGAGAATTTTCTTTTCTTTAGGCACACTTTTGGAATGGTCATCCAGCCACCAGGCCATGAAATCGACCGCGGTTGCCATCGTCTTCATGTCGACATCTCGAAACCCATCTGCCACATTTTGGGTTCTTGGCATGGAATTGAACACGCGACTGGGATTTTCATGGGCATGATAGTCGACAACGTGGGGCAGCAGTCTCTGGCCTCTGAATTCTTCTGCCCCTCGACGCCATATCTCGTTGTGGTTGGGAACGGACATGATAGGGGAAGCTGGAATATACAACGAAAATTTTGTTCCAAAAAGTATGGACGAAATGAAGGATTGGATTATAGGTAGCGACGAGAGGCTCCCTGTTATATTTGCCAGGTATCAACCATACTATGCCACGAGGGAGATATCGGCCTGAATTCCACATGGTACTACTATAATACAGGGATTATTGTAATATTGATTTGTTCTACCGTCCAATCGAGCAGGGTAAAACGATAACCCCTCCAAGAGACAAAGACATTGGAGACGGTGGCGTACGCCTGTATCAGACAGCTTGCATTAGCCATAAGGCGAAAATATCTTCCACGACCAACAGGATAGTGGAGAAGATGGCGTAAGCTTACACCCTTTATTTGCTAGTTAGCTCATTATCAGTCTCGAGGCTGCCTACCCCAGGGTATAGCCGCCGAGGTTGGAGGGCTTCGGCCGGGACCTGCTTGAATCCCTGCTCCAGACTTATTACGAACCCCACTTTACGAAGTAGATAGATGATAGTTTGTCGGCCATTACGATTCCAGGAACGGAGTGAGATGAAGGTACCTCCATCAGGTGCCTGGAGTTGTTGGCCAAGAGGTCTGCGAGTTACCCGCGGTGCCGTCTATCAATATCTAGGCCTTCTTAGTTTATACAGGCCAATCCTCCCCATTACCTAAAGCTTGTATTAAAATTATGAACAGATTTCAATTCTCAGTAACTATCGGTAGATTTGAAAGATTACAAATAGACATATAGACAGTCACATCCTTCTCCAAGAAACATTAAAACATTCGACGTCAAGTCTCCTAGAAAGATATTAAAAGACCTCCCTTAAGGTCTCTTAGCCCGAATCTACTCCTATCCTAAATTGCGACGAGTCTCTCGGATCGCCGGTCTACTCTGGTTCTGGTGTCAAATGGACATTTAATGGATGCCTTGTGGGAGCGACGGCTGTGTCACTGTGTGCCGTCGAAACCATGCTCAATTTTGATTTATACGTGAAGTATTTCTTGATAACTACATAGAATATGCAAGGTAGGTGCGTTCTAGTATGATGATTCGACTCTTGATGCCTCGGCCCAGGATAGACGTTATATTCTACCTGGTAGGCACGCACTGGTTCTTTAGCCATCAGCCTTGATGATATCTGCGGCTCGTTTAGCCACGGCATACACCGCACTCATGATGTTGCCCACGGTGATCAATGGCAGGATACTAGCGTCACAGATCCGCAAATTTGTCGTGCCATGTACCCTCAGCTTTTCATCAACCACGCCCCCTTTTTCCTGTGGGAGCATAGCCGCGGTGCCGCAAGGATGATACGTGCTCGTCGCGTTATCACGTAAATATTTCTTTGCAGATTCAAGATTGGTGAGGAACGCGTCGGGATGGTTCCGGCGCCCGTCTGGCTTTAGAAACTGTGACAGAGGCTCCGCCTTGTGAAGTTTCTCCATATCTACCGGATTGCGTGCCATGATTTCCAGATCCAAGGGGTGTGAAAAGTAGTGGGGATCAACAGTCTGCTTATCCTCCACGTTAGCAGCCGAGGTATGGACGCTGCCACGAGAAAAGGGTATCCCCTGGATAACTCCAAAGCTGATGAAGTGGCCCGGTAGAAGTTTTCCACCAACAAAAGTCGTACCGGTCTCGTGCAGATTGGCCTGGCAAAGGAACATAAATTGGGAGCAGGTGGGAGAATCGGGCTGTTCGAAGACATCGCGGATAACCTGGTGTCGATCGTCATTGGCTGAGAATGCGGTCCATAAGATCTTTGATGCACTTGTCGTTTCTGGCGCCATTTTTGTCCAAACAGGGCATAAAAGCATTTGACTGGACACCTCCAAGTGTCAATGGGCCAGTATTGTGTTCGAAGTATAGCTTCATAGCTTCCTGCGTTGCCTTTGGCTCTTGGCGCATTAGGGCGTCTCCCGTCACCACCCCATCAACAACCTCATAGCCAATACTCTAAGCAGGTGTAAGTCTCTCTGCAAGCCAAGGCAAAGGGAATAACAACATGCTCATCCAGTGCAATTAGTGGAGAGTTGCTATGAAAGGCCCTTGGAATGGATACCGGAGCGCTGGAGCACCCAGCCTGAATTAGTCAAAGACTCTCGATCATTTCTTCCATTCGCTCAAGGTATGTACGTACAGGCCTTTCTATTGGGGCTTCAGACGCTGATTATCGACAAGTCGCTACACGTGCTTAGGCAAGGAAGTCGCCATGTCCGAGATGGCCACGGTCATTGCAGTTCTGGTTTCAGTATATCGCATCAGCTTCCCGCCTGGTAACGGAATGAGTCAAGAACGAGTGGAGAGGTTGATGAAAGATCAATTCACCGCCACGCCGGGTGATTTGCACCTTGTATTTACGGAGCGAGAGCTGAGTAGCAGGTGATTTGTACTGTAGCTCCCAGTTTTACTTCTCGTCTCCCTGGCCAGGTCCTGTTCCACCCTGACCCCTTATGAGCTGGTACCCCGGGGCGGCTGGACGTCCGCAGGTCCGGGTGGAAAGGCAGCCGTTCCTGGCGCCAGAGGCTGTCATTTTCGGTGTCGATTTCACATATTCTCAGATTCTTGTTGTAATAAACCTATCAGAATACTTTGAGTTTCCTAGAACCCCTTCGTAGATCTGGCAATCGTTTGCCCGCTTTCCGCCCCTCCAATGTTGTCAGTTTCCCCCCATTCTTCCTATATAAGACAAAGCCTTTGTGTACTTATAAGTGAGTGCGATATTATCTTCGTCTTGTTATAAATTATGGCGCTCTCCAACTGTTTCCTTCGACACCATTGACACCGTTTCCTCCGATACCATTGGCCCCTCTCCTAGTTTGGCTGCTGGCATAGAACTGACTGGGCGTCCGGCGGTCCTGCTATATTGGACTGGGTACTCGTGAAGTGCTGATTCTCGTCTTGGCATTGTGGGTCAAAATAAATGGTGCACTCGATACCCGACGCTACTTGGATGGATCCCACCTCAGGAGGCATAGTGTTGGGATCGATAGCGTCACACTCTTCTATAGAACTGATTTGCTGCGACGGCCCTGCAAATCCAGGATCAAGATAAATAATAGCCTGCTTAAAGCAAGTTAGATACCCACTCGTCTCCCTCTTCGAGAGATGATAAATGACGTACAATAGAAGATTGAGCGGCTACAGCACTGGCAAAGGCAGCGGAGAGGAGCCGAGTGAACTGCATAGTGGCACTATGTGCTATTCTGCCTACTTTGCGTGCTTGTTGGTGCTGAACTTAGAGGAAATACGGCTGTGTGTATGTGTTATTTCGCTCTCAAAATGATATGTTTGGAATCCGCTTGAATATAAGCATTATAGTCTCACGTGCGTTTCTGGAGCACAATAGCTAAAAGGCTAGGTGTGATTTAATCAGTATCGATTCGGGTAGTGGCGATATTGATTGTGAGGAATAGCATCTTAGAAGGGGGGCCATGGTCATATTATATATCTTGTAAACTAAATAGGGTATCAGTGTCAAACTATGCATGGCTTGACGGACTTCGAATAATTCGACCCTATCTCTCCTCCTCGTATTCACCATCCCTTGCTCAGGGTTATGTCCGTATCGATGATCCCTTGCGACCGAGACCCACTTTAGACTCTGCCGTGAGCAATCATGGGGAGAGTGTTGGATGATCATTGCCATGCTGAATCTATTCAGGTAGGCATTATTGATTGACGCGTGAAGAGGAGCCTCTGTAAAGTTGGAAGATCGATTCCACGACATTAAGTATCGTGGTTCGATTGGCTTTCGGCAGATCTCGGAAGGCAGCGCTTGGATCAATACATTCAACCTCTTGTTTTCATTCGCTCCTGAGGTGATATGATATATCCTCGTCCTGCATTGAGTTTGGTTGTTATGCGGTCACCAACAAATCACCAAGGAGATGTGCGGAGTGGAGGAAAAAAAAGGCAACCTGCACACATTTTCTGGATAATATATCCATCGCCTCTGATTCCAATAGAGTACTGAATGCCTATCTAGAACAGGCACCGCGAATCCGTACTAAGTTAGGAGGAAATTCCAACAAGAAAAAGGGGGTCTGAGGTGTCACCTGAATGCAGTTATAAAAGGGCTGGTCCCCAGTGTGGTTGTTGAACGCCATCCGCATTTCTTCGTCTAGAGATCAGCATGAGACTTTCTACCCTGATAGTGTGTGCCTTCGGTGCAGTTGTGCTTGCCCGTCCAACTAAGATAATGGACTTGGAATCACGAGATGATTGCGTGGTAAGGTGACTTCAGAACTCCCAAATCTCATCTGACATTTTGTTTAGACCTGCGCTAAATATTGTGATGATCCTTCGAATGCGTCGGCTGTATGAATCCTCTATCCTATGAACGGGAATTCTTTTTCTGCGTAATCAGATGCTGATTAATATTAGCTTGGCGCAAGCTGCTATATCGTCAAATGCGGCATAAAATGTTTGGTCGGTTAAGGAAGTGAACTGGATTTTTCGTTCCAACGGGGGCTTGCTACATTCTCTTGCACAGAGACAGGATGTTAGATTCCACAGGCCAAGTCCAGGGCAATATTGATTTTCTGTTGTCGATTTACAGCATGTATGCTTGGCGTTGTCTCCGAAAGGACGTGTGATAACAAGAACCCTATGTTGTTCTAGTACAGTATTATCTTCCCCATCTTACAATATCGATCATCCTAGTTCAGGGCTTCTTCATGTCTTCCTTTGGCAGCGTACGCGTTCGTCATATTACTCAGTCAGATATTTGCCATGCCTTCTGATCATCAAAACCACCCGTTTCATGGTCTAGACGGTCATCGTCACATGAAAGAAAAGCCTCAATGTCGACTCTCTGCTCTCTCATCCCAGGCGATTCTACACTTTCCGCGTGTGTAGCCAACAATACATGCTCCAGCGCTTCTGAGTCCGAATCTAGTGCCTCTTTTGCTATTCCTCTCATTATCGCCTCGACCTCATTATTATGGGCCGATATGCTGATAACATTTGGCAACGCGCGTCTGTCCGGACCAACATACTGAACTCGAGCCGCGAGACCATCCCATGTTCTTTGGATGTAGTATCTCTTCCATGATGTTGGCGTGAGGCCGAAAAGGGCTACGAAACCGTCAAAGCTCAATTGTGACGGTAGAATTCCTCTACTGTCTGCCTGGGGTATCTCCAATGACTGTAGACATGTGCGGACCATGTGCAACCAGAACCGGGCTTGCGTTTCGGAATATGGTGGTGTTGCTGTGTTTATAGCCCGTAGACGGGTAGTCGTTGATTGAAGTGTGACAAGCGCCTGTTGTATGGCATCTTCGTCGTACGATTCTGCGATCTGTTCGCACTGACGGATGAATACAAAAGCGAATCGTATCAGTCTAGCGGGATCTCCTTGTTTCGTAGAGTAAATAGCAGGCTTGTCAAGAAGGGATGTCACGACGGGCAATGGCTGATGATCAGGAGGGGTCCATGAATCCCATGCCCGCGGGCTAAAAAGATGCTTTGTGCTATAATACAAACTCCAGAGACGGGGTTTCATCACGGATGGTGTATAGAACAAAACTTTGTAGAAGTCGGTCCACAACGGATCTCCACCAAGTTTCTTTGTGATCCTGTAATTTCTGATGGCGATCTGCAACTGTAAAATCCAGAAAATAGTCATCGTACTGTTGATAAACTCTTAGTATATTGTCCGTTTCCAGGGCATAAACAAAAGGAACTTCTGTGCGGGAGAGAGCTTACCGATGTACCCTATTTCCAAATTTCTCTGGCTGGCTGTTTCGCAATCGCCTCAAATGGGCCAGTATGACATCAGCCATAGCAAATGTACTTTGTCTTCGTTTCATATACTCCAAAACTACAATGTAGGTGACCTTCAGGTGGGCATGATGATCCCACACTGGTATATCTCCAGTAACAAATGAGTCCCAAAAGGCCTGGGCATTAACAAGATCCTGTGATGCTCGTTTGTCGATAGGCTCGCTCTGACTCGGACTGGATACTGTGTCCTCTGGTATGTCTGGAGCAATCTCTGTCCCAGGATCCCGCTTGGAGTCAGCCCTCGGTTGAGGCTGGGGTTTCGGTCGAGTCCGCAAAAGAAGATCTGCAGATGAACGAAGTTGGCGGAGGATTTCCAGCACCCCTTCTCCCGTTTTGGCACTGAGCCTGTGATCTAGAATCCTCCAGGAGCGTTGATCCCCGTATTTGACCATCTCCTTCTGATACTTCTTTCGCAGGCCATCGACAATTTCTGAGGCGCTTTCTAGGGGAAGCGTGTCTTGTTTGTTTAGGACAATCCATAGATGTCTACAACCATGCTTCTGCAGAAAGTCGAGAAAGTATTGAAAATCATAGATGGGTTTCGGCTGTTGCGGATCGCAGTTGTGGATAAAGAGAGCAATGTCTGCCTCCCGAAAGTACCTGTGGATCAATTGCTCGCGCGACCTCCTAGACACTATAGCTTGTCATTGATATGCCAGTAAATATGGAGGGTAGAAATAAGAAATGGCATAAGAGTACAATGCAGAACAGGCACACTGTCACTGTGGGCTCACTCACTGGACATGTCCCAGATTGTCCATTTATACTTGTTCGGGTATTCGACGGTCTCGACATTGAAGCCGATTGTCGGAATGGTATTAACCAACTCTCCTAGCTTCATCTGATAAAGAAGAGTAGTCTTGCCACAATCATAGTCACCGAGCAAATTAACTCTAAATTCTAGGGTCCTGAAGGGCCACATAACCCAGTCAACAATAGCTTCAGGGACTGGCCATCAGCATGCGATATAGTACACCTGCACTTCAGGGAACCTACAAGCCATCTTGCCTCCATTCAAATACTGATTTGCACACTGCGGAACATTAGGGGTAATGCGCCTGTATAACAGAAACGTAATCTGGAGCTTGAAGGTGACTGATATAAAGGATGGTTATTGCTGCCTGTCTTGCGTTGAATACGAGAGATCTGCAATGTGTCCCGCTTGTGAGCCAAGGCATAAACCGTAGATCGAGTATACGGCCCACGATGAGACATAGAACGTTTAGGCAGAATAGGTCGATCTGTGTCTACAGCTCGGACTCGCTTCATGAAAGATACATTGGACTTCAAATATATATATCGATAGGGGCAACATCGCACACATTCGGAATCATCTTCACCGACCTTACCCTTAACTGTAAATATCTACCGGAAATCCTAAAGAGCCATTATGTATATTTCACCTTCCCGGTCTCGTATTTAGTTCAGTCCTATTTTTTTAACTTATTCTTTGTTTCGTGACAGTTTGCCTTGGACTGGGTCATGTGAGGAGTCTTGTCCAATGTTTGGAGGGTTGAGAATATTTGTAATGTTTGGCACTGACATCTTCGGATCAATATCCGCCCGAGCAGTTCTGTACGGAGTACTCCGTAATTCTCTCCATTCTCCACTTCGATCTTCTCGGGTGGATTCTCTCCTTCTCACGTCTATGGTCCATATCGTCTTTATGTGGGGAAATTGTCGTACACAGAGTTGAAAGTATTCATTAACGCTAATATTCACAATTCTATAGGATGATTTGCGGTGCGCGGGCTAATTACCCTCCTTGAACTCATCAATCACACTCCTAGGCTGGAAATACTCGCCCAATGGCTCATATGCGAAATCATATCCATAGCCCTTCGGTCCACCGATCTCGAGACCCCGTTCCGTCTGGGACCAATGTGGAGAGCAGGCCAATCCCAGCACCACCACCTGGTAGCCATACCGGTACTCCGGCACCCCGATTGGCTTGCCGGATTCCTTGTCCAAGATGCAAATGAGGTCCGGCACGCTGGCAATGATCTTCTTCGAGCCGTCGGTGGCATGATGCTCTGCGTAGATATTCTCATTTTTGAACGGGATGCGGATGTGCCCGCCTTGCGCAACCGCAGAGGAGCAATTCTGATTAGCGGTCTGGTCGTCATCCTCGGCGGGGACTTCGGTGATGATGAGCTCGCCGTATGAATGTCCTTTGTATACTGTTTGCTCGATTCCAGAGATCTTGCCTCGGAATAGGACCTTGGCGGACTGGGGGCCTCCGGCTTCAGCAATGATGGCTTCTGGCACGGTGAGAAGCGTACTATATTGAGCAGCTTGGGCAATGGCTCTGCCGATTCTCCATGATAGTGATACCGTATTCAAAATGGCGAATTCCCTCACAGCCGCACCATTTGTCGGGCGAGCTGATAGGCCAACTAAAGAGCCCATTTCGGTCAAGGCAGCACGGAGCACGCGGTCGACCATCTCATCATCACCCGCTCGGGGCATGATGACAGACCTTCCATCGCCGGAGTCAATTGCACAGGGAGTGAGCTCCCCCGGCCGATACACGGCCATTGTAGTCTGCCAGATCATGGGATTGGCGCGGCCCATAAAGTCCGCGTCGATAACGGGGCGGTCGTAGAACCGATCCGAACCCCATTGAAAGGCTTCGAGACCATTGGACCCTCCGATTTCGAGGCCCATCACGGCATCGAAGGACTTGTGACCCATGTAGTGCATGAGCTGGCCGATGGCATCCACCGTTTCATGGGCTTGGAGTCGCTCCACAGTCGTTGCTGGTGATCCCATGCGCCCTCCCCAGTAGACTAGTGCATCGTCCGGCAGGACAGAATGATCAATACACCGGATTTTGTACCCTTGACGGATCATTTCTTGTAGTTGAATGCGGCCAGCGTCTGGACTTCCGCCGCCGCCGCAGCCGAGGACATACGCTCCGTCTGCGATGTAGTTCAGGTCGGTTTCTGTCAGGAGCCACTCGTGCCAGCCAGCCTTCTCGTCGAAGACAACATTCGGCCTGTAGGTAAGATGATCAACGGGATCAACGTCCGGCACTTGAAGGTGTTCCACAGTCCTGGGGCTCTCAACTATCGTATCCTCCTCCACGGGGCCCTCTTCATTGTCAACAAACATGTTCATTGACCTCTCGATATCCAAATCTCCAATCGCCTTGACGACAGTTCTCAACTGATTAGAAATATACGGAATGGGCATGGACTCCACCTCAGCAATAAAGACGCTCTTTTCAACAGCGCCAGCTTGAATAGCTCGTTCAATGGCAGCTTTCTTAGCGTCTTCCACAGCGTCCGTGATGGACTGATTTGCGATGCTAGTTATTTTATCTACCGTTCCACCGACCTTGGCGCATGCTGCTCCCACAGCGTTCGCTACATCAAAGAACGGCGGGTTGATGAGTTTGGAGGCACCCTCTAGCTCTGCAGGGGCCAGTACGGCACCTCCTCCGACAAGGAGCACTGGCAATGGCTCCGGCGAGGTCTTCATGAGGTCAATTGACCGCTCCAAGATCTGCTTGATCCGTGCCTGTGACGCAGATACCAACTCAGGGGCCAGATGTTTCACGGACTCCGCACTACCTACGACACACTGACCACCGGCAACAGCAATATCCGTTGCGGTCAGAGTCTCTCCGCCAAACACAAACCCCTCAGAGAGCAGTCTATGCCCAACGGAGTCTGGACCAACAGTGACAGGCCCTGTCTTTGCGCCGTTCTGCTCATCACGGACAATGGATCCTCCGCCCAGTCCGACAGAGTACAAATGGGGCATGGAATAGTTCACCTTGATTCCCGCTGCTTTCACATAAGCCGAAGCTTGACGTGGCAGCCCAGACGGAAGCAAAACCCCCACATCGGTCGTGGTGCCACCGATATCAACGACAATGGTGGACTTATTAGCCAGATCCTCTCCAGCTAGATATGCGGCGCCGCGCATGGAGTTCGTAGCACCGGAGTTAAACGTTCGGATGGGTGTCTTAGCTGCACTAGTCGCGTCTATGATGGTGCCATCATTCTGTGTGAGAAACAGCGGACACTGCAGATGAAGGGATTTCATCGCACCGCGGAAGCGTCGGATGGTTTGGCGTGCGTATCTCAAGATGGCGCCGTTGAGGATAGCGGCATTTTCCCGTTCCAAGAAACCTATACCGTGTTCGTTAGCATTCCCCTCGCTGGCCCGATTTGTGACCGGGCAGCGTGTCCAACATACCGATATTGGCAATTTCCTTCGAACACACGACGTCCGCCCCCGGAATCTCGCGGGTAATGATCTCCCGCACTGTTTCCTCCTGCTGGAACACCTCATCAATGGGCGAGTAAACACCCGCCACGACGACGGTCGTTAAACCCAGCGCCTTGATGTTCTCACACTCCCGAACGACCTGCGATTCGACGACCGGCGCCTCCTGAGACCCGTCAATATGGAGACCACCATCGATGTACCCGACATATCCATTGATGAGACTGGCCAGTCCAGCTGGCCACTCGGAAAACGGCTTCACATCGCGCAGGAACGACTTTGACAATCGGATAATCGCAACCTTGCTTAGACGGCGGGGGTCTTGCTCCAGCACGGAGTTCAGGAAGGCAGTTGTGCCAATAGTAACGGACGCCACATTTTCCGGAGCGACTTGGGAGTCCCGGAGGACCGTGTTAATAGCTTCTTGGATGCCCGAGGTGACGTCGGGGGACGTTGGGGCCTTGTGAGATGAAAGAATACCACGAGAGGATGCGTCTCGCTGTCCCAGGTCAATTAGCACCGCGTCGGTGTTTGTTCCTAACGGACGTGAGCGGATCCTGCATGAATATACAAGGCAGTGTACGAAGCTGCTGTCTTACCACCGACGTCCACGCCGATCCGCACTGACTGCACCATGCTACAAAATCTACCCAATACGGTAGCTTAACTCTCTAGCGATTGAGTAGATCACTAAGCTCCGACTGCAGCGCACTCTCGCAGTGTTGCCACCTATTATATCGTTAGTCAGCGTACGATGCCGATTGTAATGCGTTGATCGCGCAACTTGGGCCTTGCCGCTATCTCAACGTCCCCGGAAGGAAATGTCGCCGAGGATCGGGAGAGTCGCCCTAAAAAGTCCCACAATCCCGATGGTTTAATTCTTCTGCGTCCCAGGAAAAGCAAACACGACAAGCCCCTAAGCGCAGTAGCCTTGGATTACCTGCAGAAATAATCCCTGTCAATTTTAATCTGGCATGCATCACATTGGATATTCAAAGACCAAAAATGCACTAAATTCAATACAATGCTCCCAAGCGGATAGATAACATGAACCACATTAAAACTCAAGCCACCACCGTCTTCAGGTAATACTCCAACGACTCCAACGGCTTTCTAGAAGGAGGATTTGGCACTCGGTCTCGCCAGATCTCTTCGCCATCTTTGTACACGACCAACGTTGGCCACCAGGTGACCTCCGCTCTCTTCTGCACTTCGGATCCGACTTCGTCGAAGCCGTTGACCTGTAGCCTTTCCATTAGACATGGCAGACATAGCATGATTGCGGCGGTATACCTTGTAGAAGCGTACGCTGCTTTGGTCGTCGGCGATCTTGCTGTATAAAGGTGCGATTACCTTCCGGACCGATTAGCATCCTGAACGTCCAGAGGTCGGAGGTTCTTACATGACAAGGACCGCAGTGAGGAGCGTAAAAGTCCAAGACCGCAAGACCTGGCTTCGCCAGCTCGGCCTCGTACTCAGCAAGAGAGTGGATTTCGGCAATCATGATGGTTGTTGTGGTAAATAATCGTGATATCTAGATCGATGACAGGAGTTCGCCCGGTAGGACTGATTATATATGTGGAGACCCTTCGACCGTTACGCCACCATCGCCAATGGCAAGTTGCCCTAGTCTGGCCCTATCCAAGATCTTCTCACATATCCTGATCACTCTGCTTGGTCTTAATCCAAGAAACAGGCCCATGGGCCCACTAAGAAACGCTAGAATCCCAACCGAAGCAGTGGTGGATCCATCTCGGTGAAGTCGGGAAGTTAGCCTAACCATCAACTGGTACATCTGTGCCGCAACTGCCGTCTGGTTGCCAGATGTATACGTACTACACGGTCGGGGATGTTCTGCAAAAAGGAAGGACACCGGGTGTCAAATCACATTATGACATGTATTAAGCGGGAGTTATTAATTACTACAAAGAATGAAAAATTTTTTCTTGGAGCAGGGAGACGAGGCCCATCCGTTACCAGGTCGGGACAACCAAAGGTACCCCCCGGTTCAACCCACAACATTCGCCATGGGAGGACCAGAGCCAGTCTACCGATGTCCGCCCTTCTCCATCGCGGTGATGGTCTCGCTCTGCATCTCGTCCGACCGCTCGCTATACATTGGGTCTTGAAATTCCGGCTCATCCACCGCCCCAATACCCGCCGGGGGACTGAGATAGCAGAGACCAGCATGCAGCACGAACGACGCAAAGAATCCCGCGATGGGCCACAGGTAGAATGTATACGTCAAGCCAATCGGGATGCCTGTGTTGTGTGGATTTAATGCGGCGAGACCAGGGATACTGGGCGCAAATCCAACCAACCAGGCCGTGAACGCACGCCAGTTGAAGCCGCCCTCGAACCAGTAGATGCTGCTCGCATCGGCGCGGTAGAGGTCGGACAGCTTCAGCTTTTGCTTGCGAACGACGTAGTAGTCGGCGACCATGGTGCCCATGAGTGGGAACAGGATGACTAGCCGCGGTTAGCGTGGGATGGACTCAAGGGGTGTATCACGCCCGAGAAAACTCACCTCCGAAGCTGTTCAGCGTGTTGGTGAAAATGGCCCCGTTGGCGATGATCTGCCACGGGTTGATCACCACGGAAATTGCAGCTAACAGGTACGATCCACGACGGATGTTGAAGTACCGGGGGTACAGGCCGGCGATGTCCATGCCGCCTGAGACGCCGTTCTCGATGGAGTTCATGGCCATGATGCTCGATGTTAACCCGAACGCGACGAAGAATGCCGCCGCTCGCATGGCCGGGTTATGGTACTGATTGTCCAGCCACATTTGCAGAATATTGGGTGGATTCCACAGACCCAGTTCGTTCACGTCGCCGTACATCTTCGCCGCAGCAGCCGTGCCAAAAATTCCCAGGATGGGAACAACGTTCCCGGATATCAGGAACGAGAAGAGCTGGCCTTTGACCTGAGCCCCCGGTCGTCGGGCGAAACGCGAGAAATCGCTGTGACTCGCCATGCCGACCGCGTTGCCAGAGAACACGACGGCGAAACCGTGGATGAAGGTCCATCCCAGGTTGTCTGTTCGCTGGGACGTTTGGAGGGTTCCCAGGGAGCCACCCCGGGCACCGGCAATGAGGCCGATCGCCAGTCCCAGAATGACGAGTAAGTTGATACTGGCGATAAGCTTAAAGGGCTTCTTCAGCTTGTCCGGGGGCACCCACAAGAGTGCGAGCGAGACTGTCCCTCGTCAGATCCCCATGTTGCGGGCGCGAATAAGAGGAAGGCACACTAACTGATATTAAAGATGACATATCCGACGAACTGCTTGGTGGTCATATGCGTCGACTCCGGCAGTGTGTTCTCCATATGATGGTAGCCGGAAAAGATCGTCGACAGGATAATCGCCACCAGCTGGCCGCCCGTAAACGCCTGGACACCATACCAAATAATGCAGAGGAAAATGCGCAGAATGACCGGCACATACGATCCCCACATTCCAAACACGGACCGGGAGTTGACCGTGAAGCCAATGTGCCAGACTCCACCGGGCCATCCGACGCAGAACACCACGGCGGTCTGGAGGAATTTCGTAATGATGTTGCAGAGAATGGATTGCCAGACATTCAGACCGAGGCTGAGGAGCGACGAGGTGATTTGCCAGCCGAACGTGGTGAAGAAGACGGTGCTCCATAGATAGAGAAAGTCCCAGCTGGACCAGGTCGTACGATCTGTGCTTGAGGGTTAGAAGCCGTATCGACCCTTGTTCGCATCTCCAACGTTAAGCGTACCTGCAGGCAAAGGAATCAGATCCCTGTTTCTCCACTGATCGGGGTCGCCGCTGAGTTGCAGCGTGCGGTGCAGCCTGCTGCTGCGCCGGAGAAGCGACCCATGCTGTGCCTCTTGTTTTTAATTAATAATAGTTTTATTTAGCTCGTCCTCATGCCACTTTTATTCCCCACCCCGGTTGTCCCCTTGAATCACTCGATTACTTCAATCGCGATGACTTTATATGGCCCCGTTGAAGTGCCGGCGAGCTTGGCTTCCCGTTCATACGTGGCTTCGATCACGTCTTCGACTGGCGGGGATTGTTGAGGATGGGAAAGGGAGAGACGGTCTGGCTAGGCTGCTAAAGTTGCTAAAACTACTAAAGTTACGCGACGCTGTTGATCGCTTTAACGGGTAACGTCCCCGACGTCCTGGTTTTCCGGTCTTTTCACAAAAGTCCTGGCACAATATGGCACAATATGGCACGGTCCCAATGGTTTTCTGAGGGCTGAAGATTGCATCGAGTACTTCTGGGATCGCTCGATCGGATTGCATTTGAATTCTAATTTCTTACGTCTATTTTTCTTACCTAATCTGCATGGTTAGTTAGTTAATATCCATCACGCTAACTAACTAACAAAAAGTCCCCACAGGCACTAAAGTCTCTCTAGTGCCACTCTTTCGTCAACCGGCCATATCGCGATTCACATGTAATAACCCTTGAACCCCCTCAAAGTCGATATTACAAGTCCAGCCGTCATCCTCCGGTAAGGTCTGTGTCGTTGTCTGCACCTTCAAGACCTCGCTGGCCACCTTCTGCAGCTCCTGCAGCGCGGATTGCCCTAAGGGCCAATGTTTACTGAACGACTTCAACACCCCGATCGCCAAGTACATGGAGTCATAGCACTCCGTGATGTCGATATTCTCGTCTTGACTCCGCTTGGATAATGCCGACAGCTGCACGATCGCGGCGCTCAGCAGCGCACAGATAAACAGCGGCGTGTGTTTGATCACCGGCAGCCGCAAGGCCGCCAGGTTGAAGATCCACTTGGACGCGACAATCGCTTTCAGCCCGTGCAGACGTTGGGACGTCGTCGGCGACACATGGGGTTCGTTCTGCGCGCACGCGATGTCCGGATTCGGGAGCATGGAGATGAGATCGCTGCGCGGGAAATGCAAGAACATGCTGGCGTATTGCACGATCATGTACGCCTGGAAGAGCATCTCGTCGCCTTTGCCGTCCGGTTGCAGGATATCTCCCTTCCCGTCCGGGAGATGATGGATCCAGCCGGCGATGGCGTGGTCCACGGCGTGGACCTGCGACGGACGCATGTTGGAGTCAGGCTCGGTCAGGGTGAGCACGTTCACGAAGATGCGAACGGCCTCGATGCGATATGAGTACGAGGAGAACTCGACACTGTTGGGGTTGAAGATCCTCTTGTCAAACTGGGTCAGTGACACGAGGTTGGAGGGGTCGGGGATGGTGAGATTCTCATAGTCGGTCTCCTCGCAGGGGAGGAGGACGTCGGAGAAATAGGTCGCGCGTGTGAATCGCTGATGTCGGTAGAGACCGGAGAGAATGCCTTCGCTGAAGACAAGCTCCCACCAGGTCCGCCGCAGGCTCTCCTCGAGCATGTGGTTCTGGTTCCCATGCTGCACGGCGAAGCTGGCGCAGTCCATGCCGAGTTGAATGGCCAGGTCGGTTGCCGCTTGGAAGATCGTGAACGAGTCCATGAGTTCGTATCGCGCGTGGATCGCCAGGGCGCAGATCAAGCGGGCCTGGACCATCTCCGGCGTCTGCGGGCTATTACTGCTCATGATGGCCTGGATGGTTTCCTCTCGCGTCTGCCAATCGACCGGGGACGATGCATAGTGGCTGCCGACAAACTGCACCGCCGCCTGCAGATAGTCCGGGTACCCCTGCGTGGCGTACAGGGAGTGCGGGAGGAGGATGGGATGCGCGGGGTGAAAGTTGCTGAAGTAGTAGTTGACCAGGCGTTCATTGTAATGGAGGCGAGATGAGGTGGTGGCCGCGGTGGTGAAGCTGGTCAACGGGGAGGTCGTCGAGGCCGGACCAGGAGCGAGGTTCACCGGCTGCGACACCTCCCCTGGTGCCGGGGTGTCAGCGAGTGAGAGAGGCAGAGCGGTATTCGGAGTAGCAGGGAGAAAGGAGGATCGGGGGGTCTGGATGGCAAAAGTCGAGATATGCTGAGAGACCGAGTCCAGCTCGGGTCGGTTTTTGGGCGGGCGCTGGCCACGCCGCGAGGGGATGTACGTGCAGCTAGACCCCGCGGACAAGCACCGCGAGCACTGGGGATAGCCGGAATTGCATTTCAGACGTTTTTGTCGACATTGCGTACAGGCCACTGCGGCCCGTGCGGGATGGTGGACCGCAGGTGATGCTGGTTGAGCGGGTGAATCTGTCATGGTTTGTGGGAAGCTGTGGGAACGTTCCGGTCGGGGAAGTGGAGGAGGTCGGCGTTGTCCCTTCACCACGATGGCGTGTGCGGACTGGGTAAAACTCGGTTTTCTTTCGTATCGCCTGGGCCGATAATATTAGCCCCATCTCGTCCATCTTCACGACACTAGTGTCTTCATAGCGCAGGAACTAGTCGCAGTCTGGTAAGGTGGATGTAACCAAAGCCTGAGGGATTGTCAGAGATTACCCCCGTCGATCAAAGGACAGACATCAGACACGGTTGACAAAGGCAGTAGAAGAGCAAGCAATACAAAGAGCGAACGACAAGCACCTTGTTTCTGAATGGCTTTGTCGATCTCATGAACCTCGGTACTCTGATGTGGCAGGGCTTGGCATCCTCTTAGGGCATCCGGCATCACCGGATCTGAACGTGGCAATACTATCCATGTTAATACAGAGTCTGGAGCAAACAAGATCCATGAGATGTGCTCGTACCTGAGCTGTCCAATTAAGAAATAGTAAAAAGATCCCAAGGTCTCCGAGTGGTCGCTGAGAATATCCTGGTACGTCGGTCTTGGCACGAGTTGCTCCAAAAGATGCGTTGTAGATATTACCGCCCGACGTTAGTTACTTCCATATCAATATTGGTCAGATAGTTTGCTGGTCGCCGCTAGGGATGCCAAAGATGTGCGGTAGGAACAAGCTTAGCTTGCTTTTATGACGTTTGATCAGTTATCTTGCATCGCAATGGAAACCCACAAACCATATGCGTGACCCAGTCTGAATACCGGCTCACCGTTATGACAGCATATCCTGCAGTACTTTGTGGCATATGTGCATTGGAGGCTGGCGATCAAGGAGCAATGTGACAGCCAGGGTCGATATTGCATCTGCGTGGGTCCAGATTCCTGCTTTCTTTTTTTGTCCTTGTGACAAATCTCAACAATGCGGTGCTTGCAGGATTATTGCATATTCCAAGAATGTGCCTTTCCTCCTTACTGCATGCATAGGCCAATGAGATAGGCTGAATATGTCAACTGCTCCCATTCCCGGTTCTGCGGCTGGGAATATATATCTACGTGTAAAGTCCGCCCAAACATTGCGGCGAAAGACCACACACAACATCAAGATGAGGTTGTTTCTCCTAGCGTTCTCTGCGGCGCTTGCCAGCGCTATACCCCAAGAAATACCTTGGTCACCCCCTGGACCGGACGACGGTAAGCTCAGGTGTAGTAGATGGCTACGATTCTAGGCTAAAGACCAACAGTGCGCAGTCCGTGTCCCGTGCTGAATGCACTTGCTAATCATAACATCCTCCAACACGACGGGAAAGATATTACGCAGCAAGATACATTTCGCGCAATGGACGCGTTGCATGTAGATAAAGGGCTTTCCGACATACTTTTCGCCGCAGCATTGAAGACGAACCTGACCCCCAATGCCACTACATTTTCTCTTAACGATTTGGATCATCACAACATCATCGAGCATGATGGCAGTCTGAGGTATGTGAGGATCCTGCGTGAACACCATCGCCCAACCTAATGAGGAACCATAACCATCGGACGATTTTAGCCGCGGAGACTTCTACTTCGGAGACAACCATTCCTTCAACCAGACCCTCTTCGACCAAGCAAAGTCCTACTGGACCCAACCTTTAATCGACCTGCATTCAGGAGCGAGAGCCCGTCTCGCACGGATAAACACGTCCAAGGCCACCAACCCTACATTTGACCTCTCGGGATCACGCCTGCGTTTCAGCTATGCACAGACAGCCACATATATCCTTGTGTTCGGGGACAAGGTCTCGGCAACTGCCAACACATCTTGGATTGAGTATCTTTTCGGTATGTATTCGACGTCCTTCAGAATCTTGCTCACATCTAATATATCTTTTGCTTAGAAAAGGAACGTCTTCCCGTCGAGCTTGGGTGGGAAAGGAGGGAAACCCTTATAACGACAACCGACCTTGATAATATGATCGAGAGGTTTATGGAAGCTACTCGGGAAGTTGAGAACTCACAGGAGGCATGAGGAAGGGAAATAAATGACGGTCGCAAATAGTTGAATTGGAATGAGAGGCATATACGGTATTGATTGTCGTTCGATTGGAATCGCAAGGTCGTGTTTATAGGTTTGGCGATTCTGACATTTTCCTGGTATACATGACATGGTATCAGCTCGGACGGCTCCGGGCGCCCGGTGTTGGTTCACACATACTTGATCAGACGGGCATGTTTGCGTATCTTGTCCCAAATATCTCCAATCTAATACCTCGGAGGTGATTTTGTAGTCTGATCCTGTCTTTGGATATGGACCCCTCATAGGGTATTCTCATTTCCACATGGCAGAGACGTCTAGAATGTCCGCTCCTCGATTGATTACTTTAATGTGGAACGATTTTTGTCGCGCACTCGACCAGACAGTCCGGACTGTAGTCTAGCTAGTTGTAACAGATACAACTAAGACTTCATGCAAACAGTTGAATCACAAAGATGCTCTGGTAAACTACACTCCAGTGCCATTCGGCCCCACTACCAAGCCCTTCTGCAGGGCCCTCTGGATCCCATTAAACCAAAGCATGGCCAATGTGTCGTATCCCTGGTCATTAGGGTGAATGCCATCAACCAGACTCTCAACGCGAGGCCCATCATTATAAAGGTCCACAAGAACAATCCTCCGCTGCAAGGTCGCCTTCTGCTCGGCCAGAGTGCGGAACCGGTCATTGACGTGCATGACTCGCTCGTTCACCTGCTTATCCGAGTTGACCAGGAGAGTAGAGAGAAGGACGGTCGAGTTCGGCGACACATGCCAGATATACTCCAACAGATTGTTCATTCGTTCCCCCGCCTGGTCGACTCTAAAGGCCTGGATACAGTCATTGGAGCCCGCGTTGACGGTTAATAGATTGGGCATCAAACGCCCGACCGACTTCATAGCCTTGTTTGTGATCTCGTCGATTCTGTTTCCGCGCCACCCCTCATGGTCGTTATTGGGCATTGAGCCTGTCCTGCGCGATCCGACCATGCAGACTTCAAAGTTCTGCGCTTGAAGAAGCTCAAGCAGTGCTTTTCTGTACCCCGTGCCGTGGGACGAGCCAACTCCTTTGGTCACCGATCCGCCCAGTGGCATTAGGCGCAGTGGTACGCGGGCAGACATGACGGCCGAAGAGCGAGATGCTTCTGCTGGAAATGATCATAGAAATTTGATGTGTGTACAAGTCAGGGAAAAGAAAGGAGAAAGGAGAAAGAACGCTTGGAAGCCAGATGAGATTGAAATAAAACGGGTTCGGCGAATCGCTTAGCGGCCGAGCCCGCATAGAGAAGTATAGTGTCATAAATCGATTTATGATCTATGAAATTACCATTCCTTTATATGGGGTTTAACCGGTATGCTCCGTATTAACCACATATTTTTAACCCATCTACATACACCGGTGCAACAACTGCTACGTGATACAGATGGTAGGGCTACCATCGACCATATGGCGGCCGTGGCATTAGAGGCTGCACTGACTAGCGGCTAGAGCAAAGAACATTGTGTTCCGTGGAGTTTGCGGATGGCTTGCATCAATGCTAAAGTTTCGTTTCTTCGGTGACGTTAAGACACTCATATATCAACCTACATTGCCGAAGTCAGGCCCGTAGCGCCCCGGCGACCAACTGTCTCTGATAGCGTCTTCGAGAAACTGCACATCGAGCGCCGGCTGAGATAGGAGCTGTTGAAGCGATGAATCGGTCTGCAGGAGACCACCGCGCGGCATAGCCGGGGCTAGCTGAGATGGTGACGGTGCCGCATTTCCGGGTACACTAGAGCTCTCAGACAGCATCATGCGCTTTGCATGCGCTGTCAGGGCAGCCTCAATGACCTCAACGTGGTGGCAATATTCCTGGGCGACACAATTCCCGGCGTCTTTCAGCTCAGCCAAAAGCCGTGAAGCTTCTTCAAACGAGTCGCGGTCGCCCTGGTTATCCTGTCCCTCCAGAATGCTCGAAATAGCCAGGATGGTCAGGGATGAAAACAGATAACGCGTGAAGAAGCAATCAAAAGTGACAAACAGGCCGTCGATCCAGGACTGGGATAGGAGCTGGACAGAGTGCCGTGCACACCGAATGCAGGCTTCTGATAATGCCGAGGCACTGGTGGGGAGCTCAGATGTTGCCCATGATGAGTCGGTGACCTGCATTCGCAGGCTGTGTAAAAGCACTGGACGAGTGGCAAGAATGACGCACTACAAAATCTCAGCAAAAGAGGAGTAGATTGATAGAATAGGGGAGAACATACCTGGTAGAAGGACAAGTGAAGCGAGACAGTTTTCAAATCATTTACAGCGCCCGGCGTATGGTCGACCTGCAGGCGAGGCGGTAGCTGCTCAACCCAGGCCAGTAGATCCTGCAGTACCTGGTGCACTCGGGCTGCAATTTGTATGTCTTGTCGTTGGGATCGGAAGCTATAGATCGATTGGACAACGCCAGTCAGAAGACGGGCCAGCTGGATGCTGGCCGAATGGTACACACAATCCGAGTCCTCGTCAAGGAGCGAGCCAGTCAAATGTGAGCCTGGAATATCCACTTCGACATCCTCATCCTGGATCGCCACTGGGTGGCCGAGCTGAGCGGCCCACATGCGATCGAACATGTACGCCGTCCAGAATAATCGCTGTCGATGCCCCCGGGCGCTCATATCGGACAACTGGGGCCCTGGGATGTTCAGATGGAGGCCCGTCACAATAGCGGAGCGCATGGCTATCCCAGACAGGACGTACGCGCTGTACCTTCGGTTAAGGGCTAATGAGTAGATAGACTTAGAAGTCGGCAGGTGTTAGCTAGCAGCCGACCAGATACGGATCAGACAAGTACTTACAAGGAGAAGTAGGGTTTCAATTGTCTCCATGTCTGGTCGTTCATTCAGGTAGCCCAGCATCTTAGATGCCTGGGCAAAGTACGACATGCCCGGGTAGCCCTGTGTCGCGGCAGCGCGCGTTGCATACAGCTCCCCAAGGGCGAAGAGTGCCCAACACTTGCAGTAGAGAGCGGGACCAGCCGCTGCAGGATCCAGAAATATCCGGGCTAGGCCCTCGCGAGCCACGTCGCGAGAGACCATATAAGGGCAGCGGCTAATGTACTTCAAGGCTGCCTCAACGAGGAAGCGGGCGCGGGAATGACCAGGCCACGGTACGGTAGATTCAACAAGAGCCATCAACGCTTTGTCGTTGGCGTAATCAAGACGAAGCAGATGTGAGGGCTGGGGAGCATGCGGGTCGGAAATGACCTGGCGAAATCGAGTTGCGAACACAGTGTCGGCGGTCTCGCTGTTGAGGATGGGAGTGCGAAAGATGTTACTATTGTCAAACCACGGGCTGTCATTCGCATTTGATTGCACGTTTGTCCTTCGGTCGATCTGCACGTCTGCCTCTTCAGTCGGTACCGGAGGCGTTGGCTCTTGTTGTCTCTCCTCCAGCCCCGACAGCCTTGACACTGGACATTGCGGTACATCAGATGTTTGGCCTAGTGACCGGCTATTCTGCAACGGTGAAGACTTGAGTTGTCGCTTCAGGTGATTGATCTCTTTGTAGAGTCCATCAATGAAACTATACCATATCTGTTAGTGATGAGTGCCACTAACAGAGGAAGGGGCTACTACAGGAGTACCTTTGAGGAACCTTGACCGTTCGATTCCGCCGTGGATACGAGCAGTCCGTCCCTTGTTCGGCCAGGGCACAGCTTTGGCATGGCTGGCTGCCTGAGCATTTGATCTTCTTGGCGTGGCAGCGGTGGCAACTGTCGTGTGTCAGCATAAGGATGCAGCCTCCCACAACCCATTCTCGCTCGTGGGCCTCACGCGATGACTTTGTTCGATGAAAAGGGGTGTTTGAGCTTCGCCGAATGGGCTCTCGGAGAATCTGGTGTAGTCTGCTCCATGACTCGAGCTCGAGTGATGCTGAGAACCTCATCCAAGGTGGGCCGGCGAAGGTAAAGAAGCCGGAAGCCGGGGGAAATTGTGGGTCTTTTAAATGGGTCTTTCTCGGTCTTCAGTCATAGTCCCGAGGATTCAAATACCTTATATCAGTATTGATCTATGCACGTCGAAAAGAGTCGTATCAACGGGGGTATAAATCACCTCTACCAAGGTAGTAAGTAGAAGGTCTGTGCCTGTTCAACCTCACTATTATATTTGTACTCCAAAATGGCCTTCTTCCACCACGCTAACGCCTCCCGCTTCAGTATCCAGGCTCAAACGGAGGCCGCTACTTGCATGAAGAATCTCTCCAACTGGACACCTGCTCTCGCTGAGATTCGCACATGGCCTGAATATTTGCCACAGCCGCTCCGGACACTCCCCGGTTTGGCGCACAAACTGGGGATCAACCAGCTATTTGTCAAGGATGAAAGTAAGCGCTTTGGTGCAGATGTTGGCTCTTTCAAGGCCCTGGGCGCCCCGTATGCTGTCTACCAGATCCTGGCAGACGAGGTTTTTGCAAAGACAGGGACTCGGCCTTCATCGGCCGAGCTGCGCACTCCCACATATCACGACATTACCAAGCGTGTAACGGTGTGCGTTGCGACCGATGGTAACCAGGGCCGTGGGCTGGCATATGGCGCCCAGGTCTTTGGTTGCCGGTGCGTTGACTATATCCACAGCCACGTCAGCGAAGGCCGTGCAGACAAGATGAAAGAGCTGGGTGCAGTAGTAATTCGGGTTGACGGGGAGTACGAAGCCTCTGTTTCTCGGGCGAAGGAGGACGCTCGCATGAATGGCTGGTTTTTTGTGAGCAGCACATCCTGGTCCGACTTTGATAATGATATTCCACAGCATGTTATGAATGCCTACATGGTCGTCCTGGAGGAGGCAGTGAGCGCGATTCCCATGTTAGACCGTATTACCCACGTCCTTGTATGCGGTGGTGTTGGGAGTATTGCTGCAGCCATTTTCCAGGGTTTCTACACTCGCATTCGTGGCAATCGCTTATCCAACGCGCCACGTTTTATTGTCGTTGAGCCATGCGAGGCAGACTGCCTCCTGCAGAGCGCAAAGGCCGGCGAGGTACGCAAATCGGAAGGGTCGCTTCACACACTCATGGCCGGTCTGGCCTGTCGCGCGCCTTCGCCGGCCGCATGGAAAGTGCTTCACTGGCTTGCGAGCGACTTTGTCGCGGTCCCGGATACGGTGGCGGTAGACGGTATGAAGACATTAGCCAGTAGCTGTGAGGGCGACATTCCTGTGGTATGCGGCGAGTCTTCCGCGGCCAGTATGGGTGTCTTGCTTGCATCCAGCACGGACCCGACTGTGCGTAAGAAGCTCGGGTTAGATGCGAACAGTCAGGTCTTGCTGTTCGCATTGGAGGGCGCCACAGATCCCCAGATATTTGCGTCGCTAGTTGGCACGTCGCCAGCGGCGGTATTTAAGGCCCAGGAACGCTTCGCGGTCTAGTTTATCTGTTCGGGCAATAGTTGTATATAATGCATAGCGACGTATGTTATGACACTTCTCTAAGAAATCATTCGTCTCTTGTCGAGTCCGTTAACCTGATCGACCCAATCTAGCCATGCCGGGCAGTAATTACGCAGGAAATAGTAAAACGCTAGAGTATCATTAAGAATAAGGACCTATATTCATGAACCTTCTCCGGGGTACCTGGCCTGTGCACTAACTGCAATCTAGTGTATGAATCATTTGGTGAGCTCGGCGTTCCGTTGACGACCCCGAAACCACATCCGGACGCTAGCTTTAACGCCGAAACAAACGATAATCAAGAGCCCAGCGACTGCTCAACCCAACCTGTTTCGGGGGCCTGTACCCCCTCCCCTTAACATAGTACATGCGTCTAGGATTTCCAAGTCTTGTTGGTGTGCTGATCCCTGGCGCTGGTTCCTACTTACATCGTCTATACTTCGGGGGTCGTCGGCATTGACCCTACAAACCAGCATTCAATTTTCAGAACGACACGAGACCAAACCCTACCTTCAGTTGTGTAATTGCTTTTGCTGTGAAGAAGAGGTCCGGTATCATGGTAGGTACTATGCTCCAGCAGCATCTCCCACGTTCTGGACGGTGCTGGGAGCTCCGTTGGAAGGATTGTAAGTCCATTCATAGGAATGAAAACACGTTCTTCAGAGCTAATGAAGAGAGAAAGTTTAAAGTCCCCATTTTCATTGATAGAATGACAAACTATGCTTCTATCAACAAATGATGCCTTACTGTATTTGATCGGGGGATCCTGCCGGTAAGGTCTCCACCGTCACATCACCCTCTGTCTTGCAATATCATGCTAAGAGATATCTCTCCTTTCTCCGGTACAGCCGTGGAAACTAAGGTCATGGCTGATTTACAGAGTCAATAAAGAACATTTAAGATAGCATCAGAATACAACCGGATTTACAAGGCTACTTAGAAGAAAGACTGATGATATATGGCCATGTGGGTATTGCAGGAAATACATAGAGACAGGCCTATGTTGAGGTGCTCTAGTTCATATCATGCATTATGAATAGCATCATTAAAGAAACATGTATGGGCATAGATGCTAAGCAAACAGTCACTCCAACATTTCACATTTCAAATGGCCAGTTATGGATCAGGCAACGCGTACGGGATGACATTATGGTGGATCTAGGCCTTAGAAACTAAACCTCGTGCGTACGCGGCAATGGGATACACACGATTGAACTACAATTTATTGAGTACTTCTTTTTTTCCTCTGGGAACAACAAAAAGGTATATCTCTCTATGACAAAATGAATCCTGAACGGTTGAACTAGACATAACTGATAGTGGCTACTTCAGGAGCTCCTCCATCCTCAATCCTAGCTCGTGGCTCACGGTCTCTAGACTTTGCTGTTGAACATCGACGTACCACTGATCAAGGCCCGAAACCTTCATACCAAGAGCTCGCTCAAAGCCCTCTTGATCTGGTAAAGAGTTATGTAGGCATAGTAATCCATCGGATTGATTGTCGGCTTGGAGGTTCGACTGGAAGATTCCAGCCGCGGAAAAAGGCAGAAAGTCTTCGTATGTCAGAGGCAACGCTTCCAGCACCCCATCAGCAATGAGCCTTCCCAATAACGAACCATGACTTGCATCTTTATCAAAGGTTGCCTCAGGTTTGATGTTTCTCGCAACACGAAATTCAACGTATATAAGTCCCTGACTTCGGAGCTCGGTCCAGGTGTCGGGATATCGCTGGAAGACTTGAAGGATGAGAGCATCAGCCTCCTCGGAACTGACACCAGCTGATTTGTCTTGACTGTCGCGCAGAAGCCTATCATACAGGGCCTGGCCCTTGGGTGTCACGGCGGCGCCGCGTTGCTCAATTTCTCCAAATCGCGCCCTGTGGCTGGCTTTGACTAGCTTGTCCTGGGGCTGGGCTGTACTCCCCCTGAAATGGACTGTCTCGTCTAGAGCGAGGAAGCTCGTCTGCCGTAGCAAAATGGGACAATCCCGAGCCGGTGGTCCCTCGATATGCGCTTTGACAGCCATGCCGGCCGCCCTCATTGCTGACTGGACGGCTGTGATGTCCAACGTCCGTGGTGTGAGATGATTGATGTGGGCACTCTGGAACGATGCAATATCAGCCAGGATCGGATGCTCGGCCTCAGGATCTTGTATTCATCGAATGTGGCCGCTGCGATGGACTGCCAACTAAATGTGGGCAAAGCCTCTATGATAAAGGTCTTGGATTGGTCCTCAGTCAGTCGCCCGTCCTGTGCTTCAGCAACAGCGAGTATTTGAATCAATGCGTCGCTGAAGATGTTCCGTTTGTCCAGCAACTGCATTGAGAGTTGACGCGCCTGCTCCGAGGCAAGCAGCTCAGGCCGCAGGAGAGTAGTGAACACCCGAAAGGGGTTGCGGTCGAGAGCGGCGAGCGTCATTGGGCGAAAGCACGTCGCATGCATAGGTAAGCCAGCCATAGAGAGGTCATAGTATCCGATTGGATGCATTCCTAAGACGGTAAAGATTCTCTTCATGATGCGGAGCTCGTGCGCTGTGCCCAGACGAATCGCACCGTGTCGCTCCAGGGTTAAGCGCTCAGAACTGGCTGAGATGCCAGCTGCATCACCGGGTTGGCCGTTCTCGTTGATTCCCCGTAGAACTCGCATGTTGACGTCGCGTACTATCTCAATCAAGTCGCCGTACAACGGCACCTCTGTGCGATACATAGTCGACATGGCCGTAGCAAACCGAGTGCGTAGGACATCACTGTCAACGTACATCGCAGCACGCGTTTCGGCCGCGATTAAAGTCATGATGCTAGAAGATGAGACAGACGACAATCACGCAGTCAAGAACTGCTGGCGTGTTGGCGTAGTTCGAGTATACAGTGACCGAGCCACGTGTCCCTAGGACTCCTTATATTAATCAAAGCGAGCAACCCAGGGTTTACCGACAAACTGCATGTAGATTCTGTCATCATTGGTCGTTGGATCATGAATTGGCCAAGAAACGTTGCACGGCGCCCTGCCTTTCCGCCGACGGCCGCCACGACCTTTGCCGAGAGCGTGAATGAGACAACCGTTTACATATTTTCAAAGTGGAATAGAAGCCTCATGGTGGCTTTGTGGAGAATTTTGAAACCCCTCCTTACTCTCTGAGTGCTGAAGCCAAGGCGAAGCTTTATCCGTGAAGGCTAACCTAGCATATGTTTGAAGACATCTCCAGAATTTCAGCAAGTCTATTACCAGTATCAACCCCATTCAAGATCAGTTGGCTGTTTAATAGAGCTGCGGTAATCTCCTTCTGGCGCTCTATCTTTCGCCTCTAGATTACAAAGACGTTACTATCTCCTGCATCCGTTCTTTCGCCATTAGGGCCGTTATAATATATAGAATGATTCTTCAGATATCTAAGCTGTCTGTATCCGGCTATTGTCATCCTATAATATTATGCCTTGTGTGTCCACCCTCGATGGGTGCGCTGGGCAGGCATCTGTGGCAACTACCAGGCGGCAACAAGCCAGACGTTCCAGGAGATGGGAGACAGCACCACGAAAGAGAGATGAGATGGATTGACATTGCTCCCAGCATGTTGAGTCCGCCTTATCGAATCAATCATATTAAAGCAGCACAAAGACGGCGACACGGCCGTCGTCCGGCACTGATCAACATTTAAACTCATGCTGTTCACCGTCTCCGGTGCTCTTGTATATAAGAATGACTGGAGTTGTACGGAGGAAAATGGCGGAAAATATTGATTCTAGATGCGGCTCAAGTGAGTAAACTTTTCCTTTCTTCTGGGCGTTCGTTCATCTATCCATCTGCACACAGATGGCTATTCAACGTAGACACTGTGGGATTAATCTCCAGCGAAACCCTAACAATGCCGCATGATACAGCCACTACCACGTATGCCTCCGGAGTACGCAAGGGTTTCGAAGGTTTATCGACCGACAAATCTCCTTTGATTGGCGGAGAAGGTAGTCTGTAAGATTCGGCTGAAGATTCCACTGGAAACCGCTCATCTTGAAAAATCCTGTGCCCACCAACTATAATATCGATCGATCGATGCCACTCTGTGGCCTGCAGTTCCACCCCGGCCAGAGAGTTTCTGATAAGATCAATACGTACCGCCCTTTTTGGCCCACCTGTATTTTAGTGAGAGGATCACGCTAATCCTTCTCCTAATTCTCCGGCCCTCTTGGATGAAAACCAGTACTCCAACCCTAACATGTTTGATGGCTTCCGTTATTATCGATTAAGACAAAATGTTGGACACAGCGAGATCCATAAATTGATATCAACCAGTCCACTTGACCTGAACATTGAGGATGGTCATCACGCTTGGTAAGAGGTGCTTTAGCAGCCGAGACTCAGTATCGTTAACGCATCCTCCAGCCCTGGGCGGTACATGGTGGCGGATATGATTCGTCTGGTCTTGGCCCAAATGCTCATTCACTATGACTTGGCCATTAAAGATCATGGACCGCGGCCGCGAAACCAAACATCGAAAGCATTTCTATGGCCTAATATGAAGGCAGAGATCATGTTGCGGCTCCGTTGTAGTTAAGTGCTCCTGCTATGCTCGGTGCTAGTTCAGTAAAATTGATTGTGGAGATTCGAAAGTCCATCGGAAACAGGAAACGCTGAATAAGGGCATGTTGATCACGAAACTAAGTGACAGAGTCCAGCAGTCGAGGGTAGGATTGTGAATCTAGATTGCATTTGGTAGTTCTTAGATTGACCACACCAAGTCTCAGGCATTGCCGTCGTACTTTGCAAGATATGATTGTATGACTACTAAACACATACACCGAACTTCGCCAGCCATCAAGGATTTCTGCCCAGAATTTGGGAGAAGAGACCAGCACCTCAATTCAAACTTTAGGAATATTTTGGCCTTTTTCACGGGTCAGTCAAAATGTGAATTAAATTTCGCTTTCGGTATAAGATCTTAGTGGTATCGGTTTAGAAGGGTTTGAAAGGCAGAGATACATAAATGAAATCTACCTGGCAAGGCGAGGAGGTCTGAATACTACTGGATCAGATAAGACTAGACCCATGTGCTATACACCATATATCATAATATCAAGGGAGAAGGGAAAGAAGCAGAGGGAGGAAGACGGCGGCGCCAGAGCTGCGATCTATGACGGGGGTACTAAATGATCACTGAAAGTCAGTGCAATACAGGGAGGTTGCAAAGAAGCCATACTAAAGATTCCAACGGAGCACAGGGAAGTCAGTCACGCTCTAGGGTTCGGCTTTCCAGCCTTTGTAAATGTTCCTCTCTTGCTTTCTCTTTTTTCACCCTTGATAGCTAGAAGTGGGTAGTTTTACCGTCACAGTATTCGGCGTAAGGCTTTTACGCCGGTGACTGGTGGAAATTCCCCAAGGAGGTTACTTGATGGAGAGAGGCCATAGCCAACAATACCCTTATATTGAATAGAAAGCCAGAAAGCCATTAGGGTGGGTTCTGGCACTGAAGATTATATACATCCACTGGCCGTCTTAATTATCCTTGGGTTCAATCCTTCTCTGAGATTCTAGCATTTTTGAATATATCGACATTCTCCCTTTGGTCCTGCGACGCCCGTGTTCAAGATGGACTCAGCAGTCAAACCATACCTGTCGTATCCTTCCTCTATAGTTGGATCCGAACCACCTGCCCACCATACACAGATCCATTCACCGTGCCCCCTCGAGTTGTGACATAGAGGGTCTTGCCATCCTGTGTGATTGACAGCGATGTCGGTCCCACCACCGTCGTATGATCGTCCCCGCCGCCAACAATAATATTTTGCTCGCCATCCAGTGAAACTTGGGCGACGGCAGTATCCGGCTGGGCCAGGTAGGCGACATCAAGATCGTCCAGGACCACGAAATCGTCCCAGTTATATGAATCTGCATCATTCAGCGTCGCAATCACCTCGATGTCACCGGTCTTCTGTCCAGCGTCATCAATGGGTACCCGCGCAAAGATCTCTCTTGCGGTATTCGTAAAGTACATATAACCGCCCACAATCTTCAGCCCGTTCACTCCAATCGGGGTGGATGCATTGGAAGGTGCAGTAAGCAAGGGATCGGTGAAGGCAATTTCTGCGGCCCCGGTGTCTGTGTCGACGCGGAATACAGCCCCGAGCCGTGCGTCCCCGGCCAGGACCACATGCGGATGTGCTGGTAAGGCGGCCATGCCGTTCAACATAATGGCATGGGGCAGCCGAGAGACTACCTGTATACTCGGATTGGTGGGGCTGGCGCTGAAATCCACGGTGTATATCGTCTCGTTGGTGTAGCTGTAGCTGCCTCGAATGCCACCTATGACGGCAAACTTGTCGCTGTCGATCGCGGCAATGCCGCAGAGGGCGGTCGCTCCGGGGAGTGCCGCGACGAGTTCCGCTTGAGGATTGGGCCGGGAGGGGTTGAGGGTGTAGAGACGACCTTGATCGAAGGTGGTGAGAAGAAGGCTGCCATCGGGCCGGAGGGCGCTATTCTCGATCGCAACTGCGGAGGAGAAATTGAATAGTTGTTTTGTTTCAAGCGCTCCGACTAGACCTGCTATGATAGCAGGAATGGCTAGAGGAAAGAAGAAACGCATGGTTCCGCTGGGTAGGAATCAAGGACTGCTGTCACGACTAATCGTTATTCAGTATATCGTGCCCAACACCGCTCATGTTGGAATAAATCCCATCGCCTTCTGCAGATGATGAGGGATCTCGGAGATTATGGCAAGGTCGGCTTCAGCACCCTAATCTGGTAAAGATCTCTCGTCGGAAATAACGCTCTGTCGATCTTGGCATGATCCAGATTGATTGTTAAATGAATCTCCACAATTCCTCATCCTCTCAACCGTCCACCTGGGCAGCACCCCAAGACTGATTGCCCCCGTGCTCAGTCGAAGGATGACATGGCACGGATTAGATAGCTAAACATCGGCAGCGATTGAAAACATTAACACAGTGAGTCATGCTAGGAAGCTGAACTATCGAAATACTTTGTAAAGGTGAGTTGAGCGAGGACGGATATATATACCTCCCAGCAACCGTGGCTGTTAGTACCCGACATATAGACACCGTGCACATCGAATAAAGCATTTCTGATAACACAAGGAAAGTGAGTTTTAAAATGATGGAGGGGCCTTGACATTAAACTAGGCCCTGATGTTGCTTCTCGACTGGAAAACTATGCCTGGCCTGGATTGATACTCTGGATAGTGACCCCTTTGCATGCTTTCGCTGGGTCGATAATTGTCCGGGCAACGAGATGCGAGATCTGATCATCCAGAACGTGACGGCAGCCTGAGGCATGCAGGTCACATGATGTGATCGTGATCGCGATCGCTCACTCAAGCAGGAAGGCGCGCTGTAAGTTCATCGGCACTTCATGAACTCTGCGCATCATCTATTCCTTCGTTGATTACCCAATCTTGGATGAGTATCTCATAGCTCGGAAACTCCAGCGCAATGGCGCAATGGCAATCCACGATATATACAACGAATCTCTTGGCGCCCCCCTCGCTGAGAAGCCCGAAGTAAACTACGGCACCGCACCTCTTGTTAGTGTGCGAGCTTACTAAAGGGCATATTTATCTGACGATACAGGCACCCGGACATGGCAGGTGCCCTGATCAACTACAAAACACTTGATATAGGCATCCACGAAGGCAGGGTTGCCTACATTTGTAGTGCTCCGTTCCACGACTTTTGTCCAATACCTCTAACGCTCGTACGAATAGCAAAAGCCGAATTTCCGAGCGAATGCAAATGCAAGGAAATCTGCGACAGCTACTCGACAGGTGTGAGCGACAAGTGCAACTGGATTATGAGGGATTTCGAGACCTCTTTGCCACCAGTCGAGTCAGCGACGTCTTATCTCATGGCGCGTGGTCCGTACCGCGGCGGGCTAACTTGAGTCGCGACATGGCATTCTGATACGAGATCTCGCCTCTAGCAATCCAAACATACTGTTAGACAGTATTTGGGAAGCCTAGTGCCCGCATATCTGCATGGTGATCGTACGAGACCGCATAAACGATGCAACGATTTTGTCGAGCTCGCTAGCCATTTTGCAAGAAAGAGTAAATGTTGTGTGGGCTAGGCCTGAGTTCAAGAGAAATCAACGCCCCATGACCTGGGGAAAAGCAGGTCTTTCGATGCTATCTTCCCATACGCGAACGAGGGGCCAAACTATTGCTGTCGGATAAAAGGTCCAGACTACCAACAAAGAAAAGAAAAAAAAAATAAGGAGAAAGTACCCGCCGTGGAAGTCATGGCGTCTGGGTCGCTGCGCCCCATTTTTGTTTGTCTAAGGATGATTTGAATTTTTCTATGCTTCACCGGGATGTAGGGACCGGAATTCCTTTTCGCATCGGCCTGACTCACTGTTACAAACGGGAGAGGCAAGGAATCCGGAAGAGGCCTAAGAACGGTGCAAAGGATTAGGATCAAACCAACTCCGTGCATGCCTTGGCTAGTTGTGTTATTATCCACTGCACCCCAGTTTCCTTTGGCTAATTCCGAACTGGCTAAGGCCATTAAGGATACTGATCGGCAAAAGCAAAACTTGGGCAAACAAGGTGTGACCCTCGGCGAAACACCAGGCTGACAGAAGGAATCCAACAAGGGTAGCACTGACGCACCCACTAGTCTCCGACAAGGCGCCCTGTTCGGATCCATGGGTGAGCTTTATAAAGGCTGGTTCCGACAATGATCGGCTTGTCATGCATCAGTCTTCCCATGGGAGACAGTATTCCATAGACAAAGGAAACAGACAAAAGAAAAAGGTTGTCTGAAAGCGTGCCCTGCTCATCACAAAGACCATGGAGAAAAATACCATATCCTTGGCACAATTTTGATTTTTCTGGTAGGTTCGAAAGACTCTTTGGTACTGGCGAGTTCGCGTGGCATTTAGGTTGGCAAACCCAAGTGCAGGAAGGTTGCCAAGCAGCTAATCAAAGTTGCTGAGGCCATCCCGAAGACACCAGTAGAGAACAAAGCCGCGTTGGTGGCTGCGCTAGTCTCCCGCATCAGGGAAATGCCCGGGGAATCGCATTTCTGATTAGTGGAAGGACCGTCTCTCACCTAAGATCAAGAGAGGCATGGTCTGATTCGGGATTGGACCTTTCATAGGCTCCCTCCCCCGGAAGCCACATTGATCACAAAGGTTGCATTCAGGGCGGCTGGTGGCGGCCGGCTGTCGGATTCGGTGCTGCCGCTCGTATCACGATTCCCGTGAGAATCAGAAGGTAGGTTTCCGGCGCTCTAACCATCTCCCGACTGCTAAGAAACAATTTGGTTTGCTTGGAGGGCACTATTGGTAACCAAGACCATGACAAGACATTGCCAGGACACCCCGCAAGTCTTATGTGAGTCTTGATTCTAGGGCTTGTTTTCTTTCACCTCCGCTTTGACCGCCTTCCCGGTGGGTCAAGTTCGCAACCACGCGACCAGTCACCACCCGCAGCGTACCCTAATTTGCTGTCTGGATGACCCGCCGAGCCACGACGCTAGGATCTCTCCCCACGGGGCGCTGGCAGTATCGCGCCATGACCGGTTGCAGGATTTAAAGATTTAAGGTCATCCCCACGGGGGGAGGGAGCTCGTCGACCCCGCGAGATAAAAGCCAGGAAGGAGTCCGGAGGGGACTCATCCACGTCGCATCGCTCTCAAGCTCTACCTGAACCCCCAACAACCACCATGGACGAAAAGACATCCATCGGTGTGACGGCTCACAATGAGACCCTGAATCAGGCCACCAAGCCAGGACTGGCGGACCCCGCTGACCGCCGCGAGTCTTTCGCTCTCAATCTCGTTGAGAACCCGCTGACGGTGAGATTGGCCGCTTGATGATGGCTAGGTCCATCGCTGATGCTGACGTGGTTTCCCCTCACAGCGCAGCTCTCCGGAGCAAGTTGTGCACAATGCCCGAGCGTTTGCCGAGTCGCACCAGATGGCTGAACACGCAGATCTGTTCGGCCGCGCCGCGTTGGTCGCGCGCGACCCCCAGCGCTTCGAGATGATTACCGATCTCAACGAGGAGGAGCGCACCGCCCTCGCCTACGAGCGCGATCATAAATGGCACGGGCCTTTTATGCTCTGGTACTCGATTGCCTTGTGCGCCGTCGGAGCCGCCACCCAAGGATGGGATCAGACGGGATCCAACGGTGCCAACCTGTCTTTTCCGCAGGAATTTGGCCTGACCGGAGAAGGGAGAAATGAATGGATCGTGGGAATTATCAATGCCATCATTTTCTTGACGGCAGGTCTCATGTGAGTGTGTGAGAAAGGATGATACGGTTGGCCTTCTGACTGACCCGGGGCATAGTGGTGCTTTTATCGTTGATCCACTGAACCACTACTTGGGCCGACGCGGCGAGATTTTTGTCACGGCTTGCTGTCTCACGGCCACTCCCATCGGGTCGGCCTTCGCCAAATCATGGCAAGGGCTTTTCGCGGCACGATTCGTCATGGGTATTGGCATCGGTGCAAAGAACGCTACAGTGCCCATCTACTCCGCCGAGATGGCTCCAGCGCGAATTCGAGGTGCCCTCGTCATGTTCTGGCAGCTGTGGGTGGTAGCGGGTAAGTGATTTTCGGTCGCCTGTCTCCCAACATGGCTAATGGTCGCTGCAGGTATTTTCTTGGGCTTCTGCGCCAACGTGATTGTGAAAGACACGGGAGATATCTCTTGGCGTCTCCAACTCGGCTCGGCATTCATCCCATCCTTCATCCTCGGCGCGGGTATATATTTCTGCCCCGAGTCCCCTCGTTGGCTCATGAAACATGGGAAGCTTGCGGCCGGATACCATTCCATGCTGCGCTTGCGAGCTCATCCCATCATTGCTGCCCGGGACTACTATTATTCGTGGATTATCTACGAAGAGGAGCTGAAGGAGGCTCGCGGCGCCGGCTACTTCTCCCGTATGTGGGACTGTTTCGCCGTGCCGCGGATTCGGCGCGCTAACTATGGTGCCTCGACCGTCATGATCGCTCAACAGATGTGCGGCATCAACAGTAAGTCGCCCTTCGGTTGGTCGATGGTTCATCCTAACCCGTGGCAGTCATCTCTTTCTACAGCTCAACGATCTTCGAAAGGGTCGGCTACACCCCTACCCAGGCCTTATACGCGTCTCTCGGCTATGGGGCCATTCAAGTCGTATCCACTATCCCTACTCTCTTTCTCATCGACACCAAAGGTCGACGAACCCTGACATTGGCTGTGAGTGATCCCCACCCTGGTTCAAGGCCATAGCTGACTGTCCTACCCATGAAGACCTTCCCCTTCATGTGCATCTTCTTATTAGCCGGTGGTCTGTCGCTTCTGAAAGACGAAGGTAGCAGAGGGTCTCAAATCGGACCCGTTGTCCTGTACGTTTGTACTCTACGTTTGCCAATGTGAATTTAGGCTAATTATGGCTCGACTAGGTTTGTCTACCTGTTCACGATCTGCTACTCATTGGGTGAAGGGCCCGTCGCTTTCCAGTACTCTGCCGAGGTGTTTCCCACCATTCAACGAGAGCAAGGAATGGCCTGGGCCGTGTGCATCAACAACACCTTTGGTGAGCGTTTCCGGCCTCCACTGTACCGCAGTCCTGCTAACGAAGACATGTGTAGCTGGCATCCTCAGTCTCACCTTCCCTCGAATGCAGACCGTCATGACTCCCACTGGCGCTTGTAAGTGAACATTCCTGGACTCTGCCGATAGGCTATATGCTGACTTTTGCTCCAGTTGGGTTCTATGCTGGACTCAACCTTCTCGCGTGGTTTATGATCTTCTGCTTCGTCCGGGAGACGAAGCAGCTGACGCTGGAGGAGTTGGATCGTAAGTGACCTCTCGCTCGGCTTCCTCTAGCCTTCACTAACCTGTTTTGCAGAGGTCTTCTCGGTCCCAACAAAGGACTTCATTCACCACGAGTTGACCGTGTGGCTTCCTTATTTTATCAAGCGGCACATTTTCCGTCGGAATATCGAGAAGCCACCGCCCATTATCGCGGCAGCGGAAGGATCTGTGGGTATTCGGGCGGCATAATCTTTCTCGGCCACTCGTTGAATGACATATCGTGATGAATCATATGGTAGAGGCAGGGGGGTGGGATCACAGTAATAAAGGAGGATGAAATCTGGCACTTGCCAAAGGAAGTGTGAGCACAGGATACATTAGAGACGGGTAATATGAAAGTCCATTGGTTCGGCCATCTGCATGCGTAGTGTGTTGCCTCTGTAGGGATTTTCTCGTTGCTAGAGATTGTTGGATCTTAACTCCGAGCTCACGGGATTCTCCCGAGTCAGTCGATGTCGCACCTTACCGGAACAGGCTAGACTCGCTTTATCCGAATGCCGACAAGCTTTTGGCCACTAGGCTCAGCTGGGACTAGCGGCGTCGTACGCCTGGATCCACTTGTTTTGTGCCATTGAAATTTGGTGGGTTTCGACCAGGCAGCAGCCCACACAGAAGACTTCCCTCCTCCTTCACAACGAACCGTGGAGAGGAAACAGACATCACAGTTGCGACATGTTGAAAGCATTCTGCTCGCCAGCGACGTGGGGAGGGAACCTCGCCACAATGACCTCTCTCGTCTGTCCGCGCGCCTGAGAGCTTGAAGTCGTGCGAGTTCTCCTATCCCGTTATAAATAGCCTCGTGGGCTCCACGCGTGAAAAGCCGATAGTTCGGCACCCACTAGAGTGTGTCGGAGAAGTGCACGTAGCCTGATTGGCGATGGGTTTCTTCTTTCCCCCCCTTTTGCGGTTCCTCAGGGAATAGTGCGCCGTTACCACGCTTGCCTCCTGGCGTATATCCCCAGCATGGCCGCCTCCTCGTCATACACCATGAACCCTTTCCCCCAACTCCTACTCCGCTGACAGGACTTGCGCCGTACCACTACATCTGGACCAGGCCGTGTTCCCCTATTCACCTACGGACGGGACACCCAGCCGCGCCACAAAGACAGCACCGTTTTCATGCGCCCCTTGCGGTATGTCGGCATCCTGAGTGCCCTGGCCAGGATTGCGATTGCCGACGACCAAACCGAATGCAACCCATTGAACAATACATGTCCCGCCGACCCGGCGTTGGGCACGGAGCACACCTGGTGGTTTAACTCCACACTGGATGAGAAGCTGTGGAATATGACCACCGGGGTCCCGACATATACTTCGGAAGGGGCGGAGTTTTCGATCAAGACCGAAAATGGGTCGACTTTGTTACAGTCCAACTTCTACATTTTCTTCGGGGTCATGGAGGCGCACGTCAAGATGGCTAAGGGCGCCGGCATCATCAGCAGTGTGATTCTCCAGTCGGACGACTTGGACGAGATCGATTGGGAGTGGGTTGGATACAACACCAGTTCGGTGCAATCCGACTTCTTTGGCAAGGGTAATACGACCACGAGTGACCGCGGCGGGTTCCATGCTGTGGCCAACGCCGATACCGAGTTCCACAACTACACCTCGTACTGGGACAAGGACCGCCTGGAATGGTGGATTGATAACGAATTGGTGCGCACGGTCAACTACTCGGAACCCCTGACCGTCTACGGCAAGAACTATCCACAAACCCCCTGTCGAGTCAAAGTAAGCAATTGGCCGGTGGGAATTGCCTCCCAGTCGATTGGAAATATCGAGTGGGGCGGCGGTCTGGTGAACTGGACCAATCTCCCCTTCACAATGACGGTGCAGCGGATTCGCGTCCAGGACTTTCACTCGGGTAAAGAGTATACATATTCGGGACACTCGGGCTCATACGACAGTATCAATGTCGTCAGGTATGATCTCCTTCATGCTTCCTTGTGATAGCCTTGGCGGGCGAAGATGACTGATCGACACTGCAGCGGCAACTCAACCGCCAAAACGGAGATCAACAAGAAGCCGACCAAGACCCTGGCTCAAAAATGGGATGACTTGGGCAAGGCGGCCCATATCGGCGTGTACTGCGGGGCTGCTGCTGCTGGAGTGCTTATCGTGGCCGCATTCGCAATGTGGTGCGTCCGGCAACGTCGAAAAGGTCGCCTCGAGCGCGGCCTCGCCGAAGGTCCGCCGACTACGTCAAAGCCAATCGAGATGGAAGACTACAAGAAACGATGGAGACAAAGCGACTGGGCGCATCGTGGCTATCAAGCCGTGGATCAATAGATTGTGTAGCTCTCGAACGGATTGTATTTCCAACGCTGAAGCAATATAATAGCGACAGTTACTATGTCATACGTACGCCTTTATGAGCATAGAAAGGTGAAGATAGAGCCCTGGTCCTCTCGATTCCTAACAGCCTGGATACGGGATATCACCCGGATCAAAGTCTGACAAGCTTTCTGGTGATCAAGTCCTGTCTTGGTTGGCAGACGGCCAGCGTTGATGCCCCAGAACTCGCGTATGGATTACGAGATGAGGTTTCTTCTTGAGGTAAGTGCCCAGGTAACAACGTCTTGTTTTATATGGAACGTAGTGCTTCTGTACGGTGTTTGGGGAGGTGGAGGCCTGCTCCAAGCACTGTAGCCAAGAATTGCTAGGTACCTTTACGATAACTGGCCTCGTGGGGATTGCCTTCGAGGAGCAGCCGTTGGACGCCAGACCGCAAGTTGCTCTGTATGCCTGAGGTTTGGCTTGACTTATCTGATCGCCTCCAGGTGGACCTTCCCCACATATCCAGCTCATATGGGAGATATTCAAGCCACGAGAAGACTGTTTCAAGGTCTTCGGAGCACATGCCTTGTAGATCGGCAAGATCACTAATCCTAACGCCCCGACACGCGTCGTAAAACCCCCCTGGCGAACGTATCATTGGGGCTTTAATAATCCTCCGGCCCCCAGAGAAACTGGCGAGCAATTTGGGGACTTCCCCGGCGGATCACTAATCCTCGGGTAGGACGAATCCTGATAACAATCCTGCATACCTCGGTGAGTAGCTAATCACTAGAAAGACAAAGCGACACATGTACCGAAACCTCGGGGTTGGCTATAGGAATGACATCGAAAGGGACTTACGGCACTGCAAGGTCGAAAGAGCAAACCTTTTTAAACCCCTTCCTGAACACTGAGTTACGGGACATTGTCATTCCCTACCATTGAACCACGCGATATTCACACAACCACAATGGCACCGATGAACTACCAAGTGTTGATTACCGGAGAGCAGGACACCAAGACTGCTCAGAAACGACGAAATGTCTATCTCCGACCCTTCCTCCTCTTCTGGCTCAATTCTCTTTTTGCGGAGGTCATTTTCTTGGCAGTTGGTATTTTCATCATGACGGGTACTCGAGACCTTCTGTACAAAGTCTTATGGACGCTGGTTTTCTGTCCACTTGGAATGGGCGGCGCGATGGGAGGGCTTATCAACTGCTTCATTGTCGACCACTACTATGGCAAAAAAGCGGCACATTTTACGGGAATTCTGTCGCTCCTGATACTGAGTAGTTGCAACTATCTGTGCTACAATCTCGATCGACATTTCGGCTGGTTCGGCGCGACTGAACATCCACTATGGTTCCACTGGCGTTACCCCATGATTTGGGTGGTTGGGTACTTCAACGGGCTGCTGTTGTTCACCGACCGGGGACAGGAGCGATTGGCTAGGCTTGGGCTTTGAGGTGTCCAGTATTAGGGGACAAGGCGGGCAGGCATTCGTGGTTCTCCTACATGTGGGACTAGGTCACCTTGATTGACTCCCGGCACAGCTTCCTGTCAGGTACGCGTCATCGACGTGAGACTGACTCCCGCAGTTATGGCTAGGATTGGGGATTGGATATACGACTATGCATGCCGTATGTTGTCATCTGATTGTTTTGTAGATGTATATAGATTTTTGTTAAAAGTCTTTATTCTATTTCTGCCGGTCTGCATTTGAGGAGTACGTATAACCTGCTGATAGCCCAACACATTGGATGCCTAGGGGGAGCTTTAGCGTTAGTAGCAGATTTTTATCCTATGTTATTACCACGCAATGATACCGGCTGAGTTGTATCTCCTTGAAATGTAATATGCTTTATAGACTCTCAAAGACCATTGGGAGAATTGTGTGCTAAGCGTCCCATCGATGGCCGGCATGAGGAGATGGGCAGTCTGCCCTCAGTAAATGATTATTGCCATGTCTTCAAAGTATTCCCGGGCCTCGTCTAGGTCCTACAGCCATGGTTAGTGGCTTTCTCCTCACGTCTGTGTTATTGTAACAAGGGAACGGAGGCTTAGAGGAGCAAGGAAGTGCAGCTCCACCGACCAAGACCTTCATTCGATGATCATCAGTTGCCTTCCAGTTGGAAAGCTTGCCCGCATCAAGGAATATGATCGAGAGATAAGCAGGCCGCCACCTACTCTGGCTGAGTCCATGTACCTCGCAGGAAATGCTTGAAAATCACCAATGCAGGCACTATAGGGTCGTTCCATACGGTATCTCTAGTGAGAAAAACCCCTCGTTGCGAGACGACTTTCTATTGTAAAACCGGACTGCACAGTCGTGGCTTCATGAAGCAGTATAGCCTTGTATAATCGACGCCGATTTATTATCGGCCCGCACGCCTTGTAAACTATAATACGCCGCAGCAGATATCAAGGAAGAACATGCAGCTCTCAGACCTATCGTTTCATGGAGGAATCAACGTCAGAGACTACGCTCCCCCACATGTTCATAGTGGAGGGTTGCATATCGCCCCCAAAAGAACCGTGCACGATCCATTCCCCTCATGGAGGATGCAGATCTTCAGCTCTTCACTCTTCACAATGGCTTGACATCTACCAATAACGTTCTCCACAGCGTCGCTTCGGGAAGCGGGTCGTTGGTCGTCTCCACTGTGACAACAGCCGGCAAATCTCAGGTTACGTGGTGACCATTCATTCGTGTTTTTGCTTCGCAGGGGAAAAATGGGTCCCCAAGCCTGGCCGTCAAGGATATTTTAGTAATGAATATGTAGGTTGTTGCATACACTAGCACACTGCCGATCATACTATGACGACGGACCTGGGTCATGGCGTCCAAACAATGCAGGCCTGCCTATCATAGCGTTCGTAGATTGTGAATAACCGTACGCCTAACCAAGGAACTTGCAGGATCGGCAAGCCAGTTTAGGTTGGAAAGTGAATATAAACATCTTTTACCTGGCGCGGTTTGTAGAAGGCACATTATCTCTACGCAGTAGAATAGAAACGAACGAGCATGATGTGTCAAACCTTAATCTGTCGACCAGCCCTCATTGGGGAACGATCATTACAGTATGTGATTGACATGTTGGTCTTGGCCAGCGCCTAGGCAAGTGTCGATCTGAAAACAGTGGATTATGTCTGACGTGCGTGTCTGTATTTCATGTAATTTTCGGTCGAAGCCATTATTGTCCATAGCTTTGCGTTTTCCTGCTTCGCCGGCGCAGCCAGAACGACTGCCATAATGAGGAGAAACAGTGGCGCTGCTCGAGAAAGCTACGGGCTTCAACTAATGTTTACTACTGCTTGCTCACTCTTGGATGGGTACAAACACCATTATGCTATAATTATTCAGGTTGATATGTGTAATAACATGTAATCGAGGTGGCTAATATCCACCCGGTCCTTGAGGGAACGGGAGGGATGTAGTTACTTAGAAAATGAAGGCAGCTGAACTATGAGTGCTTGATGTAGTAGGATATGCGCTGGGATGACCCAATTATGAATCGCAGACCCATGCTTCAGATCTAGACGGGTCGAATGTGACATTTGCTTCTGGTAAAACCGGTTCGATCAAGACCGCCTCTCTATCATTAGTCCTCGCCTCTAGTTGTCAGGGTGAAAGTCCCATCAGTAGTGGGGTTCTGTAGAGTATCTTGATTGTCGAGGCATTTGAGATTCAGGGCTTATCGAGGGGGTAGTAGCTGAACGCCTCAGTAGGAGTTTCCATACATTTGTAGGAACAGGTTTGGCCCATTCCCACTAGTTTTTGAAATACTACAGACTTGTCGCCACGGGACGTACCCTATCATCTATTCATGCTTGGATGTTGCTTGACCTAGAGGGTGTTACTACACCATACAGGTGCTCAGATGTAAATATAGATGTCTGTAAGACCACAATTCGTCACAATGACAGCTAGAGATGTGAAAATTAGTAGGGCATAGCTACCTTCGATTGGAGCCAGGTTTACGCTTCTTCCTTGGTTGACCCCTTCGGATTGAGGTCGGAGCTGCTCACAGGGCAGACTGGGTCTTGGGTGTGGGTTGAGCTATCCAGTAGCGCTTGGTGTCATTGCCAATCGGGCCTGAAGTTTTGATCTACTACTGTAAGCTGGACAAGCAATCAATTAACCTAACCTCGTATATCTAATGTTATACGCCGTGCTTACGTGTCGATCTTCTAATGTCCACCGGGTAAGCTGCGTATACCTGACTACATGATATACTGAATGTTGTCATAGCCCATCGTCCCACCTGCCTTGAAAGCGGGCAGATGCAGTAACCCTAATGAAGTACAGACATGATTTGAGGCAATTTCACAATAGCTGGGACAGCCAAGGAAGGGCCCAAAGCTAGATCTGCAGTCTAAGCCGACAATCAAGAAACTACAATGCCAGCTGAAAGCTCAGTTCCACACGTATGAGGGGAAGAAATCATGAATATCTCCATCCTCAGTGCTTCCCCGCAGTGGCAGGCCAGGTATAAATATAGGTCTTTAAGCTGGATCAGAGTCCCTCATCGACTACCTGAACTACATTCAATCTTCATTATTATCACACTCATCTCTCCAATTCATCCAATTGTTGCTAGGCTTTACGAACCATACCACTGCGATTTTGTCCCCCAGAAGGAAATACCAATCTCCGCACACGTCGTCCCCCATTCGCCTCCCGGAAAATAATCTGATAGAGGTACGTCAAGTATACTCCTCGCACAAGACGTTCGGCTAACAAATTAGACTTATCATCATGAAGCTCTCACTTGTTGCTCTGGCTATGACTGCAGTAACTGCCATGGCGCAGCAGCCAGGAACGGAACCTCCGGTGCAGGCCAGTAGTTGCTGCAGTAACTGTGCTGCACAGTGCGCAGTGGCTTGGCTTAATGGCCCAGCGGCTTATGCGATCTGTGTTGGGGTTTGCTGCGGAGCCGGCTGCAAATAATACGCCTTCCCTATATTGTCCCCAACGGGGCCAGGTGAATCTCCGGGAAGCAGCTTGGTCGACCATGGGAAATAACTGGACGTATGCGATGTGATCTGCTGCGGCCTATGGAAATGTGTACGAAAGGCAGGCACATCGGCAATTCTGCTCGGTTAATGTTTGTACATATGGTGTGGCCTACGCTTCATTGACACAAGTTTGAATTAGAGTCATGTCTTCTACATGTAAATGAATGACTCGGCCACTTATTTGCGTATTCCCAGCTCACGCTATGTAATAGGTAGATGATTTCAGCTTCTCCTCTATGGCATATATTCGTTCGTATCAGGCTCAGAGAGCTGGAATATCCACAATGAAAAGAGGAATCAACTCCTCCCAACGGAGACCATGAAGTGTAGGTCTTTTAGAGAGAAAATTAAGCAGTGAGGCCGCGGGCTTCTGCTCACTTAGTATGAATCCCCGTTGCGTTAGAATATACCCTCCTGCCAGGAAATAGAAAAAGACTGTACGGAATATGAACACGGAGTTATACGGCCGCCCGAACCGGCTTCGGGACAGTTTTATGTATCGGTCACATTTAAGATGCACGCGCGACCATCTGATGACAATAGTTTAGCCAAGGCCAGACGCAGATTCTTATCTGTAATCTCAAATGGCTACTGTCCACCCTGAGTGATCCTCGTGTCAGAATTAGGCTCTAGATGATGCCAGTTACGGAGACACAACGCAATCCTTCAGAATTGCTGCGACATAGTAATGTTTGACAAATATCTACTGGGAGAGGGATGGGATAGAGTGCTGTCAACCAGGCAACTGATTCCGAGATGTCGATATCAGTATATGCTAGGGGCTTTAGACCATGACCTTCAATGAAAATAGTTCCTCGAAAGTTATGCTCCAGACCCAGTCAAGATGTCCTGTATTCTCCCAAACTTGCAATGAGAGTGATGGCCTTCTACCATTCGGGACCACCTGCAACAAGGGATCTCAAAGGAGAACAGGTGATAAACTAGTTTAACATGATACGATGGACACTCGAAGAAATCTGCACTACGTTAACGTTTCTGGGTCTTCTCTGGACATCCCGGGCAAAGCGTATCGTCGTCCCGCCGTAGGGACATGCAAGGCAGCCCTATCTTAAACCAAGAGCGGTGATGTGCTTTGTCGCGGAAGCACCAACCCCTCGTTTGCCAAGCCAAATGTTTTCCTCTGAAGAAAGAGCGGCTGAGATGCGTGAGGATGAACCTATTCAAGATGGGTCATGATTCATTTTGGGAATTAGATGCGAGACCACTAAACCCTGGAAGGTAGACCAGACTAAGTGCTAGTTTTGCCCCAATAGAGGCCAATAGAATCCATGTGCTTGCAGTAGTAAGCCTACCGAAGCAGGGTCCACCCCAATATGTCTAATTCTGTGTTGCAACAATCGTATCCTGGACGGGTCTTTTGATATTAGAGGTCAAAGAATGGAATAGGATTTCCCCCGCTTTGGTGATCGCCCAAAGCAACCGGGGACCGAGGCAGATGCTCACCACCACACAGAGCCAGTGACAGACACTTGTTCTTCCCCAACAGCACCCTAGATGACATTCTGGGGGCGCATCGATGGAGCCAAAACCGTTGAATGACCAAACACCTAGAACTGGTGAGCTGGAGGGGCTGATGACCGTCGATCTCACATGATATACCCATCGCACATGGTACCGAGCGACTGTGGCCGACGCCAGGCATATAAGATTGAAGGCGATGTAGATCTGGCTCCCTGAACTTCGTCTCTTGTCCCAAGAAAGAACACGGCAGTGAACTATGGAGACTCAGACGACTTCGAAAGGCAATCCCCGCGATTCTATGGTGTCGACCTGGCGCGATGGTGACCGATCGCAATGGACACCCTCCCACTGGCTGCTGGACCTGCTGGGCACACGCCTCACTCCCCGCGATGGAAAAGTACCAGTCTATTCCAAGACGGACAAGATCCCATCCGTACGAGAATGGACTGTCCACCTGTGGATTCTGCTACACGCCCTGATTCCGCACGTTCTTCAACAAACATACATGACCTATACCGGCCGCACCCTCCACCCTATCGCCGCCTTTTGCTTGTATAGCACGACCTTCTATGGGACTGGCATCCATCTTACGCAAACCATTCGCCGCCTCGGTCAGGTCTACGGCTTCTTGGACGGGGATAAGCATGGGCGAGATGACATCCCTGATGTTGGCGTGGAAAGAGTTGCGGCGGAACTGCTTTCCGTACCCACACTTCGGCTGGCCATGTCTGTCTACCTATCTTATCGACCGGAGGAGCGCCCGTTATCTTTCCACGGGGGCTGGCTCGCGTTGGAGATCGGACTCTACAGCATCACGGTGGACTTTTGGTTCTACTGGTACCACCGTTTGATGCACTCGGTGCCTGTGCTGTGGAGATTCCATCGCACACACCACCTAACGAAACACCCCCACCCGCTACTGGGTGCGTATGCGGACCATGAGCAAGAGTTTATGGATATAATAGGCATCCCACTACTTGCGTATGGCACTCTAAAGCTGATGGGGTTGTCCATGTCCTTTTACGAATGGTACATCTGCTATCAGTATGTCGTCTTCTCTGAGATCATCGGACATAGCGGTCTCCGGATCCACGGCAGCACGCCCTCTACTATCAATTGGTTGCTCGAGATCTTTGATGCAGAGTTGGTAATCGAAGACCATGACCTACACCACCGATATGGATGGAGAAAGAGCCACAACTACGGCAAGCAGACTCGGGTCTGGGACCGCATTTTCGGCACCTGCCGTGAACGCATCGAAGGTCATAAGGACAACATCGACTATGTAAACCGTGTTACATTCCCACTGTTTTGAAGATCGAGATTTGACAGGGCCGGAAGGGAGATGAATGTTGTTGTCACGGAGCCGAGAGGAACAGATAAACTACACCGTTCAGTGCATATCACATTTTCAATATAGTATGCTAAATTTAGGACTCGCCGGTGGGTTTAAAGAAAGGAATTTTATAGCGTACTTATGTAGTCCAGGGAGGTGGCACTGGAGCTTTGGTCGTAATCTCCTATTCAGTGAGTTCACTGTCTCTACGGCTTACCCAAGGAAGTTAGAGTTATGTTGGCATGCCATTAGAGGCCATCAGATAGTGTCTAATGCCCTTCGTGAGGCCTCAGGTCTCAGTTGTCCTGAGCATTTGGCCCACGCTGACCAGTTTACTAGTCATCAGAGGGTATAGAACCGAGGTGCCGCGCGCTGGACCTCTGTCACGGGCATCTAACCGTGGTATTGTTCGACAACACTTGCCTCGTTATTGAGTGTCTTTAGAATACCCAGCTCCTGCCCAGCAATTCTAGAAAAGCTCAACTGGGCGCTGCCATGATCGGCGTGGTTGGCTATGATCGAACTGCCAATGGAGGGCGAAGATTTGCCGTATTGCCCACTTCCAGATTTCGAGGACTTAGCACACTGGACATTGTTGGTTACCACAGATCTTCCCAGTGGGTAACAATAGCTAATAGATCACAGCTCACCCCATTATCTGGGATAGCTAGTCTTCCGGTGGTGGTTTCCCTGACCAGAGAACCTCTGAAAAACTCGGTATACTAACGATGCCACAAGCCTTGAGTACATAGGGTTGTAAAACCTTCATAATCATTCAATAATTGGATATATCACCGCATAAGAGACGTATCACTTGTATCCCCGCGTTATAATATCATGTAACCCTTCCAGCACGGCTACCTCGTAAGTCACAATATTTCTAGCAACACAATACCTTACCAGGAATAGGGCTGTGTTAACGTCTATATTTTGTATTGAATACGCAAATTTCGGCATCACCTAGTGCTCGAGGCCTACAGCTAAAAGGGTCTTAATAAGGACGAAATTTGTTCGGATGATTTCTGGCTGCTAGACTACGTAGTCTAAATGTTGATTTTCAGATCGGGTAGATAGATGGCTATCATAGTATTCCCGTGCTAGCGGCTCCAGCTCAAACGACCGTTAATGATCCCAAGATTGGTGTTCGACTGGACCACGCGTAGAGAGACTCTCTTTCTGAAAACGAGGGCCTGTGGTCACCTGATCGCATACTCCGCACCTTAGGCACCACATTGTGGCTATACGTTCCCACTTCATGTGGCTGAGACAGGGGTACGTGGCTCATCCTTCATCTATCAAATTGTCCCCGAAGTACAACCAGTCCTGTCATGAATAGACGCACAAATGGCCCTGCAAAGAACCAAGCAGTCTCACATCGTTCACAGGTTCTAGGTACTCATCATGTAGGTGAGTTCCAGGTTGTGTAGATGTTTTGGTATTGTTCTTCAATCACAATACAAGACCTTGGCAATCGCCTGCTGATACTAGTAGTGGCTGATTGATGTAGGCTACACCGACGAACACCATTACGGGCCATCAGACAGAGGTCAACGGCTCCCCCTCCGTCAAACAGAAATGGGAGTATTTCAACAAGGCTGAATGGCTGGAACCACAATGACGAGTTCTTCCGTTTCACTCGCGCCCGATTTCTTCGCGACGAGCCACGCCAGCTTTCCCACAGATACGTTCCATTCAACCTTGACGAGCTCGGGCAAGTAGCCATTCGTGCCGCCCAGGGTGCTAGTAAGGGAGCCCGGCGATGCGTGAATATTGAGAAATTGGCCGATGGGATGCACAATAAGGCTGTCCGCTTTACGATGGATAATGGTTTTCAAGCGGTGGGCAAAGTACCCAATCCAAATGCCGGGAAGCCGCATTTCACGACGGCCTCGGAGGTTGCCACAATGGATTTTGTATTACGATCTACCCCTGGATGTTGGTGCACGAGCACGATGCTGATTCTAGACTAGATGAGAAATATAATGGGGATACCGGTGCCAAAGGTATATTCTTGGAGCTCCACAGCTGACAATGCAGTGGGGGCGGAGTATATTCTCATGGAGAACGTACGTGGCGTCCAACTGGGTACGCTTTGGGATCAACTCGACGTCGAAATCAAGATGAAGGTGCTGAAAAAGGTAACGTCATACCAAGAAACATGGGCACGTACCTGTTTCTCGCAATATGGCAGTTTGTACTATAAACAAGACCTCGCATCTTCGGCTCCCTGTGTCAAATACACCGATCATAATGGCGGGACTGTGGTGGACAACCGCTTTGCAATTGGTCCATCCGTAAGCAGACAAAACAACGACGACGGCAGGATCGACATGGACGTTGATAGAGGTCCTTGTACGCCGTGTGCCCTCCACGATGTCGATCCCACACTCACTCTTCCATAGGGAACACGGCAGAAGACTATGAGCGCGCCACGGGTTTCCGCGAATTACATGGCATCAGAAATGTATCACGGCTTCCAGGATCCCCGATTGCCATCTATTATTCCGGGACATACCAACCGTCCAGAGACAAAAAGACCCTTGCGGTGGAAAGTTACCTGAAATTGCTGAAGTTCCTGCTCCCAGAGAAGTCTCTACAAACCTCCCATATCTGGCACAACGATTTGCATACAGAGAATATCCTGGTCAATCCAATGGATCCGTCGGAGATCTATGGAATTATTGACTGGCAATCTACTGAATTAGCACCGTTGTATGATCATACTCTGGAACCCTATATTCTTGATTATGATGGCCCACCCCTGGATGGGTTGATGGAACGACCCAAACTTGCGGATATTCGTGCACTCTTTCACGATGAGCCCGAGCCCATAGCCAACCGTAAGGCGAACGCATTATTCATTGACATGTCCCTAGTTTCTTTATACAGACACCTGATACGCCAGAAGATCCCGCAACTGTTCAAGGCCCTTGAGTTTCGTGAAACCATGTGCTTTCAATTGCTTCTCTTCGCACGTAACCTTCTGGTCGATGGCGAAGCAACTTATTTAGCCCTTTTGGCAGATCAGCAGCGAGAGAATTGGAGAGATATTCCGATAATACACCACGGACACGAACCCTCACCCATATGTTTCTCGGCGGACATGCTACAGAGAATCGACATAGACCATACCGACACCAATTCCGCCGTTGCGCTGATGCGAGAAGCTCACGAGATGATAGGCAACCGGTTCTTTTGCGCGTCGGGATTGGTAAGCCATGAAGAGTTCCGCGAGGCTCAGCAGATTATTCCTCGCGCCAAGGCAGAGTTTATCCACAAGCATGCACGCAACGCAGAAGAAGCTCTCGAGTTAGAACATGCCTGGCCGTTCCAATAAATTCTTCTACATCGATAGTGGAGCCCTTCTCAACTGTCACCTAGCAACGGTATTTCCTAGGACATCTGATCGTCAGATCATCTAGAATATCACCCCACAAGCAAACATAGCAACGCTACAAGAATGAAATGATATGTATCTGAAAGGCACTACTCCTATGCTTATCTTCTAACATATATCGCCATGGGATCTGCTGGGCCTGTTGTACAACTCCTTGGTATAAATAGTGGTGTACTCTCCCTCATGTGCCCTCTCATCTTTCCTCCGTTTTGACGAGTCCATCTTCGACACGCCGACCTCGACTGAGAAAAGTATCTCAACTACGTTCTGCTCCGGGGATAGGTGGCAGTCTTGCTTTTTGCCGTGATCGCGGTCTTCTCTGGTGGACATTTTTCTATATGGTTTGTGGTATCTGATTATGTACATAAATCATCACTGTTCATGGATCCCCCACCCCATGTGGCTGATAGACCCGTGTGGTGGCAGTTGTGGATCGGGTCTGGTCTTTCCAAATTCATGATTGGATTTCTGACTGGCTGATTGGTTGTTCGCAACCTCGGCTCCCCCGCATTTTCCTCTCCCGGTCCGGATGGCCGTTATTCCGGTCCGGCCCCCGTTTGTGCACGCACTGGGTGGTCTATCGCGAGAGCTTCATGTGGCGATTGACGTCCTTGTAGAGCAGGTAGCGGAATTTGCCTGGGCCACCGGCGTAGCAGGCCTGGGGACAGAAGGCACGCAACCACATGAAGTCGCCCGCTTCGACCTCGACCCAGTCCTGGTTGAGACGGTAGACGGCCTTGCCTTCGAGGACATACAGGCCATGTTCCATGACGTGAGTTTCCGCGAAGGGGATGACACCGCCGGGCTCGAAGGTGACGATGGTGACATGCATGTCGTGCCGCAGGTCGGTTGGGTCGACAAAGCGCGTGGTGGCCCAGGCATTGTTGGTGTTTGGCATCGCGGTGGGCACGATGTCCTTCTCGTTGAGGAACAGTGGGTCGGGCGTGTCGAGTCCGGCCACGGATTCATACGCCTTGCGGATCCAATGGAAGCGCGCCGTCGCCACGCCAGTGTTGCGCAGGGTCCATCCGCTTTTCGGAGGCAGATACGCATATCCCCCCTCCGTCAGCGTGTGCGTCTCGCCGGCCAAGGTGACGCTGACTTGGCCTTCCACGACAAACAGCACCCCTTCGGCGCTCTCGTCGAGCTCGGCGCGGTCACTGCCACCCCCCGGCTGCACTTCCATGATGTATTGCGAGAAGGTCTCGGCAAAGCCCGACAACGGACGGGCGATCACCCACAGCCGCGTCTGCTCCCAGAAGGGCAGGAAACTGGTGACGATGTCGCTGAAGGTGCCTTTGGGGATGACGGTATAGGCTTCGGTGAACATGGCACGGTCGGTCAGAAGCTGCGTCTGGGGCGGCAGTCCGCCGGTGGGGGCATAGTATGCACTGATGTTCTTGTCGTTGCCCATGGTTGGCAGAGGTTTCGCTGTACGTGGCCCGGTATACGTTTTAGATCCAATCAATCTCCAGACAGAATAAAATGCGACGAATGTCAGTGCAGGGAAAAGGGTCGCAGTCTTAAATACAGCGCCCTGTCCGGCGTTGACCGATCTCGGGTCAGGCCGACGGTCGCAGCCGCGAGTGGATCGAACCTCGCGGGATTTCGCCGATATCTCAGGCGGGGAACGTTACTTATCTTTGTTTCAGTGTGATTCTGGTTGGTCATAGCTGTGGATTATACGGGGTTGGACAGATTGTTCGCTCGCTCTGCACTGTGGGATATTTTATGATAATAATGAGTTGTTGGTTTGGAGTCCTGCCCTAGTCTTCCTCACCCCCCCTCCCGGCTTCCACACCCTACAGAGATATATATCTACACCCCACCTGGAAATGGAAATGATCACTTTTACAACCACCCCTTTTCGTGGCGTTGCTCACGGAAAGCCAGGGTTAGAGACAACCTGCACTACGTCTCTTGACAGTAAATAGACTTAAGCCGAGCCCAGAAGCGTCCTTCCTCCTTCCCACGAGTCGGGAGTTCGACTGGTTTGCCATCGAGCCCTACATTGGTCACGGCGTTCTGCTGCTTGCCAAGATAATAATCTACAGAATGGGAGATGTCAGCATGCATACCGTCTGGGGAATGATGGAAGACCAGGACAATATTACCAGGCATCAGAAAAGAGCAGATGATAGAGAGCGTCGAGATGGCGGCGGCGACAATGAAAATGATGCCGTTGGTACGCGCATACGCTCGGATTGCCCCCTCCCGAATGGGATCGTCCAGGGCATACTGGGTGTGAAGAATACTCACTGAACTATAGATTTCCTGGAGCGTACGGTCTGGTGTGTCCGGCAGTTCCTGGCGCATGAACCCCAGCATCCGATCCGTCCAGATCGCGGAGGCAATGGCATACCCAGCGGCACTACCGAGGTACGTCCAAAGGAAATAGGCCGCGATGATCGATGCCATGTCATCATGAGGAACCGAGGCCATGGCTCCGATTCGGGACCCAAGGGCAGTCAAAGCGCTGGTGCCCAGGAGGACTTGTGAGATGGCGAGCGCAGCTGTGCTTTGTGTACTGCGCTGGTGGCTTGTGAGACAGGCCGTGTAGCCCACGACCTTCAGCACGGCTCCAACAATCATCTGGGTTCGATAACGGTGGTATCGGACCTGGAGGAAACCGCCCACCAGGCTAAAGACAGTGATGGCAAGGTTCCGGGCGCCGGTGAAGACCGTCCAAGTGTAGTTGTCCCAGTCTTTGATGATATAAATGTACGATGAGAAGTAGTTGCTTCCGAGTGTGGTCGTCATTTGGTCGAAAAGGTTAGCGCCCAGGGCAGCCAGGAAGACTTTGTTGGCGATGATGCGCTTCGTCATAATCGGCCTCGGCGCGATGTAAATCTCAAAGGCAACAAACAGTGCGAGAGTGACGAAGCCAGCAACTTCCATGGCAATCATGCTGCAGTTTTTCCAGCCGCTCTCGGCAGCCTCGGCGAGTGATAGAGGGAGAAGAATGAGCGAGAAGGAGAACCCGAGCAACACAAGGCCGGGAATATCGATTGCAACCACACATTGCCAGGCAGTCTGCAGCGTGCTCACTTGTCTTTTCTCGGGCGGACCACTCTCCATTCGTCTCATTCTGCGAGCTCTCTGCTGCGTCCCGTATAATGCGATGATCGCTGGGATGAGCAGAACCGGGACCATAATAGCGAACATGCCCAGACCCCATCTCCACTGCTCTGGCACAAATGCATCCACGATGAAACCATTGGTGAAAGTCGTCACGAGGTAGGGAGCGATGATCATGCTGGTCCAGAAGCCACGCCACTGTAGGGTCGTCAAGTCCCCCACAATGATTTGGCAGAGGATGTTGAGGCCCGCCTTGCCAACCGCAGTGAGGGCAACGCCAACGGTGTAGGCGACAAAGTTCGTGCAGCTGGCCGCCACAGCGTATCCGATCACATAGAATACGAGAGAGATGATGTAGCTGGTCGGACGCGACAGGACGTCGGCCAGCTTGCCAATCACGGGCTTAGCGATACCATTAATCACCGTACTGGCGGTGTTCACCGCGCCAAGCTGGGCGTGCATGCTGAAGGAGGAGGCCGCAATCAGAGTAAATTGTTGGGTAACCCCCTCATCCATGGCATAGACAAACATGGTGAGACCGAGAGAGAGGATAATGACTGCCAGCAATAAGCGACCGGTTAGGCCAGTATGGTAGAAGACTTTGTTAAAGCCTTCTACGCTGTTGAAACCTGCATCGTCATTGATTGGGGTCTGCTCATCGCGCTTCATGAGGTCGAGATCTTTCCCCTGGTGGACGCAGGTGGGAGAGGTCTCGATGGTACCAGTCTCCGGTACCATCGGCTGAAGGGATGATGATATTCGAGGGTTATCATCCATGGATGTGGCCCTGAGCACGGAAAGATAGAGAGGAAATGGTCGACTTGGAGATTTCGGCACGATTCATACATAGATCAGGAGCCGGCGCTGGTCACTGCAACGGCGGACTACTCGGCCTTTGCATTTTGTGACAACGTAGCAACTGAGTCAATCAGAGATGGATCGGAAACTCTTGTGCAGTGGCAAGCTGATATGTTAGGCGCGTGTGTGTACCTTGATGGAAAGCTCGGCAAACAGGGCTGTTTTTCGGTGGACCCGGCGAAGTTCTTCAATGGCCGGCCAATCCAACGTCCGCATTTCAACTTTTTTTTGGCCTTCACGAGGGTATTCACGGTTGTTCGCGCGGGGAAACATCTATTTTCTAATCTATTAGTAACAAACAGTCCGTTCGCTTGAGCAAAGGAGAGCTTGCCATCGTTGGAACCACTGTGACCACTGCAAATCTAGGTATAGTTTGACCCGGTGAAGATTTCCTTGGTTGTCTACATCGATCCATGATCCTGAGTGTATTGCAATTCCAGTGAGTTGCTAGACAATATCCTGCGAAGAGCGGTATGAACTGACTTACCATGGATAATGATGGTAGAAAGCAGCATCTGGGCGCTCTCAGTGTTTCCCCACCCTACATCCCAATAATATTACGTACGAATATTCCAGGGTGACTCCCGGAACTCACCGACCCACGGCCCATCCAGCTGTATAGGAAGCGGCGCTAGTCTGATAAGATAATTGATGTACCGCTGCCAGCTCGCGTCAGACCAGATATTATCTCAGCTCAGATCAGACCACGCTTCCACCGTGTAACAATGCCCGTACCAGAAAGCACCGGCCTCTACCCTGTCAGTAAACGGCAACACCAGTTTGGCTCCGTAAAGAAAGAAAGTGATCTGACCGGGATGTGTCGGGGATATCTCTCTTCGACCGGGGGATTAACGAAATCCGTACAACTCAGGAACCTGACTGGGAACGCCCCATGTCACGATCCTTTTAAGGGTCTCTTGAAAGAGCCGCAGGTCATGCCCGGGCACTTGAAAATCAACAATGAGCTGTCGTTCTGTGCCGAGGGTGCTGGCTATAATGTCGGAGAAATTGAAAGTTCCTTGGTTTCCTGAGAAGGTAATCTGCTCCAGCCCTCCGTATACTGTCTCTCCGGATCCAAGGGTTATACAGTAGCTGTTGGAGAAGTAATCATCAGTTCTGCGATCACCGTTCCATGGATCTTCTGCGAGTAGGTCGCGCTGGAAGATCACCGCCAAACCTGAACCATCAGGGCGTTCGGAAAATCCTGCCTCGAGAACTTGGTAGTCCTCGTCCGCCAAACCACCCGCAGCTTGGGCAGTTATTTTCATTGTAACGCGTTGCTGTTTCTCAGGACTGAGCCCTGAACTGGTTGTTTAGCTCTACGGGCAGCGCTGGACAGTGGTTGTTATATAAAGAGTTATCAGCGAACGGGTAGCATGGGGTTGGGTGGGTTGATGAGCCGTTGGACCTGTAGAACTTGGAATAGTCAACAGAACACGAATCAGACTTTGGCTATTGCTAAGGAATGACGCTATACTAAATCCGGTATTTGTATTCCTCTGAGGCAGGAACTTCCCTATGGGGAACTCGGCGCAATGAGCAGACATGCTGGAGCGGAATATATATGAGGCCAATCAAGATAGTTAGAGCTATACGACGGAAACTGACAAGAATATGGGGTGAGGGCCCAACAAGGGGGTACTCAGATATTGAAATGACCAATTATCAACAAAGGTGCTGAAGTTCAGTGTGAATAGTTCAACAGCCACCCGACTCTTCCTGGCGAGCCAGGCGACGGATATAGAGAGCTATCAAAGTAATTGTCGTTCGATGATACAAAAGGTTTATCGTGGTGTTAAAAGGAGAGATATAGCACAAAGCTATGGTTATTTGTAATCGTATTCAAGGCATACAGCCAACAAGCTGGGCGCAGGCCAGTATAAGTGCGAATATCAACATGTGCAGGCAGATTGCTCGAATCCGACAAAGCCAACCCCAGACTGCCACATTCCCGTTATATCGCTACTCCTTCCATCATCGTAATCTTGCCGTGTAGTGTCAGACTACAGAGGTTTGCCATGCGGTGTCCGTGATGAGTAGGGAAGAATTGGCAAGTACGGGCTATAATAAATAGTCAGTGAGTGTTCCATTCGCTTATAAGAGATAGCACCTACTTCTCTTAGTTTTTCGAGGGACAGTTGTTAAGGGCCACACAGCCAGACTCTCTTGTGACCAAAGCTGCTCTCTTTTCGGGACAGGTGTTCAGGATGATACAACCAGCCTCTCGCTCGGACAGGCCATGGAAAAGCTCCCGCTTTTCAGGACACGTTCCAAGAATGATACAGCCCGTCTCCCTTTCCGAGAGACCGGCAACCTCTTCTCTCTTTCCAGGGCAGTTGTTCAGCGCTACACAGCCAGACTCTCTCTTTTCAGGACAAGTACCCAGAATGATACACCCTGCTTCCCTCTCAGAGAGTCCTGCAAGTGCTTCCCTCTTTTCCGGGCAGTTGTTCAGGATGATGCAGCCAGCTTCCTTCTCCGAGATGCCTTCCAGAAGTTCCCTCTTACCAGGGCAATTGTTCAGAGCAACACAACCGGACTCCCTCTTGTCTGCTGGCAGAGCAGCAATAAGGGGGGTCACCACTGCAAGAAGTGCAAGAAGACGCATAGTGACGTGGACGTAAGTGGGATATGATGAGGTTACAGAAGGAAAAGTGCTTTGGCAGCTGGTCTGTCTGGTGTATGACAATGCCCCCAGTGGGCAATTTATATGTAGAAGAGAACGCTAGTTCAGTACTCGACTCTGCTTGCTGATAGCTGAAGGATGCAAATAAGGTTCTAACAAGCCCTGCCAAGCACTCGAAGCTAATCTCCGCATTTCACGTCAACTACAATTGGACCAATTTGGTGAAAATGAGCCCTAAGCCTATGATTCTGAGGCCGAAGGAGCATGGTAACAAGCCACGTGGTTCCCCATGCGTGCGGGACCATAGACTCTGGTAGCGGCGTGTAAAAACCTTTGCTTGGACAACATGATGAATCGGACTTTATTGTTCACCCGCCTCCGCGGTGATCATCATTGTTGACCGGAAAGGATTCATCTATTTGCCGGTGGACTGAGCGACGGATGTAACAGCGGCACAACCTATTGCTGTGTATCGATCCTGTTGGTAAATACTCGTAATGTGAGCAATGCCTCGACCGGGCTCAGTTGCGCAGCAGGCGAGTAACGCCCTATTACCTGTCTCCGGAATGTCGTTTGACCCCGATAGGAAGATACTATAGATAGTGAAGTCGTGACAAACCCACCACAAGCTTCCCAATGGATGCATTGCACAGTCATCCGAGCAGCCCCAATCATTAATAGACAGTAAGCGCTAGTCTAGCAGGATGTGTATCACTCATCAAGCCATTCTATTGCACCTGTCAACATACAGCTCATGCCGGAAGGCGTCTCCCGGGCCAACATTGAGCATCGACACGATCCGAAGTATGTATATTGAGGAGGCGACCTTCAAAATCCCTGTCCTGGGTAATCAAAGAACTCCAGTGCTTCCTTCCACGATCGTACCCTCACATATTATCTGATTGAGAATATGCCGTCTGGGCATTCTGACGAAGTTGGTGTCGAGCCAGCAGTCACGATGGCGAAGTTGTATATACGATACAATATGTGCAACCGCATAAACAAAATGCAACAGATATTCATAACGGTGAAAGAAAAGCTAAGGGACAAAAGTGAAAGGCAAGGAGGAGATTAAGAGTAGGGAGGGGAGCTGAGACAAAGTTGTATTGAGCATGTTCCAATTCTATATCAAACATAGACCCATGTTTAGTTGAACCATTGCTGGACTCGGTATCAACTTTCTCAGAACCCGTGCATAAACAGTAGCCAAATCACTTGAAGCGAATCAGAAGTTTGTTGTGCCTGGAATTCTACGGTAGGATTGTAAATGAACAGCCGGCCGAAAGGATTCACACCGTCAGGTCCATCATGTCTTTAGCTGATTCGGTGTTGTTGGTATAGACACTAAGTAGGAATTTCGTTTCCGCTGGTGTCTTGCCATGAAGACTACACATGTACATATATCAAAAGAGCTTAAACAAAAAGCAGAAAGAGAAAGTAGGTAAACATGAAGTTACAAGATCAAATTGAATAAAATAAATGGTTTAGGATATATCATTCTTCGTCACGCCACCGCTCCTATTAGGCTGGGTGGCTGCTATCATAATTCATACCGTCTCAATCTGCTCATCTTCGGTGCCCTTCTTCTTCAAATCCGCTCCATCATCCTCAGGGATAACATACGTCGCCCACTCGCGAACGGGAACCCGATCCTGGAAGAGCCTCTCAATATCCGCATTGCTGCGCCCTGCGGTCTCACCAACACAGAACCACGAGTATGCCAGCAAGAACAGCGATGTACCTCCGTAGACAAATCCAATCATCGGGCCTAGGTTTGCCGTATAGTACATGTAGGGGCTGGTGAAGACCATGAGCCAGACGGTGATGAAGAACACGCCCATAGCGCACGAGGTGATCTTGTTTCGGTTTCGGCCGACGGACATCTCCGAGGCGATGGAGTAGGAGAGGGTTCCGATGGAGAAGTTGTAGAAGATGATGTTGACGTACGCCAGGACGACGATGCCAATGCCAATGCCACGGCTGAGCGTGCCATCAGCGGCCTTGGTGGTCCCGAGACCCCCGACGGTGAGTAGGGAGATAAACATCCCGCATGAGCACACGAGGAGGTTCGTACGGCGCTTGATCCGGTTCCCAAAGACGACGGAGACACCGACAGTGATGATCTGCAGGACATAAATGATTGTGTTGATGGTGAAGGGGTCTGCAACACCGATGGATTGTGCGAACACAACGCCGTAGGTGTACCAAAACTGGATCCCGTTGATCTGTTGGACGAACATGACACCACAGGCGTAGAACAGCTTACGGCGCTCGACAGGATCGGTCAAGAGGGAAGCCCAGGTGGCGTCCTTGGCCATTTCCTGTTCCTTTTGGACTGCGTCCTCGATGGCTTGGATATCCGCGGACGGGTCGTAGTCCGGCATGCTGCGGTTGATCTTGCGGAGGGATTTGATCGCTTGCTCGCGCTTGCCCTTGGACATGTACCAGACTGGGCTTTCCGGGGTGAACGGGAGGCAGAGGAGCATGATACCGGGGAGCACGACGAGGAGGCACATGGGGATACGGTAGGACTGGGAGCTTTGGATGCCCTGTGTGCCTTGGTTGACGCAGGCTCCGACCAGTTGAGAGATGGACTGCATGAATTGAAAAGACATGAGCGCTGGGCCTCGGATGGCGGATGGTGCCACCTCTCCGATGTAGATCAGGCAGGTGGCCGTGAACTGCCCGACACCGAGACCGATCAGGACCCGGCTGACGTAGAAGACTGGATGCGAGCCAAATGAGCAGGCCTGCACGATGGCTCCGGCAACGATACAGAGCGAGGCAGACAGAAACACGGCACGCCGGCCGAAAAAGTCATTGATGGGAGCGGCGGCGAGTGCACCGGCAAGTTCTCCCACGTAGATGATACTCGCAGACAAGGACAGGAACGTTGTTCCAAGCGAGAAGGAGCCGTCTGAGCCTTCCTCTCCGTAGTCCTTCGCAAACCATGTCATACCCTGAACACCCGTATAGTAGATGGTATCATAGCCATAGCAAAGGGCACCAATCGCAGCCACCAGGCAGAAAGCGATGGCCCGTCGATTCGACTTCCAGTCGATGTTGAGTTGAAGGCCTGCCATGTTCGGCAAGACCAGAAGGTGCTGTAGAGTCGGGAGGCCTGGGACAAAGGGAGCAGACAGTAGGATGGAGAGACACAGAGGCCAACAGAAACTCGCATCAGGTCCGGCCAAACTGATCGGGTTGATATGGCACCCTTTATACCTTCTCTTGCTGGGGAGAAAAGTTTAACATGGCCGGGGTAAGCCCTCCACGGGGTGTGCAGACAGCATCCTGCATCAGGGCATGGGAGAGCATCCCCAAATTTCCCCCACTTCGCACGACTCCGGGGCTCTGAGCTCCAGTCAACGTTTGGGCCAAGACATCCCGGTTTTCTCTTCTCCTGGAAACCTAAGTGCAACCCACATGCCGATCTTGCCTATCACGGAATGATTCAAGACGCCCACACCGTCGATCGGGCAGGATTCCCGAATTTCAACAAGGTAGGCCTACTTTCCGAAGAAACAACAGGCAAATAGCCATCCAACAAGCGGAGGACAGGAGACCGGGCCGGCACAGCAGCATGGTTCAAAAATCCCGAGTCACTCCGCCAAGCCATGCCCAGCACCGTACGGGATTCCGCCGAGCACGGCAAACCGTATAAATTCAGTGATTCTCCAGCCGAACGACGGATTGAGACCAGGAAAAGCTTCGTCTTCATCTGGCAGAGCAAGTTACTTGCAATACTGTCGGTATCTCGTCTCAGCTTCGTTGGGACTTGAAGAGGTGCATATCCCACCTGTACAAAAGTCAACTCTGTCCAGAACTTCGGTCCCCGCTGCCAAGAGTCGGCGCCGTGTGCGCACTCAGGGCTCATTTGCCAGTCCTTCTCCAGTTTCTCCGAGGATGGCCCGGGGGGCGAATATCTCTGGCGAGTCTCTCCTGGCCCACCCCGGCTGGGCACCCCCGTAAATTCACCTCTCCAGGTTCACTAGCCAGATGTGATCCACTTCGCGCAGCCATGACCCGTGGGGGTGCTCGTGTGCTACACCTGAGGAGGCAAATATTCGTTCTTGGCGACCAGACTCAGACTCTGGAAATGCCCCTCTGAGCCTCTCCTTAACTAGTCGTTGTAAATCCCTCAGGGTGTCCCAGAGTCTGTCCAGAGCGAACTCGCTCGGGCCCCTGCGCGAATGCTTCCGGACAAAGATTTCTACAGTGTGGTTGGTATCTCCCTCTATTAGGAAAATTAGAGCACACATCTGGCCAGTGTTCCACGGTCCACAGAACTCTGTGAACCGTGAAGTGGGGTTCGAAAACAGAACGGGGGATAAATCTCGCCCAGCTTGAGAGTTTTATACTAGCGCCTCTAGCGCGCGTCAGGATATCCTCAGTGTTGCTCACGGTTCGACCGCTGGGGAGTGATAACAGGTCAATGGGTTGTACATCCTCAAGCTGCAGCGCTTTGCCGGGTGCTTTGTCTTACATATAAATCGCGGAGCACTTCCGGTTGCAGCAATTATGATTCTCAAAGTCTCCCTGCATTGATAGTTGCCAGTGTCTATTGGTAACACGATCAGATTAAGAAAATGTCTTCTCCCGTTTTTACAGGCCCAACAGCTCAGGAACATAGCAGAAGTTTGCCGCCAACCCCCAGCGCGCCGTTTTGGTAATTGCCCGGACGCTCTTTGGTAAACTTTCTATTATCCTCCAGTGTCTGTTGGAATCGCTTCCCCGTCGGCGAAAGAAGCGATATCTACAGCTGACCCCGGCAAGCCCGCGGAGCCCATTCTCCCACCACCGCCTTCAGGTGCAGAGGGCCTTCGATCACTGAGTCTAGTAAGAAGCCATGAGCAGCCAAATTGCATAACGGGGGAAGTGGTAGGTGGACCCGCGCCCGTTCTCAGTAGTTGTTGCGAATCTATGCATACTGGAGATAACGAAACAAGTTCGCGCTTTTTCTTGTGTCTGATAAAAGTTGAACGGCAGAGAATATAATGGAGGCGTCGAATAATTGTCGTATTAGCGCGGCCGCCAGTTCACTTGGCTTGCTCGGCTTGACAGGGCATACATTGTCTTGAACTGGCATAGTTGCAAGCCACACTAGGCCAGTCCAGTCACATGGCGACTGCTTATGCTGTTGGGGTAACAGGCGTGTCAGCACATTTGACCTGCACTACCTGATGTTGAAATCCCCTATCGGTCGACTCAATGACCAGTGCACTTAGATGGTAGCCATATAGACATGCGGAATCCAGTCCGATTGCATGCCTGCCCAGCTGCAGACGGCGTTTTGCATCGTGCCCGAATATCACCGTCGTTCGGGTTGTCAGCTGGTCCTGCCAGCGATCCCAGTGGGTAGCCCAACCTTCTTCTCCGGATGCTTCAGCTGGTACGAAGGTCTCTTCATCGCCCGGCAGGTGAGAGAGGCTGCGCATGTGCATTACAGCGTGGGAATCTTGCTTCTCAAGCGGGACGCCGGGGGTGAGACCAGCATGTACGACAACTAGACTGTCATTTAAGGATGACGTTGGATGATACGGCAGCTTGATGCGCAAGATTAATGGAAGAGCGGCGAGCCAGTCGAGCTGGCGTGCCGACAGTGAGCGGGCTGTGCGGTACGTTGTTGCGCTGTGTCTTGTGTGAGGACTACCTATGGGAGATGCGCTTGTTTCAGGGCCGTCGGAAGCGACAGTCTCGTTAGGTGAATCAACCCCCAAGTTCCCCGGTAGCTGTGCGGCACCGGTGGATACGCCTCCAGCATGTATTGCGTTGTCTCCTTTTGTGTTGATTTCCACGGCAGCATCGAGAACTGCATTGTCGTGGTTGCCTCGCACTGCGCTGGCGCCTAGCTTCACGGCTAGGTCGATGACACCAGGGCTGTCCGGCCCTTTGTTGGTCAGATCACCCACTAGGATCAGATGATCCCCTTTGCCCTGATCGAAGCGGACCTCTTCCAGGAGTGCCTCCAGAGACCGTCTCATGCCGTGTACATCCCCGACGATGACTAATCGTCGCGCACCCGATCCCGGTTCATTTTGTGCGGGCGAAACGAGTTGCGGAGTGAGACTCTCGGGCAGGTCAGATATGAACGTGGTGATGGGGAAAATCTTATCGGCATCTGGTGCAGCCGTCATGGTTGTCGTTGTTCTGCCTCGTCCTCAGGGCAGCGGGCCAAAGGGAACAAAATGCATGCCGGAGTTGGGGAAAAAGTGGCCAGATTGCGCTATGGACCGATCGGGTCAAGCGCATTCCACTGGCAGCGGATCGTTCCGAATTCGAGCATCGACAAGAGACCGCCTCTCCAGACCTCCAGTGCGTATAAAGACGTCGATGTGGTGTTCTGTCAATCGCTGGCGGCTCTTCCTGGTGGCCCATGTTCCTACCCAGAATGCCGCGGAGAGAGCGTCGGAGATGCTGATTGGTATGACGGGCACGTTAGACAGGTGAATACACTTCCCTGAGCTTTGCTGTGGGGGGTCATACTGATGCAATGGCAGATGGGTAAGTGGCTTAGGGTTGAGTCTCCCGCCGTGGGTATGTTGAGGGGGATGGCACGTATGACATTAGGAATGTGCCACCGTACTTTATTTATTTCACCCCGTTAGGACGCACTTGCTTAGTCTGCTGCTGGGATCACTCCTGGCCAGCGAATGAAAAGCTATAGAATAACTAGCAAACAAAGAAAGGAGAGAAAGGAAGCCGAAGAACAAGATCTCACGAGGCAACGGGGCGCCACATTAGCCCGATTTGCTCGACTATTAAAACGCTGTAACCTTCTGGAGGAACCCTATTCGACTAGAGGGCTAAAACTAACACGAACAAGAAACATGAAGTAAACCGGCGATTACATCTTGCTTACGCTCTTTCAAAACGAACGGCCAATCCATCTACCGCCTCCCCAAGGGTTGGGTGATCATATAACGGGAATCGCTCCATGAGAACCTGCTTCCAACCCTTAGGCACACCAAACTCCGCCAGAGTCGAGGTATGATTGAAATTACTACATAATGCACCGTTCTGTTGCTTCATATTTTCAATGTATGCCTCACTGAGATCCTCATGGATGGCCGTCACCGACCTCTGCGCAACCATGAACATGCGAGCTAAACACGCAGTCAAGTGGACCGGGTCCAGGAATTGAAATGCCGCGAAACACACGACATGATCGAATTCAGGCATACCCTAGTTGTCAATCAGTACCCATGCCATGGACGGAAACATATGTCGCGCAAACCAGGGAACTTGCCATGATGAGTTCATCCATCGGCCCGATCAATATCGGCTTCTCGTAGTGATCCTGAATGTATGAGGATCGAGTCATCCCCTCGGAGACGTCTATGCCGGTGATTTTTGCGGACACACCGAGCTCATGCAGAGTGGCGCCAAATTCACCGTTTCCACACGCGAGGTCGAGGACTGTTCCGGAGAAATCGTAGTCTCGGCTCAGGTCTTCCTGCATTCGACTCAGCCCGGTGTTGGCTCGAGCGGAAGGGTAGCGAGGAGCAAAGCTATCATAAACCCCCGCCAGGTGTTGATTCCGGTCGCTGTCCTGGCCAGAGCGAATCTGTTTGCTCGTGATAAGCATGTCCAATAATGCCATATGCCCTCCAGGGAACTCCTCACAGATCACCACGTCCTCGTATGTCGTGTACCTTCCTCCGTGAAATGCGCGAGGTGTGCGAACGAGACCCTCCAGGTAGATACGGCCAAACTCTGCCTTTGGCAAAACCTCTACTCGCACGAAGCCACCGCTAGACACCTTCAACATATCCAACGTAATCGACTTCAGCATAGACTGCAGAGGGTCTTCCCTAATCCAGGTAAAGTCTGCCGGGCCAGTGTGTAAATCTTCTCGATCATGGCACACGGAGGTAGCGCATTGGCTGGGAGTAAAAACCAAGGCTTCTCGGCCCATCTCCATGGCCAGGCAAATCCACTTCTGACCCTTGAGATGTTCCGGACTCAATTCATGAGCTTGTACTGGGATCCGCAAACAACGACTTTCTTCTCGCGTGTCGCTGCTGTAAAGGAGGTATGGGCGGTTGAGAAATGTGATATCTTTCGCCTCGAGATATCTCGTGATGGCGGCCACTCTTAAAACATCGTCGTCCGATTCTGCCACCTATTCAAAGCTGATAAGCGAGACGTTCGCTTCACGGTACTGTACTGTGCCAACCATATGGTTCAGAAACATGCCATATCCATCGTTGCTGACTTTGTCGATCTCCGCCTCGGCCTTGCTTTTACTGATGTAAAGGATCTCCAATTGATGACGAGTTCGAGACAAGTAGCGACTGGGATTGACAACACATGGACCCTGGTCAAGTAGAACAATGAGCTTGTGTCCAGAAGTTCAGAGGGTAAGGGAATAGCTGTCGATGGTATCACGTACCTCTACAGCATCTCCTCGTAAGATCAGAATCCCTATCTTCATCGTGTGGGGCGGGCCTAATGGCAGGTGCAGAGCCGTAGGTGTATTGAATCTATAAAAGCGCCGTGAAAGCAGACATTCGACAGAAATGGCGATCCCCCCAGACCAAAGGACAGATGAATCAGACGGTCAACAAAGTCTACAAGATCAGGGGCAGTGTGAGCGCAGGAGGGACAATTGCTGTGCACGCATGACAGGCTAGCAAGCATCTCATCCATGAGCTATGGTTACTCTGCCTGTCTAGGTTGCGTGGCTGCCCCCTCTCGTGCAACTTGGGGGCAAACTCCACAACACATAAGATTTGCTCTCAATCTTCTCGCTAGGACGACCTTCTCATAGTTTGGATTCACGCCTTACTCTCCGCCTGAATCCAGCAAAATGAGCCACTTTGTTAGTGAGATCGTTCGTTACGCACTCTACAATTCCAGCCGCGCTGCTGCGGACAGTCTCTCACTCCGCAAGGCTACGACAACGGCTTTGTTGATGGGGGTCACGGTGGGTAACCCGTATCAACCTCGCTATATACATATTTCAAACTGATTGAGCTAGACAGTACTGCATTATGATCGGCATCTACCGCCTCACACTCCATCCGCTCGCAAAGTATCCCGGCCCTAAACTAGCAGCAGTGACGCGTCTGTGGCACTCGTACCATCTATGCAGGGGAGACATTGTTTCAGCCCTTGCGCGAGCACACGAAATACATGGACCAGTCTTGCGGATTGCGCCAGATGAGGTGCTCTTTACCTCAAGTCGCGCATGGGACGACATCTACGGTGCGCGGCCAGGGAAGCCCGAGATGGAGAAGGATACCCCCCTCTACAAAGGCCCCACTGCGCCACATTCAATCGTGACGGTGGATGGCGAGCTTCATCGCTTGTACCGCCGTCTGCTGGTCAGGGGGTTCTCGGCTACTGCGTTGCGAGAGCAGGAGCCAGTGATCCAACGCAACATCAATCTACTGATAGAGAAGCTGCATGAAGAAGTAACAGCCGGAAAGACACCTGAAATGACGGCTTGGTTCAACGTAAGCCACTGCAGCTCCCTCGCTGAGAAAGGTCCGGAGCTGACCCCGGGTATTGCTCTAGTATGCGACATTCGACCTGATCGGGGAGCTTGCATTTGGCGAAACCTACGGGTGCCTCGAGAACTCACACTACCACCCTTGGGTGGAAATGATTCTGGAGGTGATGAAACTACGCGCTGTGACACATGCTGTGGGGTACTATCCATGGATATTCCATCTCCTGATGTGCTTCGTCCCCAGGTCCCTGCGTGAGAAATTCGTCACACACCGCAAGTGCACCCATGACAAGGTGCAGCGTCGAATGGAACGAAAGATCCATTACAAGGACCTGGCCACCGACCTGTTCGATCCACAAAACGGGCTGGAACGATACCAGATCGATGGGATCTGCTCCACCCTCATCATCGCCGGCAGCGAAACGACATCCACTGCTCTGAGTGCCACGCTGTACTTCCTGACGCAGAACGAAAATGCCAAGCGCAGAGTGATTGGAGAGATCCGGAGCAGATTCAACCGCGTTGGAGATATGAACTCGATCCGCGTGAATCAGCTGCAGTATCTGAGCGCATGCATCAACGAGGCGCTACGGATCTTCCCTCCCGGTCCGGCTGTCTTTCCACGCCGTGTCCCTCAGGGTGGCGATTTCATCGACGGGCATTGGATCCCTGGTGGTACCCAAGTGGGGATTGCGCACTTTTGCATCAATCGAAGCCGCCGAAACTTCATCGACCCAGACAAATTCATCCCGGAACGATGGCTCGGGGATGTCGCGTACCAGACCGACGATCGCCACGCCATGCAAGCGTTCAGCTACGGTCCTCGTAACTGCATCGCTCATAATCTCGCCCATTTGGAGATGCGCCTGGTCCTGGCTCGGCTGATCTGGGAGTTTGATTGGGAACTAACCCCTGGATCGGAGGGGTGGGAAGATGCGTTGGTCTTCAATGTCTGGAGGACCAAGCCGTTGAAGATTAAATTTACCCCGGTCATACGCTGCGGTCCGAGAGAGAGGATAGAGGTGAAGGCAGCCTGACCGTCTGTGCAGATAGCGTTTTCTCAGTCGTCAGATCGTGTCGCGTTCGCCTTGTGTCTCCCTGATCACAGTTTGATAGCTGTTGCGAAGATTGCATATTCCATTAGATACTTTACATATTCTCCTACTTTTGGATTTCCCTTTGTACACCTAACGGGCTCCCCATCAGGTCCCTCTAGAGCGCGGAAGGACGCAGGAAAGACATGGAATATCCCTGCCACGCTAGTGGATCGAAGGAGATCTCACCAGTAAATCGCCGGGCCTTGATGGTCCGTGCTGAAGATCAGTAGAGAAAACGAGGGGATTCTTCAGGCATCATATGGCGAGAGCGTTGGGAATCCAACTGCTGGTGGGCTGAACGTAGCAACCTTGGCTATCATGCATGACAGGGGCGATAATTGAACGCTCCAATTCGGCATCCAGCTATGCAGAGGTAAAGGCGATATCGGTGGCTGGCTGGGTCAGACCTCACTAGGCAACAATCAATACCCTTCGTCGCTCAGATGCGATGCTACCTGGCAGGCGAACACCGGCGTGCCAGACTAGCGAATGTGACACCCAGCAATTGACTGAACGGCGCCGAGAGCACGGAAATGCAATCCTATCGACACGCACTTGTCATACCCAGGCACGCCTACCGGGGCAGGGTGCCAGTTTCTATGCATGTCTTACTGCCTTTATTCAAGGTGACTGCAGGTCTAGACCTTCATGGCCAGTCATGCCATCAACTAGAGTTTGATGGACGCCCAGTTTCTCAGCTGGAACTACTGTTCAATACGGCTGACCAAGGGCAAACCGTGCGCAGTAGTAGGTGGTCTCAGAGCAATAATACATTGGAGCAAGGGCACCTCTTCACCGGTGCAATATGATCTCCAGAGGTCGTGATGAGCGCATGCAGGCGCTGCCCTCGATTCCCAGGATCTTGCGGGTTGAGAATCACAATCAAGCAAGGCTCAAGGAGAGCAGTTCTGTGAGCCAACTTCATACGCAACAGTGTGCAAACAATTGTGTGACTATCGGTTACTTTTAAATCGGTGGGATTTGCTCATTGGACTGTATTCGGTCATCTTCTCCTTACCTTTCGGGCATTCTCGAAGATGGCTGCTCGGATTGCGAGCTTCCTTGGTATTTCCAGTGTCGCCTGTCTTAGTTCGGCGAATGGCATCGTCGCCCACGACACCATCTCTCGCGATGTAATCATCCTGGGTGGTGGCAGCTCGGGGACCTATGCCGCCATTCGTCTCAAAGATCAAGGCAAGACCGTTGCTGTCGTTGAACGCAACGACTATTTGGGAGGTCACTGTGAAACCTACTACACCGAAGATACTACACCTTTGAATTATGGTGTGGAGGGATTCTTCAACACGACCGTGACTCGGAACTATCTTGAACGGCTTCAGGTGCCCTATGGACGCCGCAGCCCTGCTCCTGCGCACGAAGTTTACGTGAATTGGAACACCGGGACAAGGACAGAATATCCTCCGGGCCAGCTCCAGGATAGGGAAGCATTCGCAAAATGGGTCGATGTCATCTCCCAGTTTGGCTTCTTGGATGAGGGCGTGTACCGAATCCCCGAACCGGTGCCGGAGGACCTCATCAGCCCTTTCCCGGATTTTGTAAGGAAGTACCACCTGGAGGATGCCGTGTTCGCCCTTTTCTCTCATACTTCTGGTGACGTCTTCGAAATGATCGCCCTCTACGTCATCCAGTATATTGGAGTCCCCCACACCGCTGCCTTGAATGAAGGCTACATCCGGCCCCTTGAGGGCATAGCCGCTCTGTACAAGAGCGCTGGCAAAGAGCTCGGCAACGACGTCTTCTTGAAAACGACTCCCAAGACAGTTCACCGCTCCGAAGATGGCGTCGAAGTCACCGTGCGCAGTGCTGACGGGACCACGACGCTGCTGCAGGGAAAGCAACTGCTAGTCACCATTCCGCCCCTGCTGCCCAACCTCCACAGCTTTCAGCTCAGCGAGCAAGAATCCCGCATGTTCTCCAAGTGGCAGTATCACCAGTACTGGGCCGCCCTGGTCAATAACACTGGTCTCCCCGACGATGTGAACTTGGTCCACGTCGATACAGAGCGCCTGTACGGTGTCCCCGAGGAGCCCTTCATCTGGCGCCTGGATAACCATTGGGCCCCAGGCTACCACAACGTCAAAATGGTCGGTGGGTCCGACTTCGGAGAGGCTGAGGCGAAGGCGCACATGTATGAGAAGTTCGAGCTTCTTCATGCGGCGGGAACATACTCTACGCACAAGCCCGAGATCATCAAGTTCGGAAACCACACCCCTGTTACCATGTTCGTTTCGGCAGAGGAGATTCGCGGAGGATTCTATCGGCAGCTGTATGATCTCCAGGGGCTGAACAGCACGTTCTGGACGGGCTCCACTTGGGCATCAGATTATTCGACCTTGATTTGGGGGTATACAGATGAAGTTCTCGACCAGATGGCTGCTTAGTCCCTATTATGGGCATCTGTGTGCCCCTTGACCCCTTGATCCTTTGCAATTCTACAACGGGGGTCGCACTCTGATAGCTGTGCATTAACGTCGTCTGGCGGCACTGCAAGTAACTAGAGCTCCTGAGTTCAGTATTGATTATATCGGCCTGCATATTTATGAGCAACATTTGCTTTGCAGATTGAATTTGCAAGGTGTACCGATACCAAATAGTTATAATGATTGAACTTACTCAAATATTCAGTTCTACCTACATCCAAAGCTTCGATCAAACGCCTATTTTACACCACTACAACTTGGTATGTTTCATGACAAGTTTTCCAGCACCTTTCCATAGTATAATTAGATAGTCCACCATTGATGTTATTATCTAGTCCTTGGCCCCTATATAGAATTATTTTAACCCCTTTGACTTCTAGACTTTGACATGGACAAGATTATATACGGTCCCCCAGTACCTTGAATTATATATCTTTGACATTCTGCTATCACTTACTGTTATACGACATTTAATGAGATTCTATAATAAAATCATTTAAAGTGAACGTTATTACTGCAAAGTCTGGAATTAAATCATATAAGGGAAAAGGACTTGAAATATATTGAGTTTCGGCGTAAGATGGGGAGACAGAAAGTTGGAAACTTTTGATGGGGACTGGCCAGCGTGGCAACAAGGGCTGCGGAAGTGGAGACAGAGAGAAAAGCCAGGGTGGAAGGAACAACATCGGCCGGATGTCCTCGTTTCTACACAGCAACCACGTCCAGGATAAAACAAATAATCTGCGGCTAGGAGACCCTGACTTGAACACGAACAAGTGACACATTGCAATGTGTGCATCCGCATGGATGGGTAAGCTAGTCTTCCAGATTCTGCCCCTCATGGCACATCGTCAGCCCCTGGGCAGCAACGCTGAAAGCCTCGAAGGTGTGAAGGTAGACACTCATGTACGGCTTCTTTCCCTTGTACGAGAATGAGATCCACGCTTGCAGGTGATTTGCAGTACACAGATCGACATCCGGACTGTAGGCGAAGATTAGCCCCACTCATCATTTCATTCGGGAGATGTCAAGACGTACTAGTACGATGCCAAATCGGACGGATAGCTTTCAGCCAAGCCACCCCACCCTCGGCTCTCAAAGAAGGTGGCCAGTCCCTGCGCGATAGCGTTGTCGTTCTGACCAAAAGCAGGGAAATAGATCTGGGGCTCGGGAAGTGGGCTTGTCGGAGACAAGGTAAAGTTGATAATGAAAGGAAGTTGTTCCTGCGGTGAGGTACGAGGCTCGTAAAAGCAGTCCGGGAGTGGACATAGGCCCTCTGTGATGGGCAGTAGCTGCCACAGCTCTTGGAGGGCATCCAGGCCTTCCAGGGTCTCTGGATCGTTCCGTCGCCCGTTCAGAGTCCAAATCCCTTCAATGGAAGCCAGGCTCAGCTGGCGTTCCATGCAGTAGACTTTGATCCGAGACTCGGATGGCTTCACTAAATCACAGGAGAGAAAGTGGCCGATGAGGGTGGGAGCCCGCTCAGCCATAAACTGCTCGAGAGTTGCCAGTGGGCCGGCAATTTTACCACCCTGGCCGGTGGCCTTGATGGCATCAAACATGAGACTCTCTTTCGGCGTGCCGGTCGCGATAGACTTGATTCGGGGGTAGATGTAGGTCTTCAAGACAATATCGCCCGACGGCTCCAGATCGGCTGCTAGCTTGTTCTGTGTCTTGAAGACTGGGACTTGGATACTTCCATCACGCAGAGTCTGAGCCTCCTCGTCGGAAACGACCAGCGCTTTGGTAAAATGATCAAACAATTCTAGATCAAGGCCTGAAACCAGGGCCCTAAGGGTCTGGAGAACAGGCCGGATGGCTGCGGTGTTGAATGGGTCCTCGTGCGTGCCCGTTAGGGGACCGAGGGGCTCGAAGGCGAACCGCAGTAGCGATTTCGAGTAATTGAAGCTTAACTCGAACGGAAGTCCGAAGCGCGTCAGATGACTCTTCCAGTGCATGGGCTGACCTTTCTCAGGATACGGACCCAACGCCGGGATGATGACCTCGCGGTGGATGCAGAGAAACTTGTACTGTGCGTGAACATCATAGCCGGCCCCCGCCATCATGGCGGCAAACATCGGCGCGGTGCTATACCACCATTTTGCCTGGTCCCTGTTCGAGAGGTTCAGGGCTTCGCTGAGCACGCGGAAGGGCTTTGGCAGCTGTGCTGCTGATGTCCTGGAGATTTCCATCGTTCAGTGTTCCAGTTCCTGGTGTGCAGTATCGATACAAAGTCAAATGACGTGAGGAGTTCAAGGAATACTACCCTACCTTTTCTGTTCAGACCATAGCATGATATTCATGATCTTGGGGGGGCATCGCCCTCACTGGGCGTTTGCGATGGCGACCGCATGACGCACGCTATACGAGCCAGTACTCAATGAATGCAGTGCCAAGGTCCGTCTAGCAGGCTACTCTAGCTGTCTGTCTCGTAAGCCCACTAAGACATGCATTGGAAACCGTGGGCTGGCTGAAGACGACATTCCATCCGCGCAAGCATTCAAGGATTAGAGCGATTCCCTCTCCGCCAGGGTGTGATGACTTCGGTGTTGTTGTGGGGCGATTGTCTTGGACCCTTGACACAATTCAGTAGATGTACTGATAGCAAAAGCAAAACGTACAGTTCACTCTCTACTGCAGGATGTCACGGTGCATGTGATGAACCTAGGCCAAGTCTTTCACAATGACAAGTAGTGAGATATTGGTCGCCAAGACCTAGAATCATATCTACCGGCATCGGCACGATGCAACATCCTGCAATGGCCGGCGTCCAACCGATTGAGCCTAAATGGCAGATCGGACAAGTATGGCAATCGAACGAGCTGAACCAGCAATGATTAAATAGGAAATTGGTTCAGCTGAATGGCGCCCATAATACGAACTTTTTCATAAGCGATTCAAAGCGCCACGCACCCACGACAGTTACGGCCAGTAGGCTGAGGGTACACAATGGATCAGTCCGTCAAGCGCAAGGTCGTAAGAAGTGTTGGTGAATTGGGCTGAATGTGGTGATGATAGAATAAAGGTCGAAGGTTCCATGTATGTACATTACTTGGTCTTGCTGTAGTTGTTCAGGCATTTCCGTTGCGAAGCCCGCCGCCCCTGTCCCATCTCCTCGCTGGAACGCTTTCTTTTGTCAATGCTAAGTCCTATCTCGTCGCCATGAAAACGCCAATTGCTGTTGTTGGGACCGCGTGCCGATTCCCAGGCGATGTAGCATCGCCCTCGCAACTATGGGAACTATTGTCCAACCCAAAGGATGTCCTGAAGGATCTAGATCCCAAACGATTAAACCTCTCCAGCTTCTATCATCACGATGGCGAGCACCATGGGGCTACTGGTGTCCCAAATAAGTCATACATACTGGAGGACGATGTCTATTGCTTCGATGCAGCCTTCTTCAACATCAGTGCCGCGGAGGCAGAGGCAATGGATCCACAACAACGGCTCTTACTTGAGACGACATACGAGGCGCTGGAAGCTGCGGGATATACATTGAAACAGCTGCGCGGCTCAAACACATCCGTCTTTATTGGTGCGATGACCTCAGACTACCATGACATTCAAGCTCGGGATTTGGACACAATCAGCCGATGGCATGCAACAGGCACATCTCCCAGCATTCTCTCAAATCGTGTCTCGTATTTCTTTGACCTGAGAGGGCCATCAATGACTATCAACACTGCATGCTCCAGCTCACTGGTGGCATTGCACCAAGCGGTCAACAGTCTGCGAAATGGTGATTGCACTATTGCTATTGTAGGCGGTGTCAATCTCTTGCTCGACCCTGAAGTCTATATCAGCCATTCCAACCTACATATGCTGTCCCCAACATCAAGATGTCGGATGTGGGATAAGGATGCTGACGGCTACGCTCGGGGCGAGGGGTGCGCCTCAGTCGTAATCAAGACCCTGGATCAGGCGCTGCAGGATGGTGACGATATAGAGTGCATCATTCGGGAGACTGCGGTCAACTCGGACGGCAGATCTGCGGGAATCACAATGCCCAATCCGGAGGCCCAGGCCACATTGATACGCCAGACCTATGAACACAGTGGTTTGGATCCTGTTCGGGACCGTTGCCAATATTTCGAATGCCATGGGACTGGTACACAGCTGGTGATCCCGTCGAGGCACAGGCAATCCAGCAGACGTTCTACCCGCAGACCGTCGTTTTCAGTCCAAACGACAAGCTCTATGTGGGGAGCATCAAGACTCTTATCGGCCACCTGGAAGGCTGTGCAGGTCTCGCCGGCGTGATGAAGGCTATAATGTGCCTCAAGAACCAGATCATCACACCAAACATGCTTTTCGACGATCTCAATCCGAATATCACCCCATTCTATGACCATCTGGAAGTTCCTACAAGGACTCTGCCATGGCCACCTGTTGCTCCTGGCTGTCCACTGAGGGTGAGTGTGAACTCCTTTGGTTTCGGAGGGACCAACGCCCATGCCATCATTGAGAGCTACGTACCCCGCCAATCGAAAAGCCAAGTCAGTTGCTGCAAAGAGCCGGCCGTTAAGAAGTATGTATCCGCCGGGCCATTCGTGTTCTCGGCACACACTCAAGATTCCCTACACTCGCACATTGAGCAAATAGCCCGATATGTGAGAAAAAATGAAGCATTGGGCCTAGGTGATTTAGCCTGGAGCTTAGCCAAAAGAACCGTCTTACCCTTCAAGGCCTCAATGACAGCCTTAGACAGAGGGGAGTTTCTTTGTAAGATAGACACGCTGAGCCAGGAGTACAAAGACGACAAACGGGGTGAACAAAGCCACTTGCAATGGAGGCATTCGCCCGAGCCAGAGAAGATTATGGCCATTTTCACAGGGCAAGGCGCACAATGGGCTGGAATGGGGCGTCAACTGCTATGTGCGTCTCCCATCTTCAGGCAGTCTATCGAGCAGTGTGAGCGTGCTCTCGCACGTCTTCCTGACGGCCCCTGCTGGTCCCTGCACGAAGAACTTCTGGCAGACGAAGCTTCGTCAAGCATCTCTAATCCTGCAGTAAGTCAGCCGGTAACAACTGCAATTGAGATAGCTGTCTATGATCTCCTGTGTGCATGTGGAATCAATGTCGATGCAGTCGTGGGCCACTCATCCGGCGAAATAGTGGCTGCGTATGCGCTCGGTATTATCTCGGCAGAGGATTCCATGAAGATAGCCTATTATCGTGGAATGCACAGCAAGCCAGTGAAACTAGGAGGTATGCTAGCCGTTGGTCTTTCCTTTCATGAAGCCAGTGAATTGTGCTCTCAGCCGGCATTATCGGGTAGGATCGTGGTAGGAGCGAGCAACGGGCCTGTGAGCACAACCTTATCAGGCGACTATGATGCGATACTCGAGGCAAAGGCACTCCTTGACCATAAGAAAATATTCGCAAGAACGTTGCAGGTTGACGTTGCGTACCACTCACATCATATGGTGCCATGTGCTACCACATATCTTGAGTCATTGACGGCATGTAATATCCAAGTGGGAACACCCAGGAGTGGCTGCACATGGATCTCAAGCGTCACAGGAAGCAGTGCAATAACAAAAGGGGATATTCAAGCGTTCTCTGCGACTTACTGGGTTGAGAACATGGTCAAACCTGTCCTATTTTCGCAGGCAGTGGAGAGGTCACACAGTGGCTGTCATAACATTGGTGCGTGTATCGAGATCGGACCTCATCCAGCTCTCCGTGGGCCAGTTTTGGATACATTGAGATCAAAAGGAAGTTCGAACGTTCTTTATACTTCGTTGCTTCACAGAGGACACAATGATCTCAAGGCTGCATCATGCGCCGTCGGCTACCTTTGGGAACGTATGCCTGAACGTGTGGACATTGGGAGGTTCCTCCAAAGTCTTAGCAATCAACCCCTACAACTAATGAAGGGATTACCAGCTTACACCTGGGACCATACGAGGAGATACTGGAGAGAGTCTCGCGTGTCGCGCACATACCGTCTCGAAGGCACACAACTGCACCCGCTACTGGGCCGGCGATCTGCTACTAAATTCCCGAACGAGATGTCTTGGAGGAACATCCTGCACCTAAAAGAGATGCCATGGGCTCAAGGGCATAGGAAAAAGGGCCAGGTAGTGCTTTCGACTGCTTTTTACCTTTCTTCTCTATTAGCGGCTGCTAGCTCTGCGGCTATGTGCCAGTGCCTTGTGTTGGTTGAGGTCGAGAATTTAGTTACCATGGAATGTCTGACTTTGCAAGAGCATGGCGACGGCATAGAATACATCACAACGCTACGAATCCGCGCCGAACATTCCGAGACACCTTCGGACGCCAAACTCGATGCCGAAGGATCCTGTCATGCCAGCCTTAGCGACGGATCAGTGTTAACGAAGCTATGCACTGCACGTCTAACACTCCATGTCAGACAAGCCAACCGTCCTAATTGTGACCAGTTACCCCCAAGGGAACAGCAGAATCCCCTACTCACGCCTATAAATGTTGCTGATCTGTACGACTCATTTGAACAGGTTGGCACTGACTATTCCGGACCCTTTCGAAGCATAATCTCGATCCAGCGGTCTCTCGGCAGAGCCACGGCTTGTGCGGCTTGGCCAGCAGATACAACTTTTTTGGGGTCACTACTTCACCCGGCTATACCAGAGACATCATTCCAGACAATAACGTGCGCCTTTGCCTCACCATGGAGCAAGGCATTGTGCACCTCATTCCATGCAAAGGAGATTCGTCGCGCCCTCGTGCAACCTTACTTTGCTCTGAAGAGCCCTTCATGCTTAATCGACGCTTTTGTGACTACAGTGGACAATTGTGGAGTGAAAGGCGATGTATCGTTGTACGACCCGGATGGAAACGCCATGATACAAATCGAGGGTTTGGTCATGGAAAGTGCCCCTCAACCCCATGTTTCAGCCGGCCGTAGCCTGTACTCGCACATGGTGTGGGAGAGCGACCCTTTTGGCTATTCATTAACGTCCTCATATAATACCCAAGATGAGATGATGGCGTGGAGAAACGCAGCGGATATCGTCGTCTGGTATCATTTCCGAAGACTGGTGGATGAGATCGATCCACTCGAGTCTGCTGGGCTTCTACCTCATCACCAACTTTTGTATCGTGAGATTAGCCGCATTGCTGATGATGGCAAGGGCTCTGAGAACTACCTTCCTCAGCCCGATGATGGCCCGATGTCAGAAGAGAGTTTGCTGGCAATGATCGACGGATATGCGGGGGTTGTCGATCTTCATTCATTGCACTCACTCGGCATGGCCTTACCAGCAATTCTACGAGGGGAGAACGACCCTTTTGACATATCGAACGGAGGCAGCATCCTCGAGCGCCTATCCCACGCTTCCGGGATGTTTTCTGCATTGAAGACAGATCTTTGCTGCATCGTCAAGCGTATTGGACACAAGCATCCCCACATGGATGTCTTGGAGCTTCACGTTGGCACTGGTGTGATCACTCAGCAGATATTAGAAGCTCTTGATGATAAATATAGTTCCTATGGCCTGAGCAGCGCGACCCCAATATCACTCGAGCAGACGGTGGCCAGGCTGTCAACTCAGCACCGCAACCTATATTCCAAGGTCGTTGATCTTACTACGGCGGAGGATGGTGAACATGGCAGCGACAAGTATGACATGGTCATTGCTGCCAACCCCTTCCACGCAACTGATGCATCTGCCAGCCTGTTGGAAACTTGCCGCGCAATACTAAAGCCTGGTGGCTACCTTGTATTTGTTAGACTGAGCGGGCGAATGCCAATGTCGTTGTTGTGCGTCTGTGGGCTGCTTCCCCGGTGGTGGCAAGGATACAATCACGATGCCCAGACTTGGTCGGACATGTCAACCGTTAAATGCAACGCGCAACTCCGCTCTAAGGGTTTCTCTGGGATCGATCACATCTTCCATGGCTCGACGCACCCAAATGAGGATGGTCTTTCAGTCATTGTCACTCAGGCAGTGAACGATACAGTCCTGATGCTTCGAGAGCCGATGAATTCAACCGGGCTGGCGCCACTGACGGAGACTGTGGCCCTCATTGGGGGCAAGACACTATTGGTAGCACGCCTTCTCCAGAGTATTCAAAGGATTCTCGCTGCATCAGGTTCCACCACAACAGCAATAGTGGAAAACATAGGCCAGCTGGACCTGGATGATTTCACGAACAAATATGCAATCATCTCCCTGCTGGAGCTTGACGAGCCTTTCTTCGCCCAAGGAATCTTCCACGAGAGGGTCCTCAATTTCAAAAAGCTTGTGGCAAGGTCGAAGCACGTCCTCTGGTTGACATCTTCACAGATGCCAAGCATAACTGTTGCTCTTGGGAGAGCAATGAGATTGGAAAAGGGAAACAATACCAATCTTCAATTCCTCCAGTTGTCTAGTATGGAGAACATTTCGCCTGCCACTGTAGTGGAGATTTTCTTGCGCCTCACATGGTCTAGTGTCCCTATGTTGACGGACGGGCAAATGCTTTGGACAAACGAATCCGAGCTACAGTGGGATGGATGCGCGCTGCGCATTCCACGACTGGTTTGGGACCCAAGACGAAACCAGAGGTACAATTCCAGACACCAAGAAACTCATCCAAAAGCATGCCTCTCACAGACATCAGTGATTCTCCCGCGAGAGATGTTGGAAACCTCGGTAGCCGTTCAAGTCAAATATTCCTGCCTCATTTGTACGGATGCCTATCTGTGGTTTGGTACACGTGTCGATGGACGGGGAAATGCAATCGGCATTTCTGATCATATTTCATCTGTCGTGCAGGCAAGGCCTGAACATGTTCACAGTCCTGTCGATGAAGATGGTTTAAGCCCGGACACATTGCGAGTTACTGCTAGCTTGATTCTAGCATACCTTCTTTTGAAGTCTCGACATGGCCCAATTCTTCTCTATGAACCAGATAATTTACTTGCTGTGGCTGTCGAGCAAGCGCGTGGCCCTGAGCACACCATCTACTGCATCACTTCAAAGTGTAACCATATCGTCAATGGGTGGATCGCAGTCCACCCTTACGCATCGCGACGTATGGTTGAACGATTATTGCCGCGAGAAGTGTCCGCCTTTGTCGATTTTTCTGCTTCTGATAATCATGTAGTGACCGTACTTCGCAAGATATATTCTCAAACTCAGATCCAGCCGGCAGAACTATATCGTCGTGTGTTTCTTGAAAGTCCTGGCCAACTTATCGCGGATACCTATATTCGAGCATGTACCAGCCTGTCGACTCTTCCACTGGCAGTTACCCCTTCGGCGGAGGCCTCACCAAACAACCCCCTGGTCACTTATCCGAAATTGGTGGACTGGACAGGCTCTCCTCCAATACCGAGCCATGGTGAAATGCTCCGGACCGCAAACCTGTTCTCCCCGAGCGGAACCTACTGGATGATTGACATGGCAACCCCACTGGGATTGTCGATTCTGACATGGATGGCGAGCAACGGGGCACGGACGTTTGTTCTTTCCAGCTGGAATCCACACGTGCACGAGGCTTGGTTGGAGGAGATGTCTCGTCTAGGAGCTACTGTGAAACCCTTGAAGATGGATCCTCTCAACAAAAAGTCCATTTTGTCAGCTTTCACTCAAATCAAGCAGACTTTGCCACCTATTGTAGGTGTCTGCTATGCTCCCGTAGCTATATCCGACAAAGGGTTTGCGTTTACTGCCCATGATGAGGGTGGTCTTGTCACGAATGCTACGATCAATGCAGCAAAGTATCTCGACGAGCTATTCCCGACACCAACACTAAACTTCTTCGTGATTTTGACTTCTCTTGTCTCTGTTCTTGGAACTCCAAAGCAGGTAGCATATCATGCCTCAGCACAGTTTATGACTGGTCTCATTCACCAGCGTAGGTGGAAAGGCCTGGCAGGGTCCGTATTGGCCCTCGGTATGGTTGTCGATGCGGAATACTTTGTCAAGCAAGGCAGGGAGGTGATCCAGCGCATGATGCACCATGGATACGCGCCTCTATCTGAGTCCGATGTACATCATGCTTTTGGTGAAGCGGTAGCTGCTGGACCACCTGAGGCCGAGGGGAATCCGGAGATATTCTTTGGTCTACAAATGATCGATTCGCATATTGATCGGAGCGGAGAATTGTCGTGTCGCTCAAGCCACCTTCTTTCTCACTTCACCACCAAAGACTTTGAAGCCAAACCAGGACAAGATACTGAACAGGTAGATTCGTCATCACTCCGTCTTCCTAGCCAGGAGTCGGAGAAATTAGAGCCAAGACGAAGTACATATGACACGTTGCTCGCGCGTTTTTCGAACCGGGTCAAGTCAATTCTTCGGCTTCCCGATCAAACATTGGACCTCCACGCCCCACTTCTGGACCTAGGCTGTGATTCCCTTTTGGCTGTGGATCTTCAGATCTGGATGGTCAAGGAGTTCGATATCGAGATGACCCCCATGGGTGTACTCCTAGACACTGTCGCAGGGCTGTGCGAGAAAGCCGTCTGCCGGCCTGGCACTCCCGGCCCAGTGCCACAGGAGGAAGATTTACCTGCCAAAGAGAGTGATAACGTAGATCTTATGACAACTGCATCGAGCTCGGAACACAACAGCTCAGTTCAAGACCTGCCACTCGATACCAGTAATTCGGAGTCATCCTGTGTCCTATGTCCTTCTGACTCCGGCTTTGAACGGGAACAAGACGTCTTCGAATCAAGGTTCACACGACTTGAGAAGATGTCTCCACATCAGTCGCAGATCTGGTTCGCGGGCCACTGGATGAAGGACCCTACTCAGTATAACGTCGTTATCTCGTACAAAGCTCAGGGGAGCTTTCTAGTCGACAAGTTCAAAGGTGCCTTGGATAAGGCAGTCTCCCGGCACGAATCGCTACGGACTGCCTTCTTTTCAGACCCTAATAATGGTGACCTCGTTCAGGGTGTCCTAAAAACCCAACCACCTTTCTTTGAGCACGTAATGGCTGTAAGCGCCGCCTCTGTGGCACAGGAGTTTGACCGGCTGGCGTCTTACCAGTGGCGGCTGGATCTTGGTGAAGTCATCCGAGTTGCAGTGGTGTCTATTGGGCAGGACCAACACACCGTCATCTTTGGATACCATCACATTGTTATGGACGGGGCTAGTTGGTCTACCTTTCTACATGATTTAAGGCGTTTTTATGAGCAGAGCCCACCACATGAAGTTGCGCAATACGTTGACTATTCTCTGATGCTGAATCGTGACATCGATAATGGAGCCTTCGCAAAAGAGCTAGAGTACTGGAAGTCCGAGCTTTCACCACCGCCAGAAGTGATACCTGTCCTCCCTGTCGCCAAGGAGAAGACCCGTACGGCAACAAATAATTTCAAGATCCACAAAGTGACGCGGTATGTAAGCGTTGGAGTCGCAGACAGGATCAAAAAAGCTAGTCGCAGTCTTCGAGGCACACCCTTTCATTTCTACCTAGCAACATTGCAGGTCCTCCTCGCTGGACTGCTGAAGATCGAGAATCTCTGTATCGGAATGAGCGACGCCAATCGCAAACACCAGCAGTTCATCGGCACAGTTGGCTATTTTCTGAACATGTTGCCTCTGAGATTTCACGTCCAACAAACGGACAGCTTTGCCAATATATTCCAAAAGACATCTTCGAAGGTCCTGACCGCCTTGTCGCACTCCTCAATTCCCTCCAACTTGGTTGTGGACGCACTGAATCTCCCGCGCGTATTGAGTGTAACGCCTCTCTTCCAGGTTGCTATAAACTACCGCGTAGGGGAGATCACCAGGATGTCAGTGGACGACTTTGACCTCAATTACGATCGGAGTGTGATGGGCAATGCACCGTACGATGTCTCCTTCCATGTCACACCATGTGTGAACGGCACCTCTATTGTGGAAGTGAACTGTCGGGACTATTTGTACTCGCCCGAAGCCACGGAATCCATCATGGATGAGTATATCCGGCTGCTTGATCTCATGTCTTCTGATCCTTCACTTTCCGTTCGGAGCAGTCTTGCCCCATCCTCCTCTGTGAATGAGGACGGTCTCTCGATTCAACGTGGGCCGAGGATGTCTCATGGCTGGCCATCGACTTTGCCGGAGCGGTTCCAGGATATAACTGATCGATATGGAGATAAAGTCGCCGTTTCGGATCCCAGTGGTGATTTCAGCTATTTGCAACTGTACGCGCAAAGTACCCATATTGGGGAAGCTCTCCTCCATAGAGGAATCCGATCTGGAGACACAGTCGCAGTCTTGTGCCACCCGTCCATTAATTCGGTGGCGAGCATGTTAGCGGTTCTTCGCATCGGTGCGGTTTATGTGCCCCTCGACCTGAGCCTTCCTACTGCAAGGCACAAAGCTATGATCTTGGCTTCCCCTGTTACAGGACTAGTTTGCCTCTCCTCTACCGCTGGGAAAGCCTCAGAATTAGAAGTTTCAACCGTTATCAACATCTCCGAGATTCCCGACATTCAAACTCCATCCATACCTTTCACAAGCGGTTCAAAGGGTGACTGTTTGTCGATTTTACTCTACACAAGCGGCTCGACAGGCCAGCCTAAGGGCGTCCGTTTGCCCCAGAGGGGATTCATCAACTACCTTGCCGCCAAGAGGAAAGCGCTCGGCCTTGACAGCTCGACGGTCGTCCTGCAACAGAGCTCACTGGGATTCGACATGGGACTTGCACAGACTCTCAATGCTGTGATGAACGGAGGAAGGCTTGTCATCGTACCCCAGGAAGTACGTGGAGATTCAATTGAAATTGCAAGAATCATTCGCGACCACAAAGTAACTTTCACGCTAGCCACTCCGTCAGAATACCTCGTCATGCTTCAACATGGTCGTGAATATCTCAGCCATCACGCTGGATGGCGCCACGCCTGTCTAGGTGGTGAGCCTTTCACGGACCAGCTCAAGCGAGAGTTTGCGCGGCTGGGAAAGAATTGTCCTATGGTGCAGGACTCCTACGGTGTGACCGAGATTTCCGCATGTACAACCTTCGAGACGATGTCTGCCTCGCAGCTCGAAGGGGCACGGAGCGTTGGAAGAACAATTCCAAACACTTCTCTGTACATCGTGGACGCGGAATGCAACCTTGTTGCCATTGGAGAGCCTGGGGAAATCTGTATCAGTGGCACTGGTGTTGCATTGGGGTACCTGAATGAGGAGCAGACAAGGTTGAAATTCGTGGAAGATCCATTTGCTCTTCCAGCTGATGTGGCCAGAGGATGGACTCGAATGTACCGTACCGGCGACAAAGCCAAACTACTTAAGGATGGCTCTCTGGTCCTCCTGGGCCGAATGGATGGGGACACAGAGATCAAGCTTCGAGGACTTCGTATAGATCTCGAAGACGTGGCTTCTACTATGCTAAACTGCCACCCGAATCTGCTCTCATCGGCCATCGTGTGTGTCAAAGACCAGGGTGTTTCAGAGATCCTCGTCGCCTTTGTGGCCCTGATGCCGGGACAGACTGCTACCGACGTCGAGCTGCAATACCTCGCCAGTAATCTCCCTTTACCACAGTATATGCGCCCTTCCACAGTGATTTGCCTAGACGAATTACCCCGAAACTCGAATGGAAAGATTGATCGGAAAAAGATAGATGGCATGCCATGGGTGGCGCCAGCTACCACGGGTCAACCATCGAAACGGCTTACGTTGGGCGAGGGTGAGCTTAAGCTTCTTTGGCAGGTTTTGCTGCCTGGTAAGCACATCCAACCGGAGTCTGACTTTTTTCTTCTCGGTGGAAATTCCACGTTGCTGGTCAGGTTACAAGGCGCAATTCGCACCTCCATTGGCATCTCACTGACCCTCCGGGAACTGTATGGCGCCTGCACGCTGGCACAGATGGCGCTCAAGGTTGACGCTCGAAAAGCTGACGCACCATCAATGTCGATCAATTGGCTCGCAGAAACATCAATACCGCAAAATATCCTCGATTGTGCCCCCTCAACGCCGAAAGGCTTGCTACCTAAACGTCACAAAAGATCGGGTTGGCAGATCCTCCTTACTGGCTCGACAAGCTTCCTTGGGAGAGTCCTGGTGCAGGTTCTCCTCCAGGTGCACAAAGTGGACAGAGTGCATTGTATTGCCGTGGAAAAGGAGCAAGAGCACGTCCTTCCCAGTAGCGAAAAGGTATCGCTCTACTATGGAACCCTTCTCGATCCAATGCTCGGTCTTTCTACCCCGGAATGGGCGTCCCTGCAGTGCTGTATCGATGTTGTGATCCATGGTGGCTCGAACGGCCACTGTCTTAACACCTACAACTCCTTGAAAGCACCGAACCTGGGCTCAACCCATCGCCTCGCCCAATTTGCCCTGCAGTCACACATCCCCTTGCACTATATCTCTTCCGGGAGGGTCATACTGCAGTCCGGACAGACTTCCCTCGGGCCTACGTCACTGTCTTTTCACCCTCCTCCGCTCGACGGGTCTGACGGTCTCACGGCCACGAAATGGGCAAGCGAGGTCTTCCTCGAGCGTTTCGCCGCGCAAACCGGTGTGAGTATTAGTATCCACCGTCCCTGCACACCGATCGGCGATCAAGCTCCAGCCCAGGACGCACTAAACTCTCTCCTACGCTACTCTGTCATTCTCGGTGCGACACCTCGCCTTACCAGAATGGAAGGATACTTGGACTTTCAGAAGGTCGAGATCATTGCGGATGAGATCTCCACACTAGTGATGTCTAGGCTCACCACGCATTCGAATGCACCATCATCTCGAACATCCGAAGTGTGCTTTTTCCACCACTCAAGCAATATCCAGGTGCCCGTGAAGAACTTCAAAGAGTATATGGAGAAAGTGCACAGTCGGCCGTTCCAAGAAATGAGTTTGCAAGAATGGAGCTCTCTGGCATTGGACCAGGGGATTGAGCCATTAATTCCTAGCTTCTTGGAGGCCGTGGACGATAACGAGGAAACTCTGCGATACCCTTATTTGGGTCAATAATCATCCGCTATCGGTCTTTAGAGTAATATCTGGTGTGGGAATCAACTCTACGTGTCAGATGCTATGAAATCTGTACTATTAAAGTCCAAGTAAATGGAGATGAATTTGTAGGGGAAATACATGGCACTAAGTGTGACGTCCATGGTAACGCTGCTCCATGGCAACAAGATTTACAATCCCCCGGAGAGCAGGAGAGGATCTGGGGTTAGCCTGGGAAAGGCTAAGAATGGCAGAGAACTCTTGTAGCTCAAAGGCTGGCCGGGAAAAGGGGTTCTCACTTCACATACGGGCACACAGACCGATCAGCGCTGTGATCACAGCTATGCCTACAGAATTAGTACTCTGCGGAAGCGAAGGATGGAGATGCAGGGAAATTGCCACAATATTGTCAGAATACGGGAAGAGCTAAAAATAAGCGATGTCTTCTAACATTGCTGCACGCTTTAATCCACGAATGGTAGGGCTTTGAGCCACTCCCTACATTCTTCATCATCCCTGGCTCCACGGTCCAAGAACCTTTTCACGCCTTCATCTAGAGCTCTGCTAGACTTTTCATAATCTATGTCCCTAAACCTACCATCTCAATGTTTAAAAACAGCCAGTGTCGCCCACCAATACATCCATGAGCTCAACCCCTTGGGCCCATAGCGCGCCATCCTGATCCTGCTGCTGGATTTCTTCGTCCGAGAACTGTAATGGGAACGGCGTACCAGGAGAGCTGCCATGCCTCCCCACGCCCACAATACATGCCCATTCTTCTGGACATCTCTTACCAGGCTGTTGTGAAGCGGCTTGTAGTCCATCAAGACTAATCCCGGAACGACTCTGACTTGGTGCCGGAGAGTATTCTGGTTCTGTATCACTTGAAAGATGGTTTCGCTGACCTGAAGACACCGAACCAAGTAGAGGTTGTGCAGCGTCTGTGCTCTATGGAGTGCCTTTGCCTTCCGCTGTTCATCTAGATCTATGGAGTCAAAGTTTGGTGGTAAAGGGACCTTCCCCAAATCTTCAGGAACTGGGCCATTGTAATCGAGAAACGCCGGGCGCCCAACCTGCATAAACAGCGGCCAAGCACTGACAGATTGCCAATCAGTAATTCCCACAATACAGCTTGGGCTCCATAGAACAGCCCTTCGGGCATTAAGGGATACCGGAGACCTGCCTTTGCAGTTGCAATTTCCCTCCGCGCAATCGCCGTCATAACTTGTGTGACTGTTGACCCTAAAGGTCGTGCAAGGATAAGCACAGAATAATAGTATCATACCAGTTTGGTGACGAACTTACATGGACCGCGGTCAATATTCAGCGCGCCTCTCCCGAAGTCAAAGAAAGAACGGTGGTTAATCGGTCCAATGCCATACGTTTTGCTCCGCACTTCGTTCCCAATTGAATCAAAATATAGAGCCGACGTAGAATCGGAGTTGTCGGGAAGGTCGTCTTGATAGTGCAAGGACCCGAACTTACAGAATCTTGTAGCTGCGAGGCGCCTTTCAATATCAACAACTTGATCCAGGATTTGGACTTTCTGCTTTTCTTTAATGATGTCCCATACGTCGGTTAGTAACACGCCGGCCTGCTTCTCCATGAGGATATATTCTGCGCCGAGGGGGTTCTCTGATGCTCGAGAACTCCACGCGTACACTCTCGGAACAGGAAGGCTCGGAGCATTCCTCAACTAGCAAGTTGAGTACCGACATCCAAAAAGAAATCGTAATACAAAAGAAAACCTGCCGTACAAAGTCCATAGTTGCAACCTCACTGGCGGTCGTGAAGTGTGGTCTGCCTGCATTGGGATTTGGAAGCATCGCAATGACCATGCGTCCATCGTCCATGGTAAGCTGGAATACTTTGTTATATTGGCCCTCCGAGATCTTTAACACTTGGGTGCATGATCTCGATCCGACCGCCGAGGCAGCGAGTTGTAGAAGGGTTGAAAGATCGAATGTAACATAGCGACAGGCAAGTTGCTGCCCGCTCGTTCCAAAGCCAACGACCTGACGTAAACCGATTGAGCGCCACAAGGCCATGCCTTGAATCTGCGATACCCTCGGTCTCATTCATGTTAAACTTGCTGGAAGAAAAGGGAGCTCCTGGGAGTGTATCGTGAGGGCTACCACGGCGGAAAGGGGTGACCCTTGGACTTCTTCCCAGCAAGCAGCCTCGGAGGGCCTTCATATCCAGTGATTGAGAAAGGTGGGGAGATCTATCATCTCGTTGTTATTCAGCAAGAGCGTGTCGTGACTCGTGCTCGTGAAACACGGTTGAAGTTGCGGCCTTCGTGGCAGTCGGCGCCGTCTCAAACTACCAGCGCTAGCCCTGGTTAGCCATCCAGCGCGCAAGCCAGCCACCAGTCCCAAGTTATGAACTTGCGAACGACTCGATTGACGACTGAGTATATGAGATGTTCCCAGTAGGTATGAGCTTATGTACTTAAACATGCGCTCTCATGTGTGAACTTGATCTGCCGGATCTGAGGTTTTGCCTTCCGGTGTGGTTGTGATATATATATATTTGCACGGTTTCCCATGGTATAGTTCTCTTGATCGTATCGACGAGTTATCTTCATTCTGTGCTGTTGATTCTGTTACCTTGGATCCTATTGATTGTCTGTCGTTTCCTTTACTACTCCATATGATTCCATGTTTCCTACATATGGTCTATCTCTGTACTGCTTACCCTTATACACGAGACGATGGCAGATGAGGTGCCAAGAACGGCCCAAAGTGACGCTATTTTCATGGCCAGGCCTCCCGCCACTCACGCAGAGTGTTTTGTCCACGCACTCCCCCACCGCGACTACGTTTCCGTCGTGATTGCTGGCCTTCATAGCACACATGAAGACTTACTATCCAGGTGTCTTACTTTCTTTTTTTCTTGTTCCAGTAATGCTAATTTGACAAGCGGCAAGCCGTGTCCATTCCTTCAGTCTCCTCGGGGGATGGCGTCAACGTTTACCTAAGATGAGATGTCGCAGAATAGATGTGGATCGATGGCTATACATCCAAAGTGGTGCGTGCACATAAAAATACGAAACATTGACCGACCAAGGGGACGTTAATAGCAGATAAAGAGTGCATCCTACTGGTACGCGGGCATACAGCCATCGATATCGTATAGATGATGGGATTCATCGCAGTCTATGAGCTTCACCAACTTGCGGGAAGGTCCACTCTCAATCATATACAAACCATTTTCTCCATTTCACTTGAGGAGAAGATGGTAGCTTTTCACCAACCGTTCACCACCGTCCCCCGAATCCAACCGTGCACGATCACTAGAACCTGGACCGAACTAATACTTTCCTTTCTCACCATCGGTCCACTTCAGCATCCTCAACCAGATGAACGCCGCGGCGCCGGCCGTCACCATGACCGCGCTGAACAGCTCTGCCTTCCAAAACACGCCCTTCTCCACATCTAGCAGCGCCCCGGCAATGGGGTTCCCAATCAACAGTCCCAATCCCGCAAACGTGAAGCACATGCCCATTCGCGTCCCGACGACATTCATATTCGGACTCAGACGCGCCACAATCGTCGGGGGCAACGAGACAATCGCCCCCGAGAAAAACCCATACAGACACGCAAACACGATCGTCCCCCCGATGTTCTTGATCCCGATCCAGGCGTACGCGAGGATGGCCGCACTCAGGCCCATGGGGATGATGGTGTTGAGGGAGCCAATGCGGTCGGCCACCAGCCCGGGGGTAATCCGACCGAACACAGACGTGGCGTTGAGGATGGCGATGATGTAAAAGGCCAGGTCGTCGGTGGAGTGGACGACGCTGGACATGTAGGTGGGGAGATAGAAGAACGGGAAGTACAGGCCGACGAAGGCGAAGAACAGACCGAAGCTGAAGATGAGGAAGGGGGCTTCCTGGAAGGCGGACAGGTCCAGGAGGGATCGGGTTTGCTTGGGAGGGGGGAGTCGCAGGCGCATCACCGCCAGCGAGACGCACAGCCCACCGAGGGCGATGAAGCCGATGATCCGGGTGGTCCAGCCGAAGCCGAGGGGACCGAGGAGTTTGTGGAAGATGATGGGGTATATCACGGATCCTCGTATCGGTGTCAGTCCGTGCCGTTCAGAGAGGGCGGAGGGTGAGGGACATACCAATGCTACCTCCCGACGCCGTGATGCCCGTCGCCACGGCTCGCCGCGTCGTAAAGTATGTGGCCACGATGGCGATACTGGGCAGGAAGAGAAAGGCGCAGCCGATCCCGACAGCAATTCCATGGGCCAGAAAGATTTGGTAGTACTTGGTGGACAGGGAAGTCATCATCAGACCGAACACGACCAGGAATGAGCCCAGAGCGATCATGGTCTTGAGGTACCCCTTGTCAAAAAAGGGACCCGCAACGACTCCAACCAGGAACAAGAGAAAGCCCTGGACAGTGCCAATCCAGGAGATGGACGAGGGAGAATGACCCCGCAACAGATCGGTTTCATAGTAGGTCTGGTACACGCCAAAGGTGTTCACCACGCCCCTAGAAGATCGGTGATTGAGCACAAGAATCCGACGGGAATATGGCCAGGTCTTACCAGGAGTTGAAGAAGAGGAAAAAGGCCCCGACCACTTGGAGCCATGCTACCAGCCCTCCATTGGGAGGCGGCGGAGGCGCCGGTGTCTCCTGCACTGGGATGACCTTCTCATGATCGACCTCAACAGGGAGCGTGGAGGGAGGAGACGACCCTCCACTATGATTATCCGGAGTAACAGTCATGATGAGGTGGGAAATGAATCCTTAACGGAGGAAGAGAAAGGCACGCCAACGCTAGTTTCAGAGAGTCATTTCCTTCGAAGGGACAACCCCAGCAGCCCTCTATATGCTTCGCCAACGAACACAAGGAGTGCCAGTGTGATACAACCAGCGACGTGATTAATAATGTAATGGTGCGATCTGCCGGTTACTGGGCGCTACTGCGGAATGATGCGATAATACTCGTGTATTATTATCGAGCTTCTATTTATTTCCATGCAGGCATGCAGCTCGTATTCCCCAGGCCCCTGCGTGAGATTGGCTCACAGGCGACGCCTTCACTCGTGTTCGGCCCGCTCGATCAGGCTAAGATGCAACCCAAGCAAGATCCGGCCAAGTCGGCGCCACCCGCAGGGTTAAGATCCTGCGCAATCCTTCGCGCGCTGGTCGTTCAATCATTCTCCCCGGTGGCTGCACAGGTGCCTTGACCAGTCCGTCAACACCCGGGGAGAAATCCTGCAGGCATCTTCCTAACGGGGCTATCGTGGATTTCCGTTACTGTACCGTTGACATAATCCGGCGCCGGAAATGAGAACCACGGCAGATGCCAGAGACTACGCGCCAAGGCTCAGCCACAGCCAGCCTGGGTTAGGTATGCTGATCCTCGAGTTCACCAGGAATGTGCGACCCATCGGCTGGCGGGGGAAGATCTATGCGGGTGAGGTCCAGCCCTGAATCGTTTCCCTGTGGGGTGTGGCCCATACCGAGTGGCCGTGATGCATGAGTCGTGCGGTGATGTCGCTCCGCACGTGTTGCTCTGTAAGGAGATGGGAACCAGCTGCCTCACTCGCCCTGAGGATCGGAGGGGAAACCACTAATCACCTCGATATTGGGTCGTATATTAAGACGTGAGTGGGCGAATCATCCAAACACACTGCAGTGGGTCGGCAAGCTGCTCGACAATTGCGGCAAAGGCTTGTTAAGGCTTAGCGGTAGGTCGTGTCGCTATGGCCTCCGCGCCGATCACATCGGCCCGGTCGACGGGAGTTGTATGATCCCTCTGATGCACGATGCATCAACAGTCGAGGATAATCCGCTCACAAGCAGAAGACATCGCAAAGCAGGGAACACTGGACCAACCGTAGCTGGAAATTCTGTCGATGTGGTCAATAGTTACAACAACACTACTGAAAATAGACCAGCAGATGCCATCCATAAGTGTATAACGTGCATTCATCTAGCTTCAACGATAAAACGATTGGACATGTTTCGCCCCAACTACTGTTCAAATACGAGGATCTTCTTGTGTTCACCTACATCCCCCCTCTCATGACGCTCGAGCACCTCCTGCAACGTGCGTTCGAGACCCTCGTCGCCGCGCTTCCACCGAACATACTCCAGGGCCGGCGCCTTCAGCGTCCCGTCCTTGAACAATCGCCCAAACCATTCCATTAGCGCCGTCTGTTGAGACGAGGATCGTCGGCCTAGACAATCGCTCAACCGAAAGGCCTTGAGCGTGATATTGCGCTGCCACAAGAACTGCCGCAGGCTGCCATCCGTGCCCGACGGCGCTACTCCCAGGAAGCCAGCAGTGACTAGCGTGGCCCCAGGAGCTAGAACGGATGCCATCAACCGCGCGAGGGCGTCATCGGACACAAAGTCGATCGCGAGATTGATCCGCTTGCCGGCAAGCAGCTCCGGGCCGGTGGCTTGAAGTTCGTCAACGGTCAGGACAATAGATGCGCCATGCGACCGCAGCGACCGTTTCGTGCGCTCGAGCTCATCCGCGGTGCCGCGACGGCGAATCACGCTGATGACGTTGGCCCCCTGCAGGTGCGCGAGTTGACTCACGAAATGGGTCACCGTGCCTGTCGCCGCGTTCTGGATGATCCAGTCGCCGGGCTCGATGGTGGCATAATCCCGCAGCAAGAAGTAGGCAGGTGCGACGCCCATGCGGAGGATGCAGGCGAGTCGAGGATCCACCACCGAGGGAACGCACAGTACATCGTTCTCGTCCAAGACGGCGTGCGTTCGCCAGGACCCTTGGCAATGGGTCCGGATGATGACCGTATCCCCGATGCGGACCTGGGTCACTGCGGACCCTGTCTGGACGATGCGGCTGCGCCATCGGAGCCAGGAATGGGCCGTTGCTCGCCGTTGGCGAGAGTAACATTGTTTTGTGGCTTCACAGGGTACTTGCCATGTAGCACAAGAAAGTCCAAAGGATTGACGGGGGCGGCAAGCAACTCCACGATCACCTGGCTAGGACCGCAGTCGGTAGGCGTGGGAATCGAATGAAGACGGATCTCTTTCAGGGGTTCCGTAGCACCGTGGGCAAAGACGAGAGATTCGGCCATGATGTAACGTGAATAAACGATAGAACTTGGCCCTTAGAGTTGATTGGCTGTAAAAGCGAAGTCGATGGTGATGCTAGCCGATGTCGAGTGTTTGAAAGGCCATTTATAGCCAATTTCGACACACAGATCCTGTCGGAACCATCATCCTCGAAGCCTGGACTTGGGCGAGACTCTCAGAATTTTTTCCGAATTACTAGTCGCCGTAGGATCAGAGTCTCCCGGTTTAGCGCTGCGCCACGTCTTCACCTAGAGAAACCAAGCATATTCCTCTTGTGCGAAGGGATCAGATCCCGCCTTAGGGCGAGCTTGTCCAAACCTTGCATAAATCGTATTGACCTCGCATTATCCGTACTGTTTCTAGTTTAGTGAACGGCAATGGGAGAGGCAAAACCCCACTACACATGGCTGCAGGACGTTCTCTCGGTGGCGCGTTCGTGTCTGCAGGCACCGCAGATCGAATACGAGGCTACCCTGCAAGCCACCAGATGCACGTAAGACGATGGCTCACAGCAAGCGTGATACTATGCCACATGGGTGGAAACGTGACAATGCACCCCTTGCGCAATTTCTGCAGGCTGACTTTATCCCTTCATCCGCGGTCGAATCTACCATGGAACTTTCATGACTCCGTTCCGGTGCACAACTTCCTAGGCCTGCTTTATTGTGGAAGATGAGGCTATTCCCTGATAGGCTATGTGTCAGTGACTTCACCAAGGATCGGGATCCTGAAGAGTCTGCATGGTACGTGCGAGATATCGTCATCGGCAGTATGTCGGTTCACGGAGCCACTCTGGAATCCGACAGGTATGCAATTCTATACGAGGATGAACAATGCAATGCCATTGATCTGCTCAGATGTAACTAAAAATTCCGCGAGCTTCTCGTATTCCTCCCTCGTGCTTGAGGCAGGGACGGCGGAATGTCGGAGAGCAACCACCCCGGCCAGCATATGCAGACACCACGACGCTCTGGTGCGATGCAGCCATCCATTGCATAATGTGTTCGAGGAGAAGTCGTACATGTACATTTTTACAATTTATGGCTAGCAAGGTAATCCTTAGCCGAGGGTGGAGTCTCCCCGCGCTCCTCGCGCTGATTGCTGCACAAACGAGTGAATGTCGAGTTTCATGATCGAAGGGCGAAGACACGGACTTGTCCGCATTCTGGGAAAGGGTCAGCAGGAAAGAGGCTCACTGTAGGCATCAATCTTGGATTCGGCCCCGAAGATGCTGTTGCTACCGGAGATGGCGTTTGACGAAGTTTGAATTGGGATTTTCATGGAGCCTTCTTGGGAACTAGACATAAATAGCTTCGTATAACCCTCCAAACGATCATGGAAATCCAGAAAAGGCCAGATGAAGAAGTATCACTAGAACGTATCATTCATACAATCGTTTTTCCTTTCTTGGTGACATTGCCACGCTGTCAAAATGGCTCCTGTTGCTCTTCGAGATGTTGTGGAAAGCCCTGAGCTGCAGGGCTCCCAGATCGTCTCAACCAAAGCTCGCTCATACCCTCTTCTTACCCCTCCATCCCCTCCCTGCCTCGTTACAGACTATATCAGATACCAAGTCGAGTCACACCCTGAGGCCCCCGCGGTCCAATGCGAGCGAGAGCAGCCCTACAGTTATGCCCAACTTTGGGAGCTCGTCGCGCACATTGCAGCAGTGGCTCAATTCCGCCCTGGTTGCATAATACCCCTGTGTATGGACCTGTCAGTCGAGTTTGTCGCTACGGTGTTGGCCATCCTCTGGTCCGGAGCTGCGTATGTCATTCTCGACCCGGAAGGCTCTGCGCAACGGAACCGTATCATTACGACGGATTGCGGCACCGAGGCTGTTGTCGTCCATGAAAAGTATGCTTCTCTGTTTGATAACAGTATCACCATCGAGAGCATCCAATCGAGTACACGGGCCCATGTGCAACATGACCTTCCTTCGATTAGTCCATCCGACCTGGCCTACCTGATCTATACATCAGGCTCAACCGGCATCCCCAAGGGCGTGCTTCTCAGCCATCGTGCTGTCTCCCATGGCATTGACCAATTCCAGCTCAATGGTCGCAACCGATGGCTGCTCTTTTACAACCCTATCTTCTCCGCAGCTCAAAGAACAATTCTTGCTACCCTGGCCAAGGGTGCCTGTCTTTGCCTCGCCAGAAGGGATCGACTCGCGACTGCTTTACCCGAAGTGTTGACGAACCTTCAGATCGACGCCTTAGGTATCACTCCCTCCGCCCTCGCCTTGTTGTCTCCAGACGAGACACCCAACTCCCTCCAACAGATCACCACCGTTGGCGAGCCCCTCAGCCAGGCCCTTGTCGACACCTGGGCAGACAAAGTTCATCTGCGGGTGTCGTATGGACTGAGCGAGTGTGCTCAACTGAACTTCTCCCGTCAACTCAAAACAGGTGATAACCCCCGCAACCCTGGTCTCCCAACAGACACTACCACGGCCATTGTCCTGGAGCCCGGCACCATGAAGGCTCTTCCGCCCAATGAGCCAGGCGAGCTCTGTTTATATGGTCCTCAGATTGCACATGGCTACCACCAACGCCAGAAGGAAACCCAAGCTGCCTTTGTCAAGGCACCAGAGGGCAAGCCCGGCACGATGATGTTTCGCACTGGCGATTTGGCCGCCAAGCGTGCGGATGGAACCTTTGAAATCCTGGGTCGTATTGATCACCAGGTTAAAATCCATGGCCAGAGAGTGGAGCCTGAGGAAGTGGCTGCTAAACTGGCCTCGGTAGCGGGGGCGGTCCGCTTAGTCTGTGTGGGATGTTACATCAACGGCCGCATGTCGCTTGTGGCTGCTGTTATCCCTTCACCCGAGTCGGACTGGGGCAGGCTCGTGCAGGATCTGCGCAATCATGCGCGCCAGTCCTTCCCACCGTATATGGTTCCCAGCTATTGGCTGTCGTGCACTGAATTGCCCGTCAACCAAAACGGAAAGGTGGATTTCCGAGCCATTCAGCAACTTGCTCAATGCACAGAGGTCAGCCAGATGTTAGGCCATGGCGCTTCACCGGGAAGTGGCACGGCGACTCGCATGAGTGAGCTTGCCTCGGAGATTGCACAGGTTTGGGCAGGCGTGCTGAATATGCCCGCATCCTCTATCATACCTACAGATTCGTTCGTGGCATTGGGAGGAACTTCCATTGATGCGATTCGAGCGGTTCGAGAGCTGAAGCAACGCGGGATTCATGTCGAGTTGGCGGACATGCTTCAAGCACAGACAGTCGAGGAAACTGCCGATACTGCCCAGATAGACTCGACTATAACTCGAGTTAGCCATGAGTCGTCTGAGCCTTTTGCATACATCTTCGATCCAGTGTTGAAGGGAAGCCTCCTCGCCGACCGCCATGTTGTCGATGCCTATCCTGTCACAGCGCTGCAAGAAGGCATCCTGGCCAGCACGCTCCAGGGGAACCAAGACTATCTCTACCAACGCATCTTTGACATTCGTCATCTCGACCCCGTAAGGTTACAGTTGGCTTTCCAAGTCATCTTCTGGCGCACCGGACTGCTTAAATCTACATTCGTCACCGCCGCCAAGGGTTTCGTTCAGGTCTTCCGTAATGACTTCAATCTACCTTGGTCGGAAGTCTCCATGGGTCTGGCAGAATATCTCGATCAGGACAAGCAGAGAGGCGTCGCTTTAGCAGAGCCATTCATGCGTGTTGCTGTCCTAGACGGAAGCATTCTCGTCGTCTCAGTTCATCATGCACTTTTCGACTTCTGGTCACACAGGTTCCTTTTCGATGATGTCGCTAGTGTGTACTACGGTCGTCGTCCCGAGAAGCGCCCAGAGTGGAAGTCTTTCGTAGCGCTTCTGCACGCACGAGACACTAAGCCGTCCCAGGACTTCTGGAGAGAGCACCTCAGCGAGGCGGTTCCAACAATTCTCAATTATGCTCCCGTGCAAACAACAACTTCGGTCAGGCGCATTGTTAGCCAGGAGGTCAAGGGTGCATCATCAGCTTTGCGTGCGCCTTTGAGTGCAATCATCCATGCAGCCTGGGCTCTCGTTCTCTCATCCCACATCGCTTCAAAGTCCGTCACAATGGCAACTGCTGTTTCCGGTCGCGAGTTACCTGTTCTCGGTGTTGAAGCCATGAATGGACCCACGCTGGCTGTCATTCCCTATGCGGTCGCAATTGATCCGGAGCTGACACTTCAGCAGTTAGTGCAGTCCGTCAACACCAGTCTCTGGAAGGCCATCAAGCACTCCCAGTTCGGAGTACGGAATGCCCTGGCTGCTGCTGAGCGCCAGAACACTAGTCTTTTCGACACCATGGTCAATATCCTCGCCAGCGACACGGCTAAGAATGATATTTCCAAGGAGGTGTTCCAGCTCTATGGTCCACGACCAGTATGGAGAACTGAGTACACAACATTGAATGTTGAGGAGGGAGTTGCAGGTCTGGACATTACGCTCACATCGCCAATGGACGCACGTCGTTTGGAGTTTATCCTCGATCAGTTGTGCATGGCGTTGGAGGCCATTGCATCCAATCCGCGACAGACCGTCAACGAAACAAATCTGGTCAGCGAGACAGAACTACAACTCATGCTCCAGTCACATAACGCCTTGCCTGACGCGAGTCACACGTTGCACGGCCAATTCGAAGGCACGGTCCGTCGGTACTCTGATCGGGTTGCCATCAACTACCAGAATGAGCTGTTCCTTACGTACGATGAGCTGAACACTCAGGCAAATCGCATGGCAAACTATCTTTCCGAGCGCGGGGTTGTGCCGGGTGACATTGTTCCTCTTCTCTTGGAGAAATCGCCACTGATGATCAAGACTATTCTCGCATTGTTCAAGCTCGGCGCTGCCTATGTGCCTTTGAGCCCTGAGAATCCTTTGGAAAGGAACGCGTACATCGCTCGCGACGTCAGCGCCAAGTTCGTCCTCACGGAGAAGGAATACGAGTCGTATTTCGCCTCGGAAAGTGACATTCCTTGCATCCTCGTGGATCAGGCCAGACTCCGCGCGTATTGTCCCGAGCCACAACACATCATTGTCTCTCCGGATGCCCTTGCCTACCTACTCTACACCTCGGGAAGTACCGGTCTTCCAAAGGGTGTCATGGTCACACATGGCGCCTGTGCAGCTGCCATGCAATCGATTATCGAATTCGAGCATCGACAGGGCCAGGAATCAAGGATGCTGCAGTTCTCTAACTACGTCTTTGATGTCTCGCTGTATGACTTCTTCGTATCACTGCACAGCGGCGGGACTCTGTGCCTTGCCCCCTCAGACCGCCTGTTGAACAACCTGGCCGAGGTTATCAACGAGATGAACGTCAACCATGTTTTCCTGACTCCCACTGTGGCTCGTCTGATGAGTCCAAACGATGTCCCGAATCTGGAATCCATGACTGTTGGCGGTGAGCAGCTAACCCGTGACGTGGTGACAACGTGGGCATCTCGCGTGAAACTTCGCAATGGCTATGGTCCCACCGAGGCCTCTGTCTTGGTGACGATGAAGGACGTCGATGCTGACACAATCGGAGGTAATATTGGCAAGCCCCTCGCGTCTGTGGGTTCCATCATCCTGGAAGCAGATGGTGTTCGCCCACTCCCTTACGGTGCTGTCGGAGAGCTCTGCTTCTATGGGCCACAGCTTGCGCAGGGGTATTTCAAGAAACCTGATATTACCAGTGCCGCATTTATCGAGAGTGACGTGCTCAAGGGGCAACGCTTATACCGAAGTGGTGACTTGGCCCGGTATCTGCCCAGTGGAGATATTGAGTGTTTGGGCCGCAAAGACGACCAGGTCAAAATTAACGGACATCGAATTGAACTGGGGGAGATCGAACAGGCGTTCTTAAGAACGGGTGAGGTTAAGGACTGTGTGTTGGCCGTCTGGAAGCAGAACAGCACCGCCCATCTTGCTGCGATGACCGTTTTCGATGGCGCTGTGGCTGAAAAACCGGGCGAGATTCTTCCACTAGAAGGCTTTGTTGAGAATGTGCAGCGTCTTCGAGCTAAGCTCACTGGGCTGACTCCATACATGATTCCAAAGGCAATTGTCCCTCTATCATCGCTACCAAGACTGCCCTCCGGCAAGGCCAACCGCAAGCAGCTCAAGGCGTTGCTGCAGTCACTGAGCCAGGGTGAACTGACTAAGCTTTCTTTTGACAAGGTCGGCCATTCGCAGTCAAAGGGTGCAGTTATCCCCTTAGTATCTCAGACACAAAGGCTAATGCAACAAGCATGGATTGACACCCTACAGCTTCCCGATGACCAATTTGGTTTGGAAGCCGACTTCCTCAGCCTCGGCGGGGATTCTATTGCGGCCATCAATCTCGTCAGCCACCTTCGCCGCAAGCAGCTCAAGATCTCTGTGCGGGATGTGCTCAAATACCCTGCCCTTGGGGCTATGGCTGACCAGCTGAAGGGCGAGTCGGATGATGCACAGCAAATTAAACAGCAGACGTTCACTTCTCCGTCGGAGGTTGATGCTGCGATATCTGCCACTGGTCTGCAGCCGACTGAATATGAGTACATCTATCCTTGCCCTCCAGGACAGGCCGAGTTCCTGACCCAAGGTGCTCACCCCGAGGCACTGTGGAGCCTGATGACAGTCCGAAAGGTCGGCACCGACTTTGACCCAAGACAGTGGATTGATCTAGTTCGACAGCTCACAGCGACCAATGACATTCTGCGCACGACCTTTACTCGCTGTCACGGAAAGTGGTATGGTGTTGTGCTCCGTGATGCCACCCCCGTGGTCGAGATCTATGAAAATGTCAGCGATGAGGAGCAGAGAATCCAAATCATTAAGTCTCTTGACCATCATCGCTTTGCGTTTGGCCAACCGTTTATTCGCTACGCCATTCTCCGCTTGTCGACGGGTGAGACAGAAATCGTCACGAAGCTTGACCATGGCCTATACGACGGAACGCTTCTTCGCATCTTTGGCGAACACTTTGAGGCTTACCAACGTAATGCGGCCTTGGAACGCTTCACCTCCTTCAAAGAATTTGCAATCCACATTTGGCAGATGGACAAGTCCCGCACGCTGTCGTTCTGGAAGGAATCCGCGAAACGCCCCATTGCCTTCGAATTTCCCAGCGGCAGTGCCAACGAGCCACGCATCAACTCCGTCCATGTACATACCATCAACCTTGAATTTGATGCATTCGCCAAGTCCACCGGTGCCACTGTCTCCATCATCTTCCAGTCGATCTTCCAGCTCTGGCTGGCGCTGCGCAGCAACCAACGCGACGTGGCCTTCGATTACCTCTACACAGGGCGCAACATTGATCTTGCTGACCCTCAAACCATCAACGGTACCTGTGCAAACTTCCTTCCCCTGCGGTCGGGGGTTGATCCGTCTATGCCCGTGTCCGAATTCCTTCGTCAGACCCAGGATGAATTCTGGCAGTACACCGAGAATAGCACAGTGGGGATGGACGAGATTCACGAAGCCTGTGAAACTACACGGGAAGGATTCTCCAATAAGGCCCTCTTCCTCTTCCAGCCATTTGAACCGGTCATTGCGACAGAGAAGCAGTATCAGAAGTGGATTGTTATGGCCAAGTCCCAGGTGACAATGCCACAACCATACGCCGTAGTATTTGAGGTGGTGAAAACCGCGGATGTGAATGAGTACAAGCTGAAGTTTGCGTTTGACCAGCGTGTTTATGCGAAGGAACAAGTCCAACATGAGACGCAGGTGATTGAGAAGATGTTGGCGAAGGTTATGGAGGATGCAGAGGCGTCTGTCGGTGATGTTTTGGCATCCCTGCGGTCTTAACTTGTCTCCATTGAGTATCTGGAAAATCAAAATTATTCCTCTCCCATTTTCTGGTATAGCGTACGTGGAATGGCCTTGGCTGCTTTGACTTTGTAGAGCCACCAGTAAGAGCAGCTTGTCGATACAGCTAGATGAAGATCGTGCCGCTGCTACTAGTACTCGTAGTAGTAGTAGACCACGGGAGTAGCGGGACTCGGCGAAAGGTTGACCCACTGCGGACTTGGTCGGAGTTTTGCTCGTCAAGGTTGCGACCGCCGGGTGTTATTGGGTGCGGGTGGACTTCGTCGGTGATTTTCTCGGCCGACTTGCCGACATCTGATCTTCCGCCCCACCATCACAATCTATACGACAGCGTCTACTCCGTACAGTCCCGGAGCACTGCTCGTAGTACTACAGTGAAGGGTTCCCCGCCCCGTGCAGCACCGCCACGTTTTCTGGGTATCTGTTGCATAGAGGAGTAGCTGGGAGCGAACCCAGCGAATAATATTGGACAATGGCGAACCTTCAATTTGCGATGGCTTACCCATTGTGGATGCTGACCATGTTGGCTCGTCTACCGGATATCTCTCAACGCAACCCGTCCCAGAAGTCAGAAGACATCTTTGAGTACTCATTGCGCGCGCTCTACCAATACGGTCCCGTTGTGGCAGTGTCGAAGCTGGCCTAGAAACTGGATGCATTGACTTAGGTGGGTATGTCTAGCGACGCTGCCTATATCCCTGTATCTCTCATCCTTAGCGCCTGGCTTCTCCGGAGAACGTTCACTCGGCGGTCATCGCCTTCTCATCTTTCTTTTTGCTACAAACATCAGATGTTACCAGTGACTTACCACGGTCCATACGCTGCCTGCCACTTATTTCTGGCCTAAAGATGCCGGTCCGGAGACGCCTAAGCAGGGGCATTCTTGGTGTTCTCTACGCTGCTCAATTCATACAAGCCCTCCAAATACTTGAGTCGACTGCCCTCGTTCCATGCTCCGATGATAGTGTTATCAACACCAACTTGTTTAAGATGGCGTTGACACCTGGGAATAACAGTGTTATGATCGAGTTTGACGGCGAGATTACCTTCTCGGGGATGGTCATGTTGGATGTTGACGTGCTGGCCTACGGGTACAGCTTCCTGACCATGCGAATAGATCTATGCGACTATGATTTGTCTGGATTCTGTCCCATGATATCACAAAACCTGACAGTGCCGTCTGCAGTTTTGACCTTGTCGGATGATATTATATCAGGAATTCCCGGTAAGTTTGAACTCCTTCCGATTGACCAGTGACCTTCGATTGCATATCCATTGACACAAGTCCCTTTGATAGGTATCGCCTATACCTTCCCTGATCTCGATGCCGTTGTTAGAGTCAACATGATATCCAACTCGACGAATACAAGCGTCACTTGTGTTGAGGCCAGTGTGGTCAACAGCAGTACAGTCTACCAAGCCGCGGTTGGCTGGACACTTGCCGTTATCACCGGACTGGGCCTCTTTGCGAGCATAATCCTCTCAGTGCTTGGCTATCTCAGCATCTCAACCCAGATTTCATTCCGCACAGCCCTACTTCTGAGCTTCATGCAAAGTCAAGCGATGGTTGGCCTCACCGCGATGGAGTTCAAGCCAATGATCCAAAATTGGACACAAGACTTCCAATGGACCATGAGTATAGTGCATACAGACTTTCTGGACACAATCACCACGTGGTTCCAGCGGTCCACAGGAGGAACACCTTCAACTTTACGTTCTGAAGCTGGTACTATTTCGATCGGCCTCCTGAAACGTTCAGATGAAGTGCTGGTAGGGAGAAGCATGTCAGCATCGGCTAGTGGAGCAGAGGTGCTCCTCCGTGGCATCATTCGCATGGGATACCGTGCAGGCCTGGAGTCCACCAACATCTTTATGACCGGACATCTGGTCTTTCATTTTATTGCCATTGTTATGCTCCTGGCTCTCATCGCTCTCAAGTTCGGTCTGTCTGCATTTCTGAAGAAGACCCAGGGCAAACGGTCCGGCTATAGCTTGGCTCCCCTGGCTGACTGGCAGCAATTTATGCGAGGCGGCCTTGGCCGAATTGCGTATCTGGGTTACCCGCAAATATGTGTGTTTGGCATGTGGGAAATATATCAGCAGGACTCGGCGGCCGAGATCCTGCTTGCGATTACGCTATGGCTCGCCACGACTGTGATTCTTGGTCATGCAACTTTCAGGGTGCTCCAACATGCACGCGCAACGAAAGGGTTAAATGAAACTTTGGCATGCTCGCTCCATTTTGATTCACGCTGCATGGCACAGTGGGGCTACCTGTATGCCCATTACAGGGCCCACGCATTCTACTTCATCATCCCGCTGCTACTGTACACATTCTTAAAAGGTATCACTATTGCATTCGCCCAACAAAACCCTCTAGCGCAGGCTATAGTTCTTCTCATCTTGGAGGCTGGATTTCTGATTGGTACTGCAATTGTCCGGCCGTATGTAGATAAGAAGGCCAATGCCTTCGCCATCGCTGCGGCCGCCATCAATCTTGCCAATGCCATCTTCTGCCTGATCTTTACCAATATCTTTGATCAGCCGGATCTCATGACTGGCATTGTGGCCCTCCTCTTCTTCTTCCTCAATGCGATATTTACCCTCGTCCTCGTGATCTTCCTACTCATAGGCCTTTTCTACGCCTGTCGGCTTAAGGATCCAACTGCGGATAGCTGGCGTTCCTATCATAACCGTATCTCCTTGCAATCTATGAGGCGGTTGCTTCGACGCGAAAGCCGACAGACACTTGAGCTAGTTCCCCTCACAGAAGGGACCACATCTACAAAGTCCCACCGCCAGCAGCGCCCGAATTCACCTTCAAGTTAGATTCCGCCCGCTTGATCGTGTATATAGCGAATATAACCTATTCCTCTGTTCCAATATGATCCATCAAATGTTTATCTTTAGACCTGGTCTTGATCAGTTTCGGGCCAATTTTGATCCTCAACGCTTCATAGGCACTACTATCGCCCCCATCCCAAAACCAATGGGGTTTCATAACTCCATGTGTTGGGTAAATAGAACGACACTGAGAGGTTACAGTCTATCATACATACCGAGAATTTGCCTACAAAACAAAACATGGAAGCATTGGAGGTTAAACCATGATGGTCTTCTTGTCAAGTATGGAGTTCATACGTATCTTCCTGACCATTTTTAACAGAAAACACAGAAATGGCAAGCTCTTTCACCAGGAGTATACCTGTTGCAGACTATACCATGTCCCATCCCACTCGTATAACGAATTAGTCAACGCGTTGCATTTTCCGTGGGAGGAGACGGATGCCTTCGTGCAAGATCTGGCGCAGACTGGAGAATGCCAATCCTCCACAGGGGACGCAGCGACGAGGTGAGACCGTGTCAAGTGGTGCTAGCTCGTGAACCTAAACTTTGGCCCAGATCTGTTAGCCCCCAGGCCATTCGGGATTATTGATCCCAAATTATATAATCTTTTAGTTAGAGTAGTATAATCTAACTCCTGTACTCTAGCTATAATCTAATTTAACGGATCTTAATTAAATTAAGATATAAAATTTCTGAATCAATCTAGATATAGTAAAATTAAAATTAATTTATAATTAGTAATATAAATGATAATAGAATAATATTCTCTATATTTACTATAAAATTTAAAATAATCCTATATTTATCCAGCCCTCTAGTGTTCCCACGTAAGGTCTAACCTGTCACGAATAGCAAACATCGGCTCATAAGGCGACGTTGGCATGTTACGAAAAGGAGTTCCTTCAGCTAGGCTAGGAGACGCAAAGCTAATGCCAGAGGCCGTTTTAAATGGCGGAAATTCTGCGTAAGGAGTTGATCATCACTGCTGATGGAGAGATATATTTAAGCTTCATTGGGTCCATGTTGTGTAAAGTCAATCTAATAGAGACCTTGGTGTTTTGTACGAAGACTCGATTATAAATAAGATAAATCACGATTGACATACTACTTGTCTATATATCAACATATTAATTCCAATTAAATTTTGAAGTCCACCGTCTGTGTGAAGCTTAAATCACAGTTTGCGCCCCACGAGGTAGGAAGCAGATGATGAAGGCAGGGAAGACGCGCCTAAAATGAGAAGTGAAAGAAAATATAAAAGAAGGAGAGAAGAAACTATATCCACAGCAAATGAACATGAAGATGTGGCAGTGTGCGTCCTGGTGTTCAACCGCGCATCAAGGATTGGACCACATCATCAGGACTCGAAGCCTCCGAATAGGGCTTTCCCTCATGGTAGTCCCAAGGGGTGTACACATAGTCCTCTGGCCACCCCGCCTGGCGCCCGCAAACATACTTGACTTTCTCTAATACGCACTACACAAGAATGTCAGAGACCATTAAATGGAAGAATGGATGGGAGGAATCATACCTGGGACCATTTGGTATAGTCAAGGCATTCTGTAGGTTCGATGGTTCCGCCTGTGAAGTCACAGACTGGCAGGCTCCACCTCATCATTTGCCACGCAGGAATGTCAGCCCCAGATGTTTGGGGAATCCAACTGAAGTATGAGCCTGGGTCCATCGCAGAAATCCACTCGTTTGTTGTCTTTTGAATCAGATAGGCGGATCGAGCGACGTCATGGCCGTTGAATCCGTATTCGGACTGCAGTTCGGCAATCCCTTTCGGGGGCCGGATTTTGGGCGTATGAGCCGAGTTGCGTAGTTCGTCCTTGATTAGCTGCTAATGATTTAGTACTATAGTCCAACAAGTTTCCGGTCGCCATTTGGAGAGGACCATACCAGGAGGAAGGCACTGCCATCTGGGTTGCAGTACTTGAAATCTGTGCTGTCTTGATTCTCATCGATGTCGCCGTTCTTGTCACAAGGGTGGTATGCCGAACCATCTCGAGTGAAAATAGAATCATTATCGATTTTGACAACAATGACTAGATCCTTTTTCCACAGCATATTAATCAACGGCGCAGCAGCAAGCTTCCTAAGTTCCTCGCTTTTCGGCATCACTGGACTATCCTTGTTGAGGCTGTCAATACCCGCGAAATACCCGCTTTGCAATATGCGCGGTACAGAAGTGGGTAGGGTGACCCAATTAGGGTCAGCTGGGGGTGTAGTCAGAAAGAGTTTCTTGTAAAAAGCATCTAGACTGTTTGTAACCGCAGTCTTGATGTCGTCCGCTTTATCGCCTAGCTCCGCATACGTGTTGAACCGAATAGAGTCTCCAGTGGTTTCATCGAGCGTCGTCACGGCGGCGGCCCCAAACGTTGCTACCCCCGCAGGTATGCCTGCCAGAGAGTTTTCGAAGAATCCGGCAATGATACTTGCCACACCAGCTGCAAGAGTTAGGCCGGCGTCGGGACCAAGATCGCTCTTCGAGTCACCGGAATGTGAGTATCTGGTTACCATGCTGGCGGTTTTGAAGCTCATGCTGTTCCAAACTTCCCCCATGACGGTGTGCACAATCCCAAGGTACCTTGCCAAATTACGGACGGCATGCAGAGCCTGGACTCGGTACATGCGGCCATCTCGGCAAAAGTCCGAGTTGCTCAGGTTATCCACGGTACATTTCTCCCGGGGGCTAGCACATATGTTAGTAGCAGCGAGGATATTTGGCGGGCCAACCTACTTTACACAATCCCATACGTATTTCCCGTCATTTTTAAGCCCCTGGTAGGCGGAAAGGGCGAGGGATATGCCACCAGCCCCCCCTTCGCCACCGGGCCACTTAAAGTCACTGTTCGGATCGAGAGCAAGCTTCTGGTACCAACCAGCTCTGTTTAGACCAAACTGTTAGCTTAAACAATTGATTCCAAGTGTAGTCAAAGCCCTAGAAACATACGTGGTAATAAGCCAAGACCCCGCATCCATCTTGTTCCACAGCTCTTTATCCAATTGATTCATGTCACCGCATATGGCGTCTTCGCGAGCCTTATCATCGAGGGGCCAATGTTCACTGCGTCAATGGATCAGACTTTGGCCTCAGCCTGCAGGGCAAGTAATAGAAACATACTAATAGCCTTTAGGCGGTTCATCACCCGCATTGCCAGTCGGAGTCGGGGTGATTGGCGGCTTGCCAGTAGGAGTAGGCTGATCAGGGGGGTTGTATGGAGGTAGTCCAGGCTCCTTGGATGGGTCACCATCGTCTACAGCGCTGCTATCACTTCCAGGACAGGTATTGAACCATGTGTACGCCTAAACCAATCAGTTTCCCACGCTATCAAACCGGTATGCCAGAGAGCTCACGATGTTAGTGCGTGGTATGACATTGTGCATATCAGCTCGACCCAATCCACCAAGATTGGGGAAGAATAGATTTGCCTGTACAAAGTTAATCAGTTTATACAGAACTAATGAGCATGCCACTCACCCCTCTATCTGATCCTTGATATCGCGGGCCATCCAGGAGCTCCCACTTCCAACTGGATCCCGCGGTAGGAATTGGGCCTTTGTTGATCCAAACCAATGTATTGCCATTGAACTTGTCGACCCACAGGAAGTCAACACGACGATCACCTTGGATACAGTAAGCCTGCGTGATATAATAAAATGCTAATAGAATACTAGCACATACCGTCTACATCGGCCCAGCGATGATTGGCGCGGTCGTATCCCTGAGGGCGTTTAACTTGGCCCTGGGACTGGAAGTTATTGATACCCTTGTTTAACCATCCAACGGTTCGTCCATTCGGTCTGGTTAGTAGCAGTCAGTATCGCGACAATCTGAATAGGGGTATAATAAAACCTACTCCATGCACAGGTAATCTGCGCGACTGTCACCACTGATTAGAGTCAGTATTATTCTGGTCGGTGGATCGTAAGAGTATAGGTAAGACAGACTCCAAATCAGCTATCCTTACGCCAATATCATAAAGCCCTACTCCCCATCCTTCAGTACATTTCACGTTTCCGCTAATGATCCCTTTATATGTAAGGAAGCCACCCTTAATATCATCGTTCCAATTGTTGATCCACACCTCTGCCGTACCAGTCTCACGGTTGACAGCCCATATGTCGCACTGTAAATTATCCACGATAAGTATTAGCTATAACAGTTTATCAAGCGTCAGGTTATATTCTTTTTGAGTACCTTGCCGTCACCATCGAAATCAGCCAGATGAATACTCTTGCGTTCTCTTCCAATATTGAAGATTTCCGGGCCCTCCGGGACCCAGACGGGGGGCTTATGGATATTGCCATAGAGTAAGCCGCGTCCTGTAGGGGAAACCCAGATCTAGAAAGGAGTTAATACCGCTTGGACACACCGAAGGATAACAATATAGACGTACATAATCATCTGCACCAGTGCCACGCCAGTCACAGTAGAAATCGCCGTCGGCTGTTTGGTCATGTCAACGAGAGAAATGTCAAGGTATAGAAACAGCAAACCAAGGAAGGGGGACAGCAAACTCACCCTTTAGAGTAGTTCCACCCCTGCCTGTATTCTTCCATACATGGGTGTAGTGGTTGTAAGTCTTCGCATTCTTCATAGACTCTATCCACACGTAATCGGCACCACCTCCTGGATAAACCTGGCCGAACTTAATCCGGTCTCTGGCTCCCTTAATACCCATACCCGCGTGGGTAACACCAATTCGTCGCCATTCTGGGGCCAGACTACCCTTGCCAGAGCCACGCTGATTAATATATGTAGTAACCTTACCTTCTTCATCTAGCCAAAGCCAGTCGGACCGGAAGTCACCATTGATATCAACCAGACGGACACCTCTCAGATCGCCCATACCTTTACCAGTAAAGACGACCCCCAGGTTTTGCCAATAGCCACCAAACTCCTTTGTTGGGGCGTCCTTCTGGCCTCCATTTCTCCAACACTGAATATCACCGTTGTTCTTGGCCAGACAGCTAGT